ATCAAATATAATGCCTAGATTTTTTGTCTCCTGAACTATGGGGATTCTGTCATTGTTAATAGCAATTACTAAATTTTGTTCAAAATGTTCTCTTTCAGTACTGTTTTTATTCATAACCATTACTTGCGATTTTGAGGGGTTTAGTTTAAGATTGTGATGCTTTGCATATCTGTCAATTCTTTGGAGATCTGAATTTAGTTGTTGTTGTGCAATATGGATTGTGGTTTTATTGACAGGGAGATATATTTGTGAGTCATCTGCATATTGTTTTATCTTTGCGAATTTTACCGATTTGACCATGTCAGATATGTAGATTGAAAATAGCAAAGGAGATAAAATTGAACCTTGAGGAACTCCTCTTTTTATAGGTTTAAAATCGGTTTTGTAAATAGCAGAATCATTTGCTAACATAACACAGTTTGAACGGTTGCTTAAGTATGTTTTTATTAGATTTACGGAGTTCTGCGAAAACCCCTGGTAATGTAACTTAGCTAGTAACATTTCATGATTCAGAGTGTCGAACGCTTTACTAAAGTCGAGAAGAACCATGCACGTACTATTTTTTTGTTCTTGATGATGTCTGATATCATCCAAGATATTAACTAATGATGTACTTGTGCTAAAGTTTTTTCTAAAACCGGATTGACTATCTGGTATGATATCGTTTGTGTCACAAAAAAATCTAATTTGATTATAAATATGCCTTTCTAAAATTTTGGATGTAGCGGGTAATATGCTAATAGGCCTCAAGTCTGTAAATTCTTTAGGTTCTGCTATTTTTGGTAAGGGTTTAACAATAGCTTTCTTCCATATTTCTGGAAATAAACCCCCCAAAATACATGTGTTGATTATATTCAGCAAGGCATTCGTACAAAATGGGATACATAGTGAATTACAGGGTTGAAATCTTTTATTAAAATCCGCCATTCTGTTTTGTATAAAATTTTAATGTATCTAGTGTCACTCGCACCGCTAAGTCGAATCCAACGACACTTCATATGTGAAAATCCGTCCAGCCGTTTGGCCTGCAGGTGAAAATATGCACGTTATCCATATCAACACAAATGATAATCACTCTCCGCGTGACGTCATGCGCGCCGGCGGACGAAAATCGAACAGCGGAGCATCCGGCACCTACCACTTTACCGCCTGCTGCAAGCCCCACCCCATTTCAATGCCGTACCCTCTAGAAAAAATGTTTTCCGGAGCTGGTTTCTTCAGAATTTTCTTATTACATCAAGTGTTAAAATTTTACCTTTTATGAAAGATTCGCACTATTTATTTTCGCTAACTACACAGAATTAATAAGACGCTTGGGAACCTCTTGATGCAACTTTTTTCTCGAAAACTATTCGAGATATCCGGTTTTTATAAAAGACGAAAAACGAGGTAAATAAGGCCCGTATCGTCAGTCGTCCCTACAATTGTAGGGCGCCTTTATGGCCTCCTTGATTGTCATAGTTTTCTATTTTTCCATGTCAGTGCTCTATTTTGAGGTTATGTCACAAACATCTATTTGCATCAAATTGTGCTTGCTTTTGAGTTATATCATGTTTTATCGGCCTGAAATTTCCTACAATTTAAAAGGAAAACATATCTTCACAATAAGAGAGCGCTGACGCTGACACGGGACAAGTGTAATCTATAAATTTTTAAAGGAGAGAAAAGAGTATGACAATCAAGGAGGCCATAAACGCGCCCTACAATTGTAGGGACGACTGACGATACGGACCTTAAAAATCCGCTAAAAGAAGGAAATTCAAAGTCTTCGAGAAAGTTTCCAAAAATGTGTGCTATAGTTTATGTAGGGGTGGGGGTAGTTTTCACCCTTCTCGAATCCTTTGGAGTTTTTCGTACAAGTCAAATATTAGAACGTCTAGCAATACCTAGGTGTTCCAAACTTCATTCAAATATGACTCTCGGTACTTAAAATAACTTAGAAAGAAAACTTTGACGTCTTATAACGGACAAACGTAGCACTTTTACATGGAGGTAAGTCATATCCAATCGACTTAGGTATTTTGAGTCTAAAAATACCTACGTGGTGCTTCTATGTCTACCAAATATTGGAACACCCTGTATGTCATTTCGGTCGGACCAGCGACTCATGTCAGCCTGTATAAACCGTTTGAGTTGTATGCCGTGAAGTATAGTCAACGCCAAACAAAGTGGCGTGCACGTCATCACGATAAAAATTGTTATTAAAATATCACATAAGTTGCTTTCTGATAAATTTAGACGCATTATGCGAAATAAAATGTTTTGCAAACGCTCCAATCACTTATCGACATGTAAACGCACTAAACCGATTTCGCAGCGTTGACACATTGTCACCTTGAAACTTATTTAAACTGGGAACTGACATTTGTATTAATTTTGACACTGAATCAATTTGTGGCATTTCAAATCTTTATAAATCCTTTGGCCCCGCATACTGTAAATCAACAACTGTTTGTTTCAAAACAAAATTATTCATTTTACGAGTAGATAAAGGCAATTTTGGTATATAAAGATGCCCAAACAGTTAAATAGTCGGTGTAAGGAACTCGTGGTCTCGTTAATGCACTACTTTGAGCAAGAAAGGGACAACAACGGGCCTTTGTTGCCTTTAAATGCTGTTCAAGAGGTAGGTTACTAATAATTATATGTAATGTATATTAATAATAGTGAAATTTTATTTCATTTTTTGTAGCGTGTTGCTGCTGCTTTAAAAATTAGTTTAAGGACAGTTAGTCGTATTTCCGAGGGTGTGAAAAGTGATGCAAATTTAGAATCGCCCAAGAAAAAGCGGAGTTATATTAAACGTGTAACCAACACAGCGACATTGGATACAAGTGCCATTCGAGAAGTGATCTATAATATGTATCACAAAAGTAAGATCTTATTATAATAACTTATCAGAAATTTGCATTAATTTGTTAACTAAATTATAATGTCATATTACACATGGTTTCAGAAGAACAAGTTACGATACAAACTTTATGATCTCGATTAAGACATAGGGCATTATTTGATGGTAGTGCCACGTCTTTAAGGCGGTTGCTTAGAGATCTTGGATTTAAGTGGCTTAAGGACAATCCGCGACGAAAGCTCATGGAACTACCAAGTATAGCTTTGAAAAGGGTGGAATTTCTAAGGCAATACAATCAAGCCAAGGTTGAGGCCTTATACCAGTTTGTCTTCCTCGATGAAACTTGGATATTTCAAAATGGGACCATAGGTCGCTCTTGGCAAAATGGAAACCAAAAAAGCGTGAAAGCTATTAAAACCGATGGTAAAAGGTATGTACTTTTACACAATTTGCACTATAAAATTTAAAACTAATATATTTTAGATACATTATATTACATGCTGGAAATGAAAATGGGTTTATTGAGGGTAGTGAAGCGATATTTTCTTCGAAAACAAAATTGAGCGATTACCATGGAGAGATGATCCAGGACAATTTTTTGAAATGGTTTCAACATCAGTTATTAGAAAAATTGGAGAGTCCATCTATGATTATACTGGATAACGCCCCTTATCACAGCATGATATTGAACAAAGTGCCCAACAATGCATGGACAAAAAAAAATATCCAAGACTGGTTGACAAATCAAAACATACCATTTTTAAACACAATGTTTAAAACAGAGCTATTGAGTATTGTTGCTCGGTACATAATGCTTCTTAATTATATATATTTTGGTCGACAGTTTATATTTCTTTTGTTTATTCCTATTCTTAAAATAACTGCTTTTTTAGAAACAAACCACCTAAAATATACGTGATTGATGAATTGGCGGAACAACATGGGCACAAAGTTCTTCGTCTGCCTCCTTACCATTGTATATTTAACCCTATTGAGTTAATTTGGGGCATAGCAAAAGGTTACTATAACAGACATATTGGTAGAGATGGTAACAGTGAAAAAGACTGTTTGGATATGTGGAACGAGGCTCTACAAACGGTTACCCCAGACATGTGGAAAAATAGTGTTCGACATACTGAGCAAGAAATTTTTAAATGGTATGAAAGAGAATGAATTTTTGATCGACCAGACATCGAACCTTTAATAATCAACTTTGAGAGTGATGAAGATTCAGATTCAGACAGCGCTGAAGAAAGAAACTCCGACTAACTTTATTGTACAGGAAAAGCTTACACCAGTAGCTTACCTAATTTTAGAATGCATTTTTCTGTATGAATTCTGTAAAATAAATACCATGCATAAAATTTGGAGGACCCCATTTGGATTTTTATTCAGTACCTTTAAGCTATCAATTAAATATGGTAGTTTCATAGTGTCATCTGATCAATAATTGTCATACTTAATGATTATGCAAGTACAGATCTATAATTTTATTATACTATTATTTTTGTTCTCATTTGAGGTTAATATTGCTTATAAACCTAGATATGTAAATAATAAATTTTATTATTTTACAAAAAGTTTGGCAACAATGTAAATTTTTCAACACACCCACCTTGATGACGTGCACGCCACTTTGTTTGGCGTTGACTATAGATATTTCAAAGTCATTTCCCGGGATAAAAAATAGCCTTGTGCTATTAAAGACTATTATAGATATATTATAGATATGTTCTGGCATCACATTTCCAACGGTTTGACACCTGGTTGTGGACTCCCTCAACACGCATGCGTGGTCAGAAGACTGGTTTCAAACCGTTACAAATTGAATTCTGCCAGAACACTTCTTCCTGTCAAAATATGGTTGACTTGCTAGTGACAGCATCGTAGATGACATTTAGATGACATTCTTGTTATGTGCGTTTCCCGTTTCATTTTTCATGGGGTTTGAATTGCATTTGCGTCTCAACATGTTTTTTTTTGTATTGCATCTGTGATTTAGGATTCAGTGATTTGTATTTGAAAGTTGATTTTGTGGTTGTTTTGCATCATGTACGAGCAAAATCAAATATTCTTGGACGTTAGTGGTGGCATTGGTAAGTGTAATAGATATGAGGGTTTATCAAAGTTATTCTTGACATTTTTGTAGAATTTCTGGTACTTCCCGCAAACAGAGATGTAATTGGTGGGACACCGTCTTGGACAAGACATCACACACTGATGTTAATTGAATGTTACAAAATATTCAGAAGTAAAGTAGGTGGGATGGAAATGAAAAGCCTAAAAAAATGTGGCATACAACATCAGAACATATGAAGAGAAAGTATAACGTAAAATACACACCCCAAAACTTCGAAAATTGTTGGCGGGTGCTGGAGAGAAATTATAAGCGCTATGTGGAAAATAATTCCAGTACAGGACGTGGCAGAAAATACTTTGAATTTGAATTAAATCCAGAAATTCTACTGACCACATCAGGTAAGCTGCATATACATATAAATCTACACTGTCTCCATATATGGTCCAAAGAATGTAATGGATTCAAGGGGCATGAAAAACGAAAACAGGTTGTTCAAAAATTATGTACTTAATCTAACAAACTGTTCCATTATTAAGTATTTGTAGAAATCTTACATCAATTACTCAAACTTTTCCTTCACTTTCACAGGCTAAGGACTTTTAGAGCTTTCTTGGGGGATATTTAAATGGCACCAACATTAACACTAACACTATTATTCGAATATATTCAATATTGATGTAGATTGATTTCTTTTTTACCACATCTGGCCCTTCATTGTAGGTGAGATTCGACCAAATAATGAAAATGAGGCACATGACATGGAATTGATTGAAAATCAGGAAACACCAACAAAAGCGCTTGGAATTTCTGCAGCTAAAGTTAAGCAGCAAAAAGTAATAAAATATAAAAAAGAAAACATTCTGAAACAAATACAATTAGACCGAAAACAATACCAAGAGGAGAGACTGAAATTGGAAAAATACTAAATAGACTCCTTAGTAGAATTGCAAAAACAGAAATTACAAATAAAAAATAAACAAGTTGAGGTTTTTGAAAAAAGAAACGAAATATTGAAAAACAAAAAATAGATCCCCTGACAAAATGGATACTTAATTATAGTTATGTTGTGTGTTATCTTGTGTTTATGTGCAATATTGTTTGTGTTTGTAGTTATTATAATGAAAGATATATGTTAAGTTTTATTTCTGTGATGAATGAATGTGAAATTGGGATTAGTATTTTAGTTCATTCTGCATTATTAAAAATTAAAATACTGATACCCTATTTAAAATACTTTTTATTTAATCTAAAAGATGAATGTATGTACATTTACAGTATTAATTTACACTATAAACTAGAAGTAAAAGATCTTCAAAAAGAACACTGGACCAACCTACATGGTACAAAAGATTTCAACATGAGATTTTAGATGTAGTTGTTGACAGTAAAATGTCATGGAAAGACCATCATGAGGTATCAAGCTTCGAAAGTGTATATTTTTGGTCAGGGAATCAACTTAAGATGCATAAACCTTATGGCAGTTTTTTGTTTTCCTGTGTTAGAGATGTACACCTTTGAGGCTTGGTAATTTTTGAAAATGAGTATCTCAGCATTTGTGCCCATTGCCACTTCAGATTGGCATGAAAAAAGAAATAAATGACAGAGTCCAGTGCTTTCAAAGAAAATTTATTCAAACCCATTCCCCTTTAGGAATGTGCTTTTACCTGACTGTAATAATGAAGTCTTATTATTTAGTTTCAAGTAAAAAAAGCTGATTATACGACATCAAAATATGCCTAGCCACAAAATTCCTGTGATCTGCAGCAGCATTATTCAAAATTTCGGCTTCATCATCTATTTCTGGAACAAGTGGAAAAACTGGATCAGGTATTAGATGTACTTCACCAGAAAATCCAAATTATGCAAAACACAACATGCACGTATAAAGTGTGCAATATCAACAATCGTTCTCAATTTTATATGGTAAAGCTGTCTCCATTTGTGCTTCATTAGGCCAAAGCACTGCTCTATCATATATCGATTTTTAGCTATCTTCAATTTGAAGTTGTTTTCAATCCCCATCAGGTTTCCACGATCTTTAAGTTGTGTTAGGAGATGTCTTGTACATGGGTAGCCACTATCACCCAGTATATCATACTGTTGGCAGTTTTTACGCAGAACTGGAAATAATGGTGAATTCCTGAATACTCGGCTATCACGGACTGATCCAAGGTATCCAATAAAGATGTCTCGGATTTGTGCTCGATTATCACAAACAGCTTGTACCTAAAAAAAACTATCATAATCATAAAAACTATAGATGGGTTTTTTGAATTACTTGGATTGAATAAAAGTGCTTGCGGTTCAGATATGAATTAGGATCATCCTTTGGCCTATCAATCCTTATATAAGTTCCGTCTATTGCTCCTATTACACCTGGAAACCCTTTATATCTGAAATGTTGCTCAATTGTGATTTTTTCCTCATTGTTAGGCCATTGAATTACAGTTCCAGATATACTGCTTATAAACTTGACTAAACGTCTTATTATGTGGAATAAACAACTAATCGTGATATCAAATCTGTCAGCTCCATCACGAAACGATGATGTTTCATGTCCCGCGAACCAGAAAAATATGAGTGTGTGTTCATAAGCAGAAAGCTTCCCATTATCGCCAGTCTGCTTTTTGTAGGACGGGCTGTGTTCATATTTAGTTGAGATATCTTCGGCCAGTCTGCGACTAACCCTAAAATGTTCTCTAAACTCGCTTTGAGTATATAGATGCACGGTTACGTTTAAGTAATCCTGATTTTTGTTTTTTTTGTGATTATGAAGCATCATGTCTAGAATATCCTATGTTCTGTTTTGACTGTCCGTAACCAGTTTTCAAACCAAAGATTGGTTTGCAGAAACAGTGGACCGATAAGCCCCAACTGGTTCTAACATGTTTCTAACCTTGCTAGAACACGTTTTCTTTACTGCGCATGCTCAGACGGTTTCAAACCGTTGAAAATGTGATGCCAGAACATATCTTATATCTCTGTTCCAAGCCACCTACGTGTTTTTTGTTCTCATTATTTACTTAGGAAGAGAAATGCCACTTCTCAATGAGGCATTGATCATGATTTCTCGGATTAATAGGAAAAAAATGTGTCTGTTGCTTTTATATGATTATTAGAGTACGCCACTGGTTGATTCACTCAACTCGCGAGCTTTGCTGCGAGTCCTCTATTCCATATTACGTAACTTTGCGGCATCGGCATCGCGGACGCGGACGACAGTCAGATGTTTTTCGTATATCGACCAACGTGAAATAACCTAAAAATGTCATATATCATTTGCGACTTACTTTTCCAAGAAGACAACATTGAGAATAACGGTAAGAAAGTTTGGCGATTAGCTTTGAAGGGAGTCACTTTCATCTTTTTGAGAATAAAGATAATTCATATTTAGATTGAATAAATTCAGAGTATATGTTTTCCTAATCTATTGCCGTCTCCTTTTAAAACTGACCGTATACCCTATTTCACGAGTATCCGTCATGCTTTGACGTACAGCTGATCGGCAAGTGACGTTTTTGTGTTGGTCTGCAAGTTGGCAATAATGCATCGTGTGTAAATCTAGTAAAACTTATTTGTAACGTTTTGTTTTTTGTATGCAAATGAAATTTTCTAACTGAAAGAGCTGTTAGCAACTACAACATTAATCTGTAGCGTACAAAAAACGAAAACAAAATACAGCTCTGACTACCTGCCTTTGGCGGATCCGTCAGATTTATGTGTCCTGTACCGATATGGGGAATTTTGGGATATTACTAGATAAAGCTGTCATTCTACCGTGATGCATACTCATGAAATATGGTATATGTATGAACATCGCCGTTTTATCCTTGTTTGGACTCATGAGTGTCAGTGTTGCTAAAAAGAAATAGATAATGGGTGACACCTGGCAAAACTATACCGCTTCATTTCCTTGGTACCTTATATAAGTCTTATTTATATTTATAAATTACATTCAAACTAACCTACACCTATTGTTGTCAAACAGGCCTAACCATAATAGATACCCACTCGTTTGAAACAATAAAAAAATTTCAGAATCGTGGTATTCTCAAGCTTTAAGCCAGAACTATAATGCCGGAAGTTTCAAATATGTTTGAACATTTGAGTTTAAAAAATATAGTAGTGAGCTTTCGCATACTATGACAAATTTTCGATAGAAATTACAAGAAAGATGTTTCTAAACATTTTACCTCCCACGCCTACTGGCAGGAGAGTATTGTAATCGCGAAAATGAGATATTATGTTTTTTGGATGTTATGTGACATGTACATCACGAAAAACGATGCCACTCATTTCCGTCGATCTGTCTGTCTGTCCGTCGGTCTGTCCGCCGCTAATCGGATAAGCCTATAACTTGAGTGCCGCTCGGATTTCGATGAAATTTTTACACAATGTTACTACAATGCCAAGGACGCAAAAACTTTGTAATTGGTCCAGTGCCAGCAGGGCACAAAAAGCGTAGGGTGCTTGATGTTAAATGTTATAATTATTTTTTTAGTTGGTATCTACAAAATTAGAGTTTGGCCTTTTTACTGTAATTGATTTTTTTGTTAATATCTTAATCCTTATATTGATCTTATTCCAAATTAATTAGTCATACTTGATTGTTGGACTTTCTATTGCAGTAATGCTTGAAAATTATTTTCTACTTTTAAGTTCGATTTGCTGTTAAAGCGTGTTTTTTTTTGTTTTTTCAACTATAAGACTCAAAACAACAACAAAACAATAAAAATCAAGATTCACAAAACAACAAATTATTTTCGAAATTTCCGAATTTATCAATTATTTTCAATCTTCAATTTTCAAATCCAATTTTTTTCCAAATTTTAAAAATGTTTAAGTTCGAATGTTTTTCCAAGATTATTGTATTGACCCATTTCAAATTTTCAAGTTAATCAGACTACTTAAAGTCGGTGAAATTCAGGTTGAAAGATTCCGGTACACATATGTAAAGGTCAAGTAGATAAAAGCGTGTAAATCACGAGACAAACTATGCATACGCTCGAGTTGGTTGACGTTTAATTGATAAGAGGCACGGTTTTATCACAGTATTCACAATTTTACTAGTTTTATGTTTTTCCTAGGATAATCAATTATCTGTTGATTGATCTTATTAGTAGTTCGATCATGTTTCACACTTCCTTGTCGTAATAATAACGTACATACTACATGTGAATATTGTCGCATTACTGCAAGAAAACTGTACTTTGTGTGTGAAAAGCATTGTGATCTTTGAAACACTTGAAGTGCATTTAACTAAAGGTAAGTGTGATGAGCACGTGTTTTGGGCAGTGGTGTATCAGAACGGGAAAATGAAGGTACTGAGCAATAAAAATAGATCCCAATTTTGCGTTTTGAGTTGGGAAACACAGTTTACTTGTTATGCGAGGAAGTAGGTATTGTGATCGCGAAAAATTTCTAATTTGAGATGTTTGGTTTCTTTGGATGTTACATTATACGTACATCACGAAAAACCATGTCATTCATTTCCGTCGGTCTGTCTGACTGTCTGTCGGTCTGGCCGCTAATTTTAGTACCGCTCGGACTTTGATGAAATTTTCACACAAGTCCTTGACATAGTAGTATGTCAAGGATGAAAAAGCTTTGTAGTTTTTGAAAATCCATATAGTGGTGGCGAAACTCTAGGCGTCTAGGCAAAAGCACGAAATATAAAAATCGCTTAAACTTCGTGTTTTGATGTTTCAGAGGCTCCTGATCATTTTTGGAATTTTTGTTCTAGTTATTGAAACTTAGAGGTTGGGGGTCGTAGTTGGTAGGGGCTTTTAAATGTAACGTCTTTAGTATTAGGCATAGACGTTCGATCATGAAGAAGCTTCTGGTCCCGGTAATGGGAAAATTAAATGATAAATGTCCGATGTATAAAGTGCTCATAATATCGAAATGACTGCAATCGACTGTGCAGTAACAAACTCCAAGTGGGTTGCGCTGGTGTCGTCACTGACAAATGCTACAGGAGAAATATTTATATAATTTAGCAGTATTTGGATATTAGGAGTACGTATACATACCACTTTACCGTTCTGCGATGCTTTTGTAAATGATGAATTTTATGATCCGTAAATGTGCCACCCATTTCGTCTAACCCTAACCTTTGATTTGTGTTACTCCGTCTATTATGGTTCTCTGAATATTTCGTCAAGTAGATTGTCTGCTTATGACGCACTGATTGACAAACCGACATAAATGAGAAACACGGACATATGAACTGCGTGCGCTATAGGTACAGATGGATATTTATTACCGTTGTGTACCAATACCGCTTTTAAACTAAGCTTAGAGGAATCAATGAACAGGCGCCAATCATTTGGATCATGTTCTGTCCTAACGCGTCAAACAAATTGTTGACATCGGAGCAATATATCAACTCCCTTTCTTGACAGAAACAGTATGTGAGGTCTTGTTGCCGTTTTCGATAAAAAGTAATGTTAACATCACCGTGGAGAAGATTCCATGCTTTTAATCTTGACGCTAAAAGTTCTGACAGATTTTGACAGATTTAATTCTCAAACTAAGTCATTAACTTCGCCTTGTGTGATGAAATGCAGCGTTGTTGAACATCCAGGCAGGTCAAACGAAGGATCTGAAATTTTTACGCTTTCTGTACCATCACTTTCAGAATCGCTGGATTCGACTTTTTCATCCAAAGACCAAGATTCTGGTGGAACTGGGACAGAAAGTTCATCACTATGCTTAGCGGGCCGCAAAGCTGACGGTAAATTAAAATACTTAACAGTATGTTTCGATTTTGGTCCAATACCATTAATATTTGTGAGGCAAAAATAGCAATCAGTAGTATGGTCTCTCGGTTCTCTCCAAACCATTGGTACCACAAAGGGCATATTACGATTGTCGCCTCTTAACCAACCTGACAGGTTGAACCTGTTAACAACGATACACAAGTCTGACAACATATATGAAGGGCCCATAGTTTATCTTGGTCGCCAACTTTAATTACAAAATAAAGTGCGTATGCTTTTAACACAAGGATAGTAAAAGTACGTTTTTGGGATTTAAACGTTAGCTCTCCGCACACATAACAAAAACTGTTCGCACTATTTACACAATTTCTAGGCATTGTTCATAAAGCTAGTTCGATCACAATAAACTAAAAGCAACACACCGTTTTAACAAAAATTAACAGTACTCAGAACATCTCAGTACTCTTCAACACGGAAAACGTGACTGACTCGCTGCTATTAGTCTACTAATAAACGCAATATGCTCTCTAAGCATAGAGCTCACATATAATAAACAAGAATAGACAGGTCTTAACATTATATATGTGCGTCATCGCATAAACGCCGAGAAATGCAGCGATATGAGATGTTACGTATTGTAATTCATAAAAGTAGATGTTACCGAATATCTGTGGGTGATAGAAAAATTCTGTTTTTAGATTTGATTTAAGGGTCTCAAAATACATAAAATACACCCAAAAATTTCATGTCGCATATCCTGTATTTAACAGTGTTATCACTGTGCCAGTTAGTCGAAAAAGCTGATTGGTTATTGGCAAAATAGTATTATTGTTAGTTACACTGAGCTATTTTCAATTGCAGTTATAATGAAGGAGAGCCAGTTTTCTCAAATATCAAAAATATGACATTTTATGGTTTGGAGCGTTATTGGAGATAACAAAAAGAGGATTGCTGTTAAAGGATAAATAAAATTACATTTCTTAATGTAACGACCATGTTTTACATGACCTCCATTTTCCATATAACATTTGCTTAACCTTCCAGAATAACCACCAGTTCTGGAAGCTATAAAGTGCTCTTGATATTGGCTAATACTGACCCTCCTTCATTATAATATACTAAGTGACATATAAACCCAGTTTAAATGGTTTTATTTTAATAAAAGATGGTGAATGTATTTATCTTACTGTAAGTAACAAGTGAAAAAATTTTCAGCCTTATCAGTTGGACATTCCGGTTTTTATACTGCTTTTTTTTAATTCACTAACGCTCTAAAAATGAATATTTCAGCCGCAGTACAGAATCAACGTTGGCGGATTTTGGTTCTTGACATCCTTTACAATCGGTTACGATGCCTAGAGTACGGAGGCCTGTATGATTTTGTCACTTAGTGAGTTTGGACTTTCTTTTCGAGCAATTGCAGTTAGAGTGCAAAGAAGTGTAGACACTGTCGTTAGGTGTTGTCAGGCATGGCTTCGAGAAGGCCGTACGCAAAGAGCAAGGGGCACTGGACGCCGCCGTAGAACAACAGACCGTGAAGATCGCCGCCTAAGATTATTGGCCTTAAGGGACCGTTTCTCCACTACCAGGTCCATTGCAAATGAATGGTTTGCAGAACACGGAAGACCTATTGGCATGCGAAGTGTTTACCGATGAATGAGAAGTTTTGGCTTGTTTTCATACCGGCCACACTGGGTCCTCTCTTTAACTCGAGAACACCGACGTAATCGCCTTGAGTGGTGCAGACAACGGTCACTCTGGGATCAGGAATGGAACAGTATTGTCTTTAGTGACGAGTCTCGATTTTGTTTAGGCATGCACGATGGAGGAATCCACAGTTTTTTGTTCAAAGACATGTTCATCACACTGTTGGAGTTATGGTTTGGGGTGCTATAGCTTATGGTTCCAGGTTACCTTTAATCTTCATCAGAGGTAACATGAACGCGCAGCGTTATATCCACGAGGAGATTGCTCAATTTCCTCAGACTCTAGAAGCACTTCGAGAGGAGTTGGTGGTTGCCTGGAATGAGATACCACAGGAGGACATTGACCACCTGATCAGAAGCATGCCTAGGCGCGTTGGAGAATGCGTAGCACATCCGGGTGCATCCACACATTATTAAAGGTCAAAGGGCTTTAAAACAGTGCAATCATTTTAAAATTTTTATCATTTACTTATTATGCTTCATTAAGTACTTATACAAAATTTTATTAAAATAAAACCATTTAAACTGGGTGTTCGGATTTATATGTCACTTAGTATACTAATACCATTAGAAAAATCACACTACAGGTTGTCGAAGATACATGTGAGAACGGGGTTTCCTTATAGACTCTGGTATGATCTTTATGTGGATTTCTCTAATCTTAAAAAAATGATACTAGGTGGGTTGAAATGTTTAACTGTGAGTATTCTAAAGCAAACCTGTTCCAAAAAAGGTTGATATTTGTAGACAAACACGGTAATCTCAAAATTTGAAGACGATTCAACGTTTTTGAAATATGCTAGTGATTTGATGAAACCGTAGTTTCAGTCTTTTTGATGATTATTCATATTTTTGATTTTACAAAGAAAGATGTAAACTGAGCGTAGTCCAAGTACATTCGGTACAGTCCGATTTCCGTTGTTACTGGGCGTACTACGTGTGGTTATTCGGCCGACGGTTGGGGAGAATTATCACCCCCGACTGATGTCGCGCTGACAATGCCTTAAACCTCAAAATTTGAAAGCTAAGATCCCTTTCAAAAGCCCCGCAATCAACGCTGATGTCTCGACTCGTACGATTTGGATACGTGCAAAAATACAGCGACTGTCAAATTTTTGGATATCTGCCAACTTTAAAGCCGGTGAATCTTGTATTGTTCATTGAACTGTTGCGATTTTTTTCGAGAAATTCGTTACTCTTCATTTTCAGTGTAAACCTTATCTGTGAATAATGAGCGATGTTATAAGTAAGAGATAAGTCGTCTTTCTGCACAGATGGTGTGAATTAGCAGCAAAGATTGTATGTAAGTTTTCAGTGTTGTTACTTAACCTTGCCATGATGTTACATGCGTTCTTTCAAACAATCTACAATACACTATTTTATAAATGGTTCAATCTCTGAATTGCAAAAATTCTTCGGTGCATAGTCTTATCAGTTACATTTTGGGTTAATGTATCTATCTGTTCTGGAAGTGTTACGATGATTCTTGTTCGAAAATTTATTTGCGTATATACATTTATATGTACATGTACTTTTATTGGAATTTGTTTACGATGGTTTATAAATTGCAATGATTCATTTGCGGGGGTAAAACCAACTTTAGCCTTGCCAAGCTGTTCTGACCACGTAAATATCCAACTTTTGCGAAACTCGAAGTGCATCAAGAAACAATTAATGTGACTGTGATTTGTTTTCTAAATAAGAGCATGAAAATAAACTATACGATGTAAAGGAGTTTAACAGAATGCTTTTGTTTAAAACCGGATAATTGAAAATATTTTTATTTGTTCGCAAAATTAATTCGGACTTTAACCCACTTAGAAGTTGTTGACCTTATCTGTGATTATTATTAGGATGTGAAAAATAACAAAGCTTATACGTTCCTTTGTGATAAAAGAAACACAAAAGCATTATTTTTTCTACTTTTTCTACGTACTTTGATTATGCGTTAATGTAAAAAAAATGTTTTTGTGATATACGCTTGTTACAACAAAAGGTACCAATGGAAATTTTGTTATTCAAGGTCCTATAATATTTTGGAGGTGTCCAGCGACCAAGCGTTTGTGAAACTGTTCGAATCCTTGACAAATCGGGTACGGTACGTAAATTTCGAATCTGGCGTCATTTTGATCTTAAGACTTGCCACAGGAGGTTCCAAGCAATGTGTTTTATACGTCACAAGCGGAGTTGTCAACCCTCAAAATAACTTAAGCAAGTTATTCATATTTATCTATAAATTTTTTGTATTGAAATATATACCTACTAAGTGACATATAAATCCGAACCCCCAGTTTAAATGGTTTTATTTTAATAAAAGTTGGTGAATGTATTTATCTTACTGTAAATAACAAGTGAAAAAAATTTCAGCCTTATCAGTTGGACATTCCGGTTTTTATACTGCTTTTTTTTAATTCACTAACGCTCTAAAAATGAATATTTCAGCCGCAGTAAAGAATCATCGTTGGCGGATTTTGGTTCTTGACATCCTTTACGATCGGTTACGATGCCTAGAGTACGGAGACCTGTACGATTTCGTCAACTTAGTGAGTTTGATAGGGGCCGTATAGTGGGACTTCGGGAAGCTGGATTTTCTTTTCGGGCAATTGCAGTTAGAGTCCAAAGAAGTGTAGACACTGTGGTTAGGTGTTGTCAGGCATGGCTTCGAGAAGGCCGTACGCAAAGAGCAAGGGGCACTGGACGCCGCCGTAGAACAACAGACCGTGAAGATCGCCGCCTAAGATTATTGGCCTTAAGGGACCGTTTCTCCACTACCAGATCCATTGCAAATGAATGGTTTGCAGAACACGGAAGACCTATTGGCATGCGAAGTGTTTACCTACGAATGAGAAGTTTTGGCTTGTTTTCATACCGGCCACACTAGGTCCTCCCTTTAACTCGAGAACACCGACGTAATCGCCTTGAGTGGTGCAGACAACGGTCACTCTGGGATCAGGAATGGAACAGTATTGTCTTTAGTGACGAGTCTCGATTTTGTTTAGGCATGCACGATGGAGGAATCCACAGTTTTTTGTTCAAAGACATGTTCATCACACTGTTGGAGTTATGGTTTGGGGTGCTATAGCTTATGGTTCCAGGTTACCTTTAATCTTCATCAGAGGTAACATGAACGCGCAGCGTTATATCCACGAAGTTCTAGAACCCCATCTTTTACCCTATCTTGACACCCTGGCAGATCCAACTTTCCAACAAGATAATGCCCGACCACATGTTGCAAGAGTCACAATAGACTTCTTTCAACATAATGATGTCACATTGTTACCATGGCCACCAAGATCTCCCGACTTATCCCCAATTGAGCACGTGTGGGATATGATGGGTAGGAGATTGCTCAATTTCCTCAGACTCTAGAGCACTTCGAGAGGAGTTGGTGGTTGCCTGGAATGAGATACCACAGGAGGACATTGACCACCTGATCAGAAGCATGCCTAGGCGCGTTGGAGAATGCGTAGCACATCAGGATGCATCCACACATTATTAAAGGTCAAAGGGCTTTAAAGCAGTGCAATCATTTTGAAATTTTTATCATTTACTTACTATGCTTCATTAAGTACTTATACAAAATTTTATTAAAATAAAACCATTTAAACTGGGTGTTCGGATTTATATGTCACTTAGTATATTTGAACATATGTATTTTAAACTTTTATAAACAGTTTCCTCTTTATTTTAGTACTTGATTGTTCTTTAAAGATGACAATACTTCAAACATAGTAGGTACTGCTACCACAGCCGGTCAAATGACCGTACTTTATATTACCGTATTGAACGTATCTAATTTGGATGTTAGGAAGGAAGTAAACAAATTAACTTTATTTCAATTAACTGCAGTGGCGTATATAGAACCCGAGCTCGGGAGGTCAAAGTAAAAAATGTTAAACATTCAATTAGGGTACGTTTCGAGGGATGTACACGAACATTACGTTTTAGTTTTATTTTCAAAATTTGTTTTTCAAAATTTTTAAGTAGCGCGACGATATTGAAAGGAATGTCATTTTTCCCCTAAAAAACTGGCAACTATCTGTTTTGTGCTTTTTTGAGAAAATTTACATAGTTTCATATTATCAACGTGTAAGTGAAAACAATACTTACAAGTTTTATGGATATTTTTAGACATCTTGGAACGATGAATGTTAAAAATAGTGCAGTAAACGTTGTTTATCCATTTATTAAAGAGCTTGAAAATAGCATAAGCGTGCTTTTCTGAAGAAAGAACGTAATATTTAACTTTTGCAGCGGGAAAATACTCGTGTATTTTTCAATATTGGAGAAAAGTTGATAAAAACAAAATATCGCGAAAGAGTTATTTTCCTCCTTTGAAGTAAAGTAACGTATCTTTCCATATATTTCATGACCCATCACAAAATAAACATACACAATGCATTTCAGGAAGGTCACCCTTCCTTATATTTTGAACAGTTAGCAACCTAAAATGCAGAGTGATGAAACTGACGCTCAATTACTCGTACTAATAAATAATAATTTTTATATAATTCCAAGATGGCTGCTGGGTACCATCTAGTAACATTTTTTTAATAGAATACGGGTATTTTGAAGTTCTTTATGAGTAATTTATAGCACTAGAATATAAAATCATTACCATACAAAATGGCGGGCTACCAGGCTGCCAAAGTTGAATGCTTTTGTATATTTAATCGCTTATAATTCAACAATCGATCATCAAAACGTTATATGTTATATCTCTTTTTATTTTGAAATAAGTAATCCAATAAACCATAAGATATTCAGATAAAAAATGACGGATTTTGACAATTTTCTTTTAATAGATATGATCAAGAAACGTGCTACTACTCTGTCGCTGACATTAATCAAATTCAAGCGAATAACCAAGTGAAAATGGTATTTACCATTTTGGATTGGTATTTACCAATCCGTTCAAGCGAGTGTGGTTATCAGTTTGGTTATAGGATCCGTGACGTCATGAATCAGCTGTTATATGTCATAGTTATCACCGCAAAATTGTGGTATTTACCCAACTCACGAGTAGTTTTATATTTCTGGTTATTATTTGAAATGTGACAAGTTACAATTTTGCCGGGTATTGTATATTTTTATTGTACTTCAGCTTCATTTTTGGGAACCTTGATACAGGCTGACCTCAGTTTTAGCACAAAGTAGACCACCTTATTAGTTATAATCATTACTGTTGTTGGGGACACTTCTATGTTCCTATGCTTAACAAAGTATCCTGTGTAGCCATATACCACAAGAATTTTAAAATATGCCCTTATAAAAGTTTAGAGAATTGAAAGTTATCATGGCTACAAAGCCATGGTTTCATTAAAAAAAAAAATCTGAAAAAAAAAACATTTCTCCCATTAATATTATGAAAGGTTTCTTTTTTAAACTTTCCATACACCGAAAAAGCACCGATTATTAAGTGATAATAAAAATAATCTGAAACTATATACGAGCTTCTCTAAAATAAACAACTTGCAACAAAACCGCGGTTAAAACCAACGCGTTCAAGCGACTCGAGTAACTGATGTCATCAACCCGTGTGTCATCTTGAACAATATTATAACCGCGGTACATAACACAGAAATTTTGGTTATTCGCTTGGATTTCATTATTGTGTGTTGATTTATTTTTTAATGAAGTCCAATACATGTACTTTGTGTCTTCTGGAGGATAAATGTTATTATTATGTTACTACATATTCGGGTAGACCTTCTACATATAGTCAACGCCAAACAAAGTGGCGTGCACGTCATCAAGGTGGGTGTGTTGAAAAATTTACATTGTTGCCAAACTTTTTGTAAAATAATAAAATTTATTATTTACATATCTAGGTTTATAAGCAATATTAACCTCAAATGAGAACAAAAATAATAGTATCTATAATAAAATTATAGATCTGCACTTGCATAATCATTAAGTATGACAATTATTGATCAGATGACACTATGAAACTACCATATTTAATTGATAGCTTAAAGGTACTGAATAAAAATCCAAATGGGGTCCTCCAAATTTTATGCATGGTATTTATTTTACAGAATTCATACAGAAAAATGCATTCTAAAATTAGGTAAGCTACTGGTGTAAGCTTTTTCTGTAAAATAAAGTTAGTCGGAGTTTCTTTCTTCAGCGCTGTCTGAATCTGAATCTTCATCACTCTCAAAGTTGATTATTAAAGGTTCGATGTCTGGTCGATCAAAAATTCGTTCTCTTTCATACCATTTAAAAATTTCTTGCTCAGTATGTCGAACACTATTTTTCCACATGTCTGGGGTAACCGTTTGTAGAGCCTCGTTCCACATATCCAAACAGTCTTTTTCACTGTCACCATCTCTACCAATATGTCTGTTATAGTAACCTTTTGCTATGCCCCAAATTAACTCAATAGGGTTAAATATACAATGGTAAGGAGGCAGACGAAGAACTTTGTGCCCATGTTGTTCCGCCAATTCATCAATCACGTATATTTTAGGTGGTTTGTTTCTAAAAAAGCAGTTATTTTAAGAATAGGAATAAACAAAAGAAATATAAACTGTCGACCAAAATATATATAATTAAGAAGCATTATGTACCGAGCAACAATACTCAATAGCTCTGTTTTAAACATTGTGTTTAAAAATGGTATGTTTTCATTTGTCAACCAGTCTTGGATATTTTTTTTTGTCCATGCATTGTTGGGCACTTTGTTCAATATCATGCTGTGATAAGGGGCGTTATCCAGTATAATCATAGATGGACTCTCCAATTTTTCTAATAACTGATGTTGAAACCATTTCAAAAAATTGTCCTGGTTCATCTCTCCATGGTAATCGCTCAATTTTGTTTTCGAAGAAAATATCGCTTCACTACCCTCAATAAACCCATTTTCATTTCCAGCATGTAATATAATGTATCTAAAATATATTAGTTTTAAATTTTATAGTGCAAATTGTGTAAAAGTACATACCTTTTACCATCTGTTTTAATAGCTTTCACGCTTTTTTGGTTTCCATTTTGCCAAGAGCGACCTATGGTCCCATTTTGAAATATCCAAGTTTCATCGAGGAAGACAAACTGGTATAAGGCCTCAACCTTGGCTTGATTGTATTGCCTTAGAAATTCCACCCTTTTCAAAGCTATACTTGGTAGTTCCATGAGCCCTCGTCGCGGATTGTCCTTAAGCCACTTAAATCCAAGATCTCTAAGCAACCGCCTTAAAGACGTGGCACTACCATCAAATAATGCCCTATCTCTTAATCGAGACCATAAAGTTTGTATCGTAACTTGTTCTTCTGAAACCATGTGTAATATGACATTATAATTTAGTTAACAAATTAATGCAAATTTCTGATAAGTTATTATAATAAGATCTTACTTTTGTGATACATATTATAGATCACTTCTCGAATGGCACTTGTATCCAATGTCGCTGTGTTGGTTACACGTTTAATATAACTCCGCTTTTTCTTGGGCGATTCTAAATTTGCATCACTTTTCACACCCTCGGAAATACGACTAACTGTCCTTAAACTAATTTTTAAAGCAGCAGCAACACGCTACAAAAAATGAAATAAAATTTCACTATTATTAATATACATTACATATAATTATTAGTAACCTACCTCTTGAACAGCATTTAAAGGCAACAAAGGCCCGTTGTTGTCCCTTTCTTGCTCAAAGTAGTGCATTAACGAGGCCACGAGTTCCTTACACCGACTATTTAACTGTTTGGGCATCTTTATATACCAAAATTGCCTTTATCTACTCGTAAAATGAATAATTTTGTTTTGAAACAAACAGTTGTTGATTTACAGTATGCAGGGCCAAAGGATTTATAAAGATTTGAAATGCCACAAATTGATTCAGTGTCAAAATTAATACAAATGTCAGTTCCCAGTTTAAATAAGTTTCAAGGTGACAATGTTTGTGTCAACGCTGCGAAATCGGTTTAGTGCGTTTACATGTCGATAAATGATTGGAGCGTTTGCAAAACATTTTATTTCGCATAATGCGTCTAAATTTATCAGAAAGCAACTTATGTGATATTTTAATAACAATGTTTATATGACTATTAACCATAATAAGAGAGTAATGACCATTTTACAATTTATATATCACATTAATATGAAACTGCAATAGAGCAATTGTTTGTGATAGAAACCTAGGCATTAGGTCGGGGAATTTTTATCGTGATGACGTGCACGCCACTTTGTTTGGCGTTGACTATAGAAGAAAATTGATATATACGCTTGTATGCGTTTGATGTTTGATTAAGTAGTTAAAGCGACTCAATGTACAAAAACGCACCACTTCGATTGTCTGCCAGTTCGCCATTTTTAAAACATGGTGATTTTATATTATAGGGTTATAAAATATACTCATAAGGAGCTTCATATACCTCCTCCACGCTAAAATATAGTTTCCATGCATCAATTTCGTTACCCAGAATTTCAGCTTAGTGACTTGACCCGTTCGGAACATAAGTAAGAGGAAGGGGGCTTTTTGAAAAGCACTGTAAACGTCTCCATGCAATAATGTTTTCTACCTAGAACCATACGTTTCTGGACCCTGGTAGGAAACCATCCGTCACGACGACGTAATAGTTCGTGTGAATATTATTGGCAAATTTGCCCAGAACATGATCGGTATTTTCTACCATTCAGGGGGAGCCCTGATCCCCCCACACCACTCCCCCCCCAATTATGCACTTTTTAACTGTAAATAATTCATAAAAAAATCATGAATTCAAATGTGCAGAAGCCATAAGATGATATGTTCAATTTCAATGCAAAAGTCCAAAATCTGTTTTTCAAACGGCTTTTAGTGTTAAAAGCTCAAATTTCGCAATTTAGCATTGTTTATCCAAGTTTCACCAATTTACGAATATCAGTATTTCTATATGAGCAGATGATCGCAAGACGTTCTAATTCTAACTCATAATACGACATATAAATACATACATACATTTTAAAAATACTTTAAAATGAAGCGTCCACTTCGCTCATATTAAAAAAAGTTAAAGTCTCATTATAATTGGGTAATGTTTTGTTTCAACTTTTGTTTTTATCCGTCCGCTGAGGAGCAACACTATTATCTTTATATGTATTCAGTGCTTTTCAGAAAGCCCCTCCCCCACTTCTTTGTAAAAAAAACATAAAAATCGTTAGAAAACCCGACGAAATAAATGTCGTCTTGGAGACAATTGTGCAAATAGTTCATTCCACGTTTGCTGGCTATGATCGCTGTTCGGTGACGTTTAAGCAACCCGTACAGCTTCAAAACAAGTACACAACAAGTGTACAACAGCTTGTACTAAGTTAACATCTTGTAGAAAAACCTACGTTATGTCACAAAAAACCTACGAAATGTCAATAAAAATCTACAGAATGTCACTTTTCAAGATATGTAATACCCGTGCTGGTTAACAAGCTGATATTCGGGGGATAAAATTAGCATATCAATACTGTATTGATGTTTTTACAGTTGAAAATTTCAAGATGGCGCCCAGACATTTTTTAAACAGAATGGGGAGCTAGATTTCTGAGAGCTATACAACCCTTGGTGACAGGATTGGACTCATGTAACATATATCTTACGCAGTTTAACCTCCTATCTCTAGTCTTCGTATTCTCTCCCTTGGGAATTGATATCAAATTCTGACAGCTGTTGATATTTTTGTCAAACAAGTTTGTGAATGTATTCATTTTCGGTTAAATACGTTTCTTGGTTCATTATATGATTAATCGTTATATCATAAAGTCAACTTAAACGTGATAGTGATGCACGACGGCGAGACTTTTTCTCCAGAGGATGATTCGGAAACCTGTTATTGTATTACCTTCAGGAATAGTTTCCCCCCGTTCACGCCCACTTTTTCTTAGCAATTCCTTTCCCCTATTCCAAGAATTGGCCTCCTGACCTGGCGACCGGAGTATATCATTTAAATGTCAAATAAAAAAACGGTAAAATGTCTAGTCTAAAGGTGACCTTAGGGAAAAACTACACAATGTCATAAAAAATCCATATAATGTCACTTTTTAAGTTACGTAATATTCTGAGATTTCAGCAACATTGTTAATGAAGCACATTGCTGGATAATGTCTTTTGAAATTAGTGAGTCATGTCATTAAGACATTTTTAAAATGTGTCATGGATGTCATCACGTCATTTGAAAACTTGGTAATATTCGTCTGCATTTTACTTTCTTTAAAAAAATCCGCTTCGGTCTCTATCAGATAGGAAGGGTTGTGCCCAAATATTCTTCTGTTTGTTTCTCTTCATTCTTTTTCGCTGTAGATAAATTATCGCGAACTCTTTTAATTCCATTTTGCAAGGACGAAAATGGGGTTATCGCACGGACACTGTTTCCCAACGAATTCGAAAATATTAGAAGGAGCTAAGCTTATATACCTATGTTGTATCAACACAATAATAATACTTACCGATCGAAATATCTACCTTCATTACACTTGTTCTGCTTGTTGCAAATTACGTAAGAAGTACCATGTCTTGAAATGGTCTATCAGCTCAATCATCAACAAAAACTCGTACTTGGGAAAATAACACCAAAAATATGAATTTAATGCCAAAAAATTAACTTTTATCAAGTGCACTTGTAGTATGTACTTTGACCTCACCCCCTCACTACAGCCTATGGGAATTAGGAGACAAGAAAATCTTCGACTAGTCTAAATTCGTTACTATCACCTCACAAGCTCTATCTGACGACCAGGCTGTATCATTTGCGGCGGCGCCGTGGCCTTCCAGTCAGGGAGGGCTATAAATGTACCAAATTCCATTTGCTTGTAACAATGGGAGGCTAAAATGGGAATGTTAGCCTCAAAGTTTACAATATGATATCAAAATCATTTTCGTTGTCTGTAATTTTGCAAACAGCATTCCAAAAATTGTCTGAAGATCCTTTTTGTTGCAGATAACAATCATGTATCAGGGCATATCAACTAGTTGACATCAACCTTAAATAAGAAGAACTACCATCACAAAAATGGATTTTGCTGTAGGAGGTGCCGCGGCAATGGGTGCGTCGATTTTTAGCAACCCATTTGACGTACTCAAGACCAGAATGCAACTACAAGGAGAACTTAAGGCTAGAGGACATCATCCAGTGCATTATAGGTATTTATCAGGCAAAAGCAAAATAAATATCTGCTTCACAGTAGAGATGAAAACATGTATGCAAATATGATAATCACAAAGCAGCTTACCTTTTTACTTCCCACACCTACTTGCGATTTTTGGATGTTATTTGACATGTACATCACGAAAAACCATGTCTCTCATTTCCGTTGGTCTGTCTGTCTGTCCGATAATCTTTGGCCCGTCTATAATTTGGATTGCTTTTGAAAATCAGCCCAGTGGCGGCGGAGCTGGGTGCCAGACAAGGGAAAAATAAATATCGCTCAAACTTCGTTTTATGACCTTTCAGAAGATCTGATCATTTTTGAAAAAAAAGTTAGGGGTAAAAGAATTGGGGGAGAGCGAGTAGTTTAGGGGGTGGTTAAGGGTTTATTGCAATTTTTCGATGTTAATATATTGATACACTTCCAACCCCGGTAATTCTACGCACCTATTAGACATATTTCACACATCAGATTTCCCCGTACATTTGCCCTTAAAACGCTAGAGCAATGTTTTTTGCACTCGTCCCTATGTCGGCTAGCTTTACTGGCCGGTGTACCGTTCTTCACAAGTGTCCTCGCATGGCTGGCGCTATGTCGCGGTGCCGTATCTGACGTATCGTTCGGGTATTGGGGACAGGCGATGTTGCCAGATATACGGTACTATGGGTAGGGCAGAGTAATAATATCTTACTCCGATAGGGTCTAAGTTGTGCTGAACATGATCCTTGATGAATTAACGGTGACCTTGCAGAATCAACCTAATTGGCGTATTTTTTTTGCTTAACATTGATGAGGCAAAATTACTATGTAGTGTACTACTTCATGTCTTTATGTGAACTGGCACGTACATATTTTCTTGCTATTTGCAATACCCATTGATATATATGTACTTCCTGAGTGATACGTACTAACGTGATTTATAAAGTGATTCAAAAGAGCATGCGCCCATACTGAGTTATATGGCTTATAATTTCGGAATTGATAAAAAGTAGTAAATGACGTTCTTCGTGGCTCAACCTCCAGCGCAGAAACAGGAACATAATTACCCTCGAGGTGAATAAAGAAAGATAATTGCAATTCCAATGACTTATTTGAAACATCCGCTGCATTTTTTGTATACAAAATAGATCCAGTTTACTCTGAAAATATTCTGGAGTTGGTGAAGTTTGTCACTGAAAATTGTATATTTAGTTGTAGTATGGGGAGCTATGCAAAATTCTCAAATTGTATTCCACACACTGTCATCTGAGTCAATGTCGACTCTGTTTATAGCTAGCGATATATATTTTGTTTCTGCTCTTTGAATATTGTCATAGTCCTTTGAATCACTCTGTATAACATCAAGGCAGCTTATGTTTTTTGTTTAACATGGATACGCTACCTTTTCTGATTTTAATACAAATTGATATCCAACTTTATTTTCTTAAAATTTGATGACATACATCTTATAGGATAACCTTTGTGTCTGCTGCCTTATATCCAATAAAGTCCTAGTAGGTACTTCATATTACACTGATAAATAAAACGTGTTGTCGCTGATACTATACAGGCTTTCAATTTAAACTCCCTATCATGCTAATCTTGTATGGTAGTAGTAGGAACAGAATATGTAACCAGCATAACTTATTTTCTAGGAATGTGGTACATGCAGCTTGGGTTATAGCAAGGGAAGAAGGTTTGGGTGGTCTTCAAAAAGGACTGGGACCTGCTATGATCATGCATGGAGTTAGAAATAGTGCTAGATTAGGTGAGCTACTCGTAATTACCTTGCGGATAAAATTATGAAGTGAATTATTGTCGCCATATATATATTATCATTCTTATAGTATATTCACTGAATCACAGGAGTTACGCCACAATGTCAAATAATGACAGTGACGCACATGGTTGCCACATTAATTAAAACTGCTAGATCGTAGGAAATAAACCACAAACAACAGCCGTTTGCGTAATTACCTAACAAGCTTTGCGACAATGTCACAACACAGGAAACTGTCACCAACATAAATGTACCCGGGAAATTCAAACTATACGTACCAATTTAGAATCCATTTTGGATTAAGGTTGGCATTCAAATCTACTAAATATGAAGTAACTGTTTTGTTTCAGGGAAAGGACTATAGATGAGTTCTCTAACTTCGGTTTTGAAAGTGATTCTTTTCCAATGAATAGGCAATCCTTATACTGGCTTATTCAGAGGGAAGAACGTTATAATATAGCTTGCTATACCATTTGTGGAATGTAAGTCCCCCCCTGGGCGGACCGAGATTGACCACTAATATGTCGCTCTCAGAAGCGCTTGAAGCCCCCTCCCTCCTAGAACTTCTCTTCTAAATTCGCCAGAGGCTCTCTTTCAGAGTGACGTATATAGGGTGTTTCCTAATTGAACGTCAATATTTGAGGGGGCGATTTTTGATTCCATTTTAAAAATAGAACTTCCTATGAACGTACGTCCTGAACGTCTCAACTTTTGAGATACAGGGTGGTAAGGTTTTCAATATAGAAAGTCAGCGGAAGGCCAATATTATAAAGAAATTAAATCTGAATTCTTTTATAAGTAGATTTTATATCTTGAATTTTTTTCGTTCGACGCATGGTATTCACCTAATAAAATAAAAGTTATTACTCTGCATGGTGATGTTTTCATATTGACATATTGTTAGCATCATATAGAGAAACGCTTTTTGTTTTTTCCTTTTAAGCGAAAATTTTCAATCGGATTGAAAATATTTGTTAATGATTAGATTTCAACAATAATTTTTATTTTAAGGAAAATTAGTGGCGTACCATCAATGTTCGCCAAACGTAGTACATAAAAAATGCCTCTTGAAACATGTATGCCAAATTTCAGTTAAATAAAATATCTTATGTGGTTAAGTGAACAAGAACTTGAGAGAAATGGAAAATGGGCGCTGACGCTGTTGCGGATGCGCTCATCCGAAAAATTGTATAAAACTCTAGTGTGGTATTTAGAGATAATAATAAGTGATTTATTTTTGAAACCTCTACCACACTGTATCTCAAAAGTTTAGACGGTTAGGACATACCTTCTTATTATGTTTAGTTTTAAAAATGGACCCAGAAATTGCCCCCTTAAGTATTGACATTCTTTTAGGAAACACACTGTATAAAAATTTGCCTTTACAATTTGATTAATTTTGCCACATGGGCGCTCGCAGGAATTTTTCTCAGGGAACCATATTATATATCGGCAGGGAGGACCACATCCTAAATATTGTCTCAAAAGTATGCTAAATATGCAAATTTCGGAAGGAAGCTAGGTTCTCAACAGGAGCTCGGCCTCCCTGGCCTTCCCTTGTGGGCGCCCATATTATTTGCTACATTACTTTTTGTTTATTTTAATGAATGGTGAATGTGCTGCGTACTATATAGGTAATGCGAACATTCACCAACAAATAACATTACAATTCCAAGAATGAATCCATAAAACATGTATTTACTTATCATTTACTATTCCACCTACAGCAAAACAAGAACAAATCCAAAATTCACAAATCCTTCGAAAGCTTCATACGCACCTTTTACTCACACTTCTGTTTGAAATCAACACAACTAACTACTTACACCGGCACTGCCTTTGTCCGATTTTATCCGCATATAGTCTTAATCATAATTTTTCTCTCTTTTAACTTCACTACAATTACTATTCTAGTAGTAATAATAGTAGTAGTAGGATGAATTTATTTAGCTCTCGTGGCTATATAGAAACAAATTTCATACAAATATAGCATTTCGTTTGTTAAAGATTTATTTAGCATGATTGCTACAATTACATTCTTTTTAAAAAACTACACCAATTACATAAAATACAAATATTCAGAAAAATAAAACTTGCATCTCTAAGAATTTTCACTGTCAGTGAAATGTTCCTTTAATTTTCATTAAATTACAAGTAGACTTTATATCATTATTTAGTTTATTAAATTCAAGTAATCCCTTGATTTGCTAGTAACATTACTATTGCAATTTTATAAGTGGAAATATATATTTCCTCTTGTATAATAAATGTGGTAATAATCATTCAGTTCTATGTAATGTTCTAAATGTTGTGGCAAAAGATGATTTTTTTATTTTAAATATGAAAATAAGGATCAAATATGATATTATATTCAACCGCTGCAATTTTTGTAACAAAGATTTTATTTTGGTGTACTTATTTTCATTCAATATTACTCTCAAAGCTTTATTTTGTAGGGCCTGTAATTTTGAGAATAGAGCTTCATTGGCAGTGAACAAGATGGTTGAATAATACATAGTGATCCTCAAGCTTTAGTTTACTATATATATATATATATATAGATATATATATATATATATATATATAGGGGATATATAGGGGAAAGGGGGGTAAGATGACGATAGTAAGCTTATTATACATTTTTCTCAATGCAATTTTAATTTGGTAACTTGTGTTCAATTTTAACATTAACTTGAAACATTAAGAAATAAAGAGAATTATCAAATACTTAAATATTTCAAGATTTTCTATTTAATTTTTTACCTTAAAAATTGGATGTCAAGTTCGTCATCTTGCTCTCGTAGGCGGGTAAGATGACAATATTAGGTGGGTAAGATGAAAAAAAACCTATATTTAAAAATTAATTATATTTTTATTAAACTTTACAAAAGTCACAAACATATGCCCTTACGATTTGCCTCTGATGCTGTAAGACCAGTACAGGCGGCATGCACCCATTTACTACAAGAGGAGCAGGCATACCAAAGTTCATCTTTGCCTGATTCACTGCAAATTAAACAAACTTCTTCTGTATCTCCTACGTAATCGATGTCATCATCACTTTCCATGTAATCTATTGATATGGAGGAATCTGAAGACACACTGTCATTATCAAACTTTATTTGTCTAACATGTTTCTGCTGTTTTTTCTTTTGTGTGGCCATCTTTTTCGGTTTATTAGCATTTTTTCTAGCATTTTCAGCTTTTCTTCTCTGACTTTCTTTTTTCTTCTCCTCTTTAATTTTTTTCTCAGCTTCTTTAATTTCCAATGCATCCTTAACAGGAGTACTAGTTATATACAATGATGGCAATTTCTTTCTTGTTTTTTTTTTTGTCGTGGGAATAGCAACAGGGAATTGAGGCAAGCCAAATAATGTTTTAGAAGGTCCAGCTGTAGGTTTGAGGGTAGCAAGTGAACTTTTTTTAGATGGTCCTGCTATAACTTCAGAGTTGACAAGAACTAAAGAAGCATCAGTATCACTTGGGTTTAATTCAGTAGTAGCTGTAGTTTGTATTGACATATCATTGTCAGAAGAGGGGTTTTCTCTATTAAGATCCTTTGACACTTCGAATGGTTTATCTGTCGTCATTGAAGGCTCATAGTCAGAATCATCAAAAATTTGAGAATTTAGTGGAACTAAACCAGTTGCTTTAAAACCTTGAACAGCATTTTTTATTGTGGCAACCTTATTGTAAGCCACACTAAAAGTCCCTGCCCCATCTTTAATTGTAATGACTTGACCTGGATGTTACATTAAATAATCATTGCATGGCCGGCTATAAGCGGTTTTAAAGGGTCCGTAAAAAGACACATCCAACAGTTGCATTCTCGTACGATGACTTGTATGAGGAGGAAAACCCAAAACATCAATAAAGTTTTTTCGCCATAAACTTCCTGCCGGTAAAGTTACGTGCGACGAATGGTTGTCCATTAAAAGTAAAATAGGATTGTCCTTGGAAGGCCTTACATTTTTTATAAAATGTTGTAACCACAAAAGATAGGTGTCCGCGTTCATCCACCCTGATTCATTACATACCCCTGAAGATCCCGTAGGTGCCCCATTTAAGAAATGCTGTTGCATTCTTACTGTCGGGAAAGTAATGAATGGAGGAATATATTGGCCCACAGCACTAAAACAACAGGCCACACTGACATGTGTGCCTTTTTCGGCAGAAGACACTTTTATGACTCTACGGGTTTAAATTGGACTTAGCACGCTTGGAGTTTTAGTAGGCACAGTAGGACAGCCGGTCTCATCTATATTAAAGATTTGATGAGGAGCGTAATTTGTTTTGGCCAACACTTGATATAAAGTAAAAAATGCTTCGACACTTGTTCTATTAGAAGCTTGCAATTTCGCTGCGGAAGTAGCTTCGGGTTTTCTTAAAAAGTCTTGAATAAAGTCTTTACCTACCTTCTTAGTAATATTAACAATATTACTAAGCGGTGGGAAATCCTAAGCGTTTCGGGATAATCATAGACAATTCTTGCAAACTGTTCTCGAGTTATGCCAAATGCTCTTTTATTTACATCTTCTACATATTGCCTTAGATTTTCCATTTGCTCATTTGTAAATGTGCATCTAAATCTTCCGGCACTAACTGGCATATTCTAAAAATGATTTTTAACTTTTTTAAGCATACAAAAAGTTATCTAATATTGCATAAAAACAATAACAATAATTTCTTAATTCACAACCACAAAATCTTATTTAGTCGACCACGATTTTTACAACGACATATACACAATACATAAATGTCATTAGAGTACCGCACACATAAGACTGAATGCAGGTTTCATAGACTACAGAGTAAAAAGTGATGCTAATGCGTCATATATTTCACGTACGTGGCGCTATGTATAGTCAACGCCAAACAAAGTGGCGTGCACGTCATCACGATAAAAATTCCCCGACCTAATGCCTAGGTTTCTATCACAAACAATTGCTCTATTGCAGTTTCATATTAATGTGATATATAAATTGTAAAATGGTCATTACTCTCTTATTATGGTTAATAGTCATATAAACATTGTTATTAAAATATCACATAAGTTGCTTTCTGATAAATTTAGACGCATTATGCGAAATAAAATGTTTTGCAAACGCTCCAATCACTTATCGACATGTTAACGCACTAAACCGATTTCGCAGCGTTGACACATTGTCACCTTGAAACTTATTTAAACTGGGAACTGACATTTGTATTAATTTTGACACTGAATCAATTTGTGGCATTTCAAATCTTTATAAATCCTTTGGCCCCGCATACTGTAAATCAACAACTGTTTGTTTCAAAACAAAATTATTCATTTTACGAGTAGATAAAGGCAATTTTGGTATATAAAGATGCCCAAACAGTTAAATAGTCGGTGTAAGGAACTCGTGGCCTCGTTAATGCACTACTTTGAGCAAGAAAGGGACAACAACGGGCCTTTGTTGCCTTTAAATGCTGTTCAAGAGGTAGGTTACTAATAATTATATGTAATGTATATTAATAATAGTGAAATTTTATTTCATTTTTTGTAGCGTGTTGCTGCTGCTTTAAAAATTAGTTTAAGGACAGTTAGTCGTATTTCCGAGGGTGTGAAAAGTGATGCAAATTTAGAATCGCCCAAGAAAAAGCGGAGTTATATTAAACGTGTAACCAACACAGCGACATTGGATACAAGTGCCATTCGAGAAGTGATCTATAATATGTATCACAAAAGTAAGATCTTATTATAATAACTTATCAGAAATTTGCATTAATTTGTTAACTAAATTATAATGTCATATTACACATGGTTTCAGAAGAACAAGTTACGATACAAACTTTATGGTCTCGATTAAGAGATAGGGCATTATTTGATGGTAGTGCCACGTCTTTAAGGCGGTTGCTTAGAGATCTTGGATTTAAGTGGCTTAAGGACAATCCGCGACGAGGGCTCATGGAACTACCAAGTATAGCTTTGAAAAGGGTGGAATTTCTAAGGCAATACAATCAAGCCAAGGTTGAGGCCTTATACCAGTTTGTCTTCCTCGATGAAACTTGGATATTTCAAAATGGGACCATAGGTCGCTCTTGGCAAAATGGAAACCAAAAAAGCGTGAAAGCTATTAAAACAGATGGTAAAAGGTATGTACTTTTACACAATTTGCACTATAAAATTTAAAACTAATATATTTTAGATACATTATATTACATGCTGGAAATGAAAATGGGTTTATTGAGGGTAGTGAAGCGATATTTTCTTCGAAAACAAAATTGAGCGATTACCATGGAGAGATGAACCAGGACAATTTTTTGAAATGGTTTCAACATCAGTTATTAGAAATATTGGAGAGTCCATCTATGATTATACTGGATAACGCCCCTTATCACAGCATGATATTGAACAAAGTGCCCAACAATGCATGGACAAAAAAAAATATCCAAGACTGGTTGACAAATCAAAACATACCATTTTTAAACACAATGTTTAAAACAGAGCTATTGAGTATTGTTGCTCGGTACATAATGCTTCTTAATTATATATATTTTGGTCGACAGTTTATATTTCTTTTGTTTATTCCTATTCTTAAAATAACTGCTTCTTTAGAAACAAACCACCTAAAATATACGTGATTGATGAATTGGCGGAACAACATGGGCACAAAGTTCTTCGTCTGCCTCCTTACCATTGTATATTTAACCATATTGAGTTAATTTGGGGCATAGCAAAAGGTTACTATAACAGACATATTGGTAGAGATGGTAACAGTGAAAAAGACTGTTTGGATATGTGGAACGAGGCTCTACAAACGGTTACCCCAGACATGTGGAAAAATAGTGTTCGACATACTGAGCAAGAAATTTTTAAATGGTATGAAAGAGAACGAATTTTTGATCGACCAGACATCGAACCTTTAATAATCAACTTTGAGAGTGATGAAGATTCAGATTCAGACAGCGCTGAAGAAAGAAACTCCGACTAACTTTATTGTACAGAAAAAGCTTACACCAGTAGCTTACCTAATTTTAGAATGCATTTTTCTGTATGAATTCTGTAAAATAAATACCATGCATAAAATTTGGAGGACCCCATTTGGATTTTTATTCAGTACCTTTAAGCTATCAATTAAATATGGTAGTTTCATAGTGTCATCTGATCAATAATTGTCATACTTAATGATTATGCAAGTACAGATCTATAATTTTATTATACTATTATTTTTGTTCTCATTTGAGGTTAATATTGCTTATAAACCTAGATATGTAAATAATAAATTTTATTATTTTACAAAAAGTTTGGCAACAATGTAAATTTTTCAACACACCCACCTTGATGACGTACACGCCACTTTGTTTGGCGTTGACTATATATAAACATGGGTCGAAAAATGCGTGGCTTCCGAAATACAGGGTGTTTAAATTTACTTTCTAAAATAGTTTTTTTTTAAATATTTCGAACAATATTTGATGTATAACAGTGAAAATTGGTATACAAGGGTTTTTTGCTACGACAAAATGAACCATGGTTTTACTGTAGCCGCTAGAGGGCACTCTCTACTGTACCTGTAGTGTATTAAAATGACTTAAAATGTTTTCTTAGTACAATTTTTTGCTTTTTGAATAAAAAAACTGATTCTTCGCACTTTTCAACATAAAAAAGCTCTCTTGTGAATTCTCGTTATAGTTAGCCGTTTTTGAGATATTTCGATTTTTAAGATTAGATGCATTTTTAATTATTTATAATAAAATAACGTTAAAAAGTCAGTATCTCGATAATTTTTAGAATTAGGCTGTGCCTGCAAATATTTTTGAAATTGAAAGCAGAATAAGGTTAAACGTCAATTAGTTGACAGTTAGTTTTGTTGTCTGTTGAAACCTGAAACGTTTTTTTGCAATTGTGAATGCACGAAATTTAGTTTCTTTTACCTGTTTTTTTTTTTTGTAAGTTTTATAAAAATCAACATATTTGGTCGAATGAAAATCCGCATGCAGTTCGGGAAAGAAATTTTCAGCATGAATTTAGTGTGAACGTGTGGATTGGTATCTACCGTAATCGACTATTTGGACCCTACCTTTGCCTGCAAGGTTAAATGCTGCGACCTTCTTGGAATTTTTAAAGGCTGAACATGCAAATATGTGGGATGATGTTATGTTAAATTTAAGAAGATTGGCCTGATTCCAGCTTGATGGTTGTCCAGCTCATTATTCGAGAATAGTTAGAAACTGGCTGGACGAAAATTTCCAGAAAGATGGATCGGCCCTGTAGGACCAGTCGCCTGGCCTCCACGATCCCCTGACCTAAATCCATTAGATTTCTTAGTGTGGATATTTCTAAAAGAAAAAGTGTACCAGACTCCCGTAACCACAAGAGATATGCTAATAGACAGAATCAGGAATGCATGTGATGAAATAAGGCCTTATTTGAATAATACTATACCACGTTCGATCATTCGTAGATGTGAATTGTGAATTGAACAATTGGGTTTACACTTCGAGCAACTACTTTAGATTTTGTATGTTTGTCCTAACTATATATAGCATTTTAGTTGTAAATAATTAATTTAATTTGTTAAAAATAATATTGGAAAATTAAACAAATTAATATTCTGTTGTTTTGTGTTTATTTGTAGCTAGTAATTATTGCTGTGTTTAAAACACAATCTAAACGATCATCTTAATTACTAAATAATGCCCAAATCGAAAATGTAAAAAAAATATTATTTTCCCATGAATAATTAAAAATGCATCGAACCTTAAAAATCGAAATATCTTAAAAACGGCTAACTATAACGAAAATTCACAAGAGAGCTTTTTTATGCTGAAAAGTGCGACGAATCAGTTTTTTTATTCAAAAAGCAAAAAATTGCACTAAGAAAAATTTTTCGGTCATTTTAATACACTACAGGTACAGTAGAGAGCGCCCTCTAGCGGCTACAGTAAAACTATGCCCATGGCTCGTTTAGTCGTACCCAAAAACCCTTGTATACCAATTTTCAGTGTTATACATGAAATATTGTTCGAAATATTTAAAAAAAACTATTTTAGAAAGTAAATTTAAACACCCTGTATTTCGGAAGCCACGCATTTTTCGACCCATGTTTATATAGACTTATTTTATAAGTTCTATCGAATCTTAAAGTTATGCAACAATAAACTGAAACACCCTGTATATACGAGTATATATATATATAGGGTGACTTCGAAATTGAGTCATTTATTTTAACAGTGAGTAGATCTGATCAAAAGAAATGTTTTTTTCCTTTACCATTTTTCTGGTAAAATTAAAGTAACAAAGTTATAGCCCTTTGGAAGTTTGAGTACCGCCCTGTCTCAATAATAATACCATGTGCTCGTGTTTGGCAACAACGGATATAATAATATAACACTATTCACTCACGCGTTACCGACTGACTTATTGACTGAATACAACTGAATAAAATTGTAGTAAAAACATCGTGATAAGCGTTTCAAATTATTTCGCTTCTTTGTTTCCGATGCGATGAACCGATAAGGCGGATTATATCCGTTGTTGCCAAACACAAGCACATAATATTATTATTGAGACAGGGCGGTACTCAAACTTCTAAAGGGCTATAACTTTGTTACTTTAATTTTACCACAAAAATGTTAAAGCAAAAAACATTTTTTTGATCAGATCTACTCACTGTTAAAATAAATGACTCAACTTCGAATACCCAAATATTTAATTGATTCAACTTTTTCAATTATTTCACCGTTTATCCTAACTGTGATAGTATTTTCATTTAAGTATTTCCCAATTAGCATACATTTTGTTTTAGAAGCATTCAATTTTAGTTTATTCACATTTTAACGTCTTTAAAGCAGTGTCTATATTTTCATCTGATGTGTATGTTGTATATGACTTTAATGTATAAAATAAATAGTAGTGGACCCAATTTACTACCTTGCGGTACACGAACTAAAATATTTTTTGGGCTGGATAATGTAGATCCAATTTTGTTTTTTTTTCAACTTCTGTCAGTTAAGTAGTTTTGCAGAATTTTGAATACAGATCCTTTAAATCCATAGTGATGCAATTTTGTAAGTAATTTATCCCTGTCAAAGGCCCTTTTGACATCCAATAATACTGTTATTGTATGTTTCCTATTGTCCATACATTTCCTCCAGTCCTCTAAATCCATTTGTATTGCCGTTTCAGTTAAGTGTTTCTTCGTAAATCCATCTTGAATGTTGGTTAAAATTCTATTTCACTCGATGAATTTCTTCAAATACTTTTCAACATCTTACAATGTCGTTGATACTTTCTATGAAAAAGGTATTCATTCGTTATGCTGTTATTTTTTCATTTGTCAGTACTCCATGCAAAAGAATGTTCTCTGTCTATAAATACATATCTATATATCTAATGCATAACGGTTTCAATGTCATACACCAATTTCGTACATTTTTATAGCCATCATAGGCTCAAGTATTCATGGATGAGAAAAAATACCGTAATGCAACACAACACGTCTTCCCGATGACGAATTCTAAGCAAAACTGTATTGTACCCTACATGTTGCAAGGGCACCACTGCACAAAAAAACAATTAAAAGTATCGAATGGGGGAACCAGAAACGAAACTGGAATAGAGACAGCGAGACACCGTTTTCGGCAATACTCTGAGGAAAATAAATATGAAAGAGGCATTTTATTCAACTTCATAGATTGGTTTGCCAGCTGAGATTTTCAACTTACTTTTTTGGAGCTACTGGAAAAATATCAATCTGAAAAATGATGTTTATAAGCATGTTAGAAATTTGAAAAACACGAGATTTGATAATTCCATTTTTTCACGTATAACATGGGGAAATCGCGGAAATCTTAGAAAGCATGGTCATAAATATATGTCACTCATTTGCATCTGTCTGTCTTTGTGTGGATCAGCCAACCTATCAGTTAGTGTAATATCAGAAACGATCGAAGCAATCCTGAGCAATATGCAGACTATATGTTTTTTTTTAAAAACAGTGCTTTTCGAAAAAGCCACGTTCAACCCCGCACTTTTTTTTACTGGCTAACTGAAATTCGGTTGAATGAGGTATCGCAAGGACCCTCATGTCACTAAAAAAAATGTTCCAAGATGGTACCCAACCGCCATTCGACAGTCATTTTTACGCTAAAATATACAATTTATGTTTGTATAAATTTCATCCCAAATTTCACCATTAAAAAAATAAGATGATATGCACTGTATATATTAATCCCGTATTTTTATATATTTTTTGCAGGTCTGTACCAGTGGTTGCACAAATCAGGGTACTTAACAGACGAAGAAGGTAAAACAGTATTGCATCGTAGCGCAGTCGCGTCCGCCGTTTCAGGGGCAGCCGGAGCCTTTCTGGGTAGCCCCTTGTTTCTGGTCAAGACGCAATTGCAGTCCCAGGCGGCTGAAAGCGTTGCTGTAGGGACACAGCACGGACACAAGGGGGCTATAGATGCTCTTATGAGCATATACAGGAAGTTTGGGGTAAGATATGTTTTAATTTTGAAAATATCACAAATATCTAATTGATTGCATCTATCCAATTCCCATGGTCACTTAGATGGGACCGATTTTCAATATTTTCCCAAACATTCTGTCATACATTGACGTCAATCGTTGTTATCACTGAGATGAAAAAAACATCGATTTGCAGAGAAAAAAATGTTATAAACTCCTCAGACTAGTAGAAACGTAAATTACTTGGTTGGGAGTGGTTCTGATGACCGCATGTCATGCCTTTTAGGACTGCATTCTGTTTTTGCTTACGAGGATGATATGTGAGATCGCTTCCGGAGGATGTTGTCCTCGAAACGTGACTTTTTTTGTAAATTTACTTATTCCTCAAAAATTTGAAATAAAAATAAATGTTGTAAATTTTATCATAAACTTGAAAGCAATAATCTGAAACCAAGTGCAAAAAGTGTTATTTTTTGTATTTATAATAAAATGTAAAATTGTACCCCACTTGCGGTCTCCCATGCCCAAGGTCTCCTATAGCCATATGTTATTTCATATATATCGTCGGTCTCCGCACGTACAGGCAAATAATCTAAAATCGAGTTACACCGTAATTTCACAGATTTTTTTGGAGTCTCTTACTTCACGAAGTGACCTAGCTAAGCTAAGTTCGCTGCTAAGAATTAAAATTTTCAGAAAACTGTCTAAGCTATAAAATTCCGAAAACAAGTTTCATTTACCGGCTTAAATAGGTTTACGCCTCTGCGTTAAAACTGGTTCTACACCATTTTAGTCTAACAAAAAAAAACCGCAACGTTCAGACTAAAAAATCAGTATGTCATTTCCAATCTCATTTATTGCTGATTTTCGTTTTCTAGCTCTCCTGTAAAATTTGTAAAATGTTAGTTACGCCGGTACCTGCGGAGGCCAACGATATGTGTGAAAATAAAAAACTTTCACTATTTTGTCTAATTACCCTCAATAGGATCAATAATAACCAATAAAATGGTTTAACCAAATATATACAAAAATTTTATGAATGCGACGATCAGCTTGAAATTTGAGTTATTTTTAGGGCCGTTAAATCTACCAAGCCCCTCACGGCAGATTTTAACTTCAGTTCTAACGTACTTTCACCTCTCGCGCCAGTCGGCGAGAACGTATTGTACATAAACACAAAAACATCGAAATTGATATTGTTTTTTGGTTGTAAAATGGCTATAAATTTTATTATTTTTAAAAAATTATAGAGTCCAATATAAAGTTTTTCACGCAATATCTTTTTATATACCTACTCAGAAAAGCGCTGTCGAATAAAGTTGTATTTTTTCAAATGTATACTTTTTGTAAAAATGATAGTAATTTTTTTTCTGTTTCCAAGTTTTTGGTTAGCTGGGTGTTTTGTGTGTTGTTTATTCATGTGTAATACATGTGGAATACATGTGAAATCTATGTGTAATGTACACGTTGTATTAGGACCTCCAACGTTTGTATATAACTTTTTTTAAAAAGGTCATGTTAAAAAGTTAAGAGGGCGGGTCCAATTCCATCAGGCCATCCCTTACATCACTACCCGTTCGTTTGACCTCAAACGGCCAACTATGGATAGCTGTTTCGTACTATTTGGGAACTCCTCAGCATGGTGTAGACTTTGTCCCGGGTAGGACAACGAGCGCAAGCTGAGTAAATGTTTTCTATCCAGAGTATGATCTCTACCGAAATGAGACAGCACAAGATGACGTCTCTTAGCAGAATTGACCGCTATGAAAGTGAAAACAGCAAGCTGTCTGATGAACCTGTATCCCAGTTCGCATTGTGTGTGCGAAAAATGGTTTATGGATTATGAGCTTTTTTCGAAATAACAAAATTGTTTGGTCTTAATACCAAGGTGAATGTATATGGCTTAAATTGTTCCAAATAGGATCCTCTATCAGCCCTTAAGAGATTTGTATTGAAGTTCGAACACCCTGTATAATATATTAGAAATCTGTTTCAAGTAGGTTGACTTTATATCTCGCACCCAATTGTTTTGCTTGACTTGTGTGCTTTAGGTTTGGAAATAAATCGTACATAAACTGATCGATGACAAAAAATTGCGTGGTAAGTACCGAGTCAACCTACTTGACACCATTTTTACTTCCCACGTCAACTGGCGGGGAAGTATTGTAATCGCAAAACCTTATATAAAATAGATAGAGATATTATGTTTTTTGGGTGATACCATGTATGTACATCATCAAAAACCATGTCACTAATTTCCGTCGGTCCGTCTGTCTATCGGTTTGTCCGCTGATCTTATAACCGCCTATAACTTGAGAAGTATCGCTAAGATTTTACAGAATGGTACAACTATGTCAAAGATCCATTGGCGAGAAAATGGGGAAAATCGAAGAGGAATACAAAACGCTCATAATTCGTGTTTTGACGTTTCAGAGGATCCTGATCATTTTTGAAAAAAAAATGGAATAAAAAAAACTCGGGGGCGGGGTTTATCTCAATTGTTTGATGTTGGTACATTTATACTCGTACGTTCCCAACTCTATAATTCTACGTACATTTCTTCGTGCATTAGTCCCTAAAAATATTCTCAGCAGATGGATCGCGCACGTACCGGCCGCGGCTGCTGCTGCTGCGGCCTTTGTGAGTATGCTAGTGTTGTAGTGTTTACTACGCTATGACAGCGCTGTCACGTCTGATTAGCTTGTGTATTGGGGAGAGGCGACCTTTCCAGATGCACCATCGGTAGGACACGGAACGAATGTCTATGGACTGATTGTTTTGACCAGTTCGAGTGTTTTTTTTTTTAGAAGGTCTAGTTTGTGCTGAACATAATCCTTTATGCACTGACAATGGTATTGCGTGGGAAGTGAAGTCAACCTACTTGACCACATTTTCTTATTTCAGGTTGTTGGACTCTGGAGAGGAGTGGACGCAACGATGTTACGAGCAGTAGTTGGTTCTTCGGCTCAACTCTCGTCTTTCGCCAAGATGAAAGATTCGTTGAATGAATATGAGTTTTTCCGAAAAAACCAAGTGGTATCTTCGCTTGTTGCCAGTATTATTGGAGGAGTCTTCCAAACGCTATTCATGCAACCTTTCGATTTGGTTTCCACCAGGTTATACAATCAACGTAAGTATACACGGTACTCTTATGCTTTTGTTACTGTTTACGTTAAATTCATTGGAACACTACGATTTTTTTACAATAGACATACATAAGTCCCGGTATTATCTTAACTTTAGATGCAAAAATATTATTCAAACAGGATTCCTTTAACGAATCTGCATGTTGCCAGTCCCAAGTTGACGCCAACAAACAATTAAACAATTTGTTAAACAAATTCTGAAAATTGTTTTTTTTTCGCTCTATTCAAAACGTGTATAGGTTTTCAGGGCATTCTGAACAAAAAATTGGCTGTAGAACTTTTCTCTCAACTTGATAGTTTTCGAATTTTAAGCGATATAGTATTTGAAAAAGTGCAAAGTATGCCATTTTCGACCCCCGAAAGCAAACGAAAATGTGAATGTTGTCGAACTTCCTAAATATTTCTTAAGCATTTATTAACATAATCCCAAAGCATATTAAAGGGTATTACTATGATCTTTTAATTGTTAAGCAAGCGCGCGCTCATTGTGGTAGGGAGGCGAAGACTCTTTTTTGACGTAGTACTGAAACATTCTTGTTTTTTCAGCGGTGGATAAGTACGGCAAAGGAGTCCTTTACAACGGAATAATAGACTGCTTCATCAAGATAGGCAGTTCAGAAGGATTTACAGGGTTTTACAAAGGTGTCACAGCCAACTATATGAGACTTGCTCCACACGGGGCGTTGTGTCTCGTCTTCTGGGACATTCTGAAGAATCTACAGGTCAAATATTACGACAGAGCATACTGATAACGATAAAAGTGCATTTCTTACTAGTTAGTTTTTAGTGTATATATGTATATAATTATATTTTGTACAAAGGAATAAAAGTCGAACATTTGCGTACTTTTAATCCGTATAATGTATCAATAGTCAGACTTGAAAACCTACTTGCTACTTTTACGTTTCTGGGCAGGGCCGTCTTAACACAGGGGCTCGCGGAGCCCGGGCTCTGGGCCCCGTCATGATGGGAAGGCCCCCAAAAGCCAAATGCTTATATGTAATTTGTTGGATTCAAATTCTGTGAATGATAATCAAAATTTTACTAAAGCTACGGGTTGCGCCATCTAGCCATCACATAGACTACTACAACTTTTATGCATAAAAGTAGTCGATAACAGTGCCATCTAGTCGTTATAAAATATTCCGGCATTGCATAGCCCTTTTGAGAAAGGACAAACTGGAGGGAACATTCCCAAATGTGGAAATTGCAACACGAATTTGACACTGCTCCTGATACAATCTGGACGCCCATTGAAATGAGAAAGAATAACTGAAAGTGGGCGTGATTCTCTTACTTTAGTCAATTCCTGAACACCAACACAACTATCGTGCACCCAGCCATTCCCGGAAACAAAGTGCGAAAGTCTCGCCGTCGTCCGTAAGTCGCATCTCTAAAGACGAAATTAGAGTGAGTGATTCTGTACCCTTTCAAAAATAGGGATCATGGCGGGGAATACAATTCATTGAGCGAATACCTCTCGACGTTTCTGCGAACCCAGTAAAAAATTTGTGATTTCTTAAATTCGTCGGGGACATTTCTCAAGATCACTAAGCTGAAGTTAAAGATTTCCAATCAGGATCACAGAAAAGCGAAGAGGTATAGAAATATTTTTCTGATCCTGATACAATTTATCGGGAAATTTAAATTACTGAGACGAATACCTCGGGATGTTTTGCAATCTTGATGCAAATCTTTAAGTTCTTGAAATTATATCAGACTTCCTTGGCAGGATAACTACGTTACTTGGTTAAGATTTGATATTGGGATCACAGAAAGGTGAAGAGGTAAGAGATACAATGATAAGAAAGGTAAAAATAAAGCACATATCCAGGAAAATTTTAATATTTTATTCAATAAAATTAAACTATAAGTATTGTACAAATAAATTAATAAATTGGCAACAATCATCCACAGCGCAGTCGTCTCGAATCAATATCACAATTCGCTTGCACTCGTACTGTCTTTAACAACCATATTTAACCTTTTAGGCACGCTCAAGCAAAAAAGGTCGATAGATACATCAGACTATATTCGTCAACCTTCTCGATCCGAAGTGCAAGACTCCGAAAATTCGGCATACTCCCTTTTGCCCCGGTTCATTCTCTGAAGGGTTTAGTGAATCTTGACTATCACCTATATTCGCACTGGTGGCCGCATCCAGTAGGACACACCCCCCTTTCCTTGATCCACTTTTTCACGTGGTTGGGGTGGCCCCCGTGTGAACAGCCTTGGCACCAGGCATACAACCCTCTGACTGGACGTTCGCAGACACTACAAGCGGAGTACTTGGCACAGTGGCAGCGGTCGCAGAGCCAGCCCACGCGTAACAAAGGACGTCGACAGGCTGGAAAGAAAAAGATGAAATGAGTTATAGGTGGTGATCGGAAGTTCATGCACAAAACTAACGGAATAATTAGCGATACAAATCCTTGAGACAGCATTAGTCGGGCACATGGCATTTATTTAGTCCAAATTATATGTACAACAATAGAGACAACTCGTCCACATTAATCGAGCATTTAACGCACTGTAAAGGCTGACATTCATTTCAGATGCTCTGTTTAGCTTCGGCATAAAAAATTATTATAAACAGAAAATAATGAAATGTATAAATTAAACCCCTTACTTCCACTAACATAGCCTCTATAAAGGCCGACGTACTAAATGATTACACTGATCAACAGCCAAAAAATATCCTAAATAAAATCAACAAAATATTACTATTTTAATGTGCTAAAACCGGAATGAAATTTATTTTTTCAATATTAGTTCAAGTTTTAGAGATACGGTAATTATATGTGTTCCTGCTGTGACAGTGTTAATAAAATGTAATTCACAAGAATGCACGTGCTACATTTTTATATTCGGCAAGGAAAGATGATGTAATCGGCATGATTGTGTTACGTTATACATACGTGTACATTATATTGTTTTATATTAGCCATTTTTTCCTCAGTTGGCTGACAGCGTTCATGCAAGATGTCTCTAAAGTGTGTAAACAATCCAGATCAGTTTTGTTACGTGTGTGGTGATGTGACTTTTGCGTCTCAGAAACGGTCTATTACTCCACTAATAACAAAGGCATATCAGCTTTATTTCGGTTGTAAACTAGGTGATCAAGACAAACAGTGGGCACCCCACATTTGCTGTAATACATGTGCTTCAAGTCTGAGGAGCTGGTTAAATGGCAAAAAACGGTCTATGCGCTTTGCTGTCCCAATGGTTTGGAGAGAGCCTACAAATCATATTAATGATTGTTACTTTTGCATGGTACCTTGTGTTGGACAAGCCACAGGTATGTCCAAAAAAAAAAATCGGTTATTAACTACCCAAACATACCATCTGCGATGAGACCTGTGCCTCACAGTGACGAAAATTCCAAAACCCCCAGAATCCTACACTTGCGAATCAGAAAACGAATCAGTCATGGCGATCGAGTGATTCGTCAGGAAGAAGATATGCCATCAACGTCAAGAGATCCTGATTTTATACCGAGCACGTCATGCCACCAACCGCACAAAATAACAGTCAGAATTAAATGATCTTGTAAGAGATTTAGAACTTCCAAAATGTAAGGCAGAATTACTTGGATCAAGACTGCAGCAGTGGAACTTGTTAGAAGACGATGTTTCGATATGTGTTTTTCGTAAACGCCACAAAGATTTAGAACCATTTTTCAATATGGAGAATAACTTTGTTTTCTGCAGTAACATCAACGGCTTACTGGCGGCTTTAAATATAAACTATAACCCAGAAGAATGGAGATTGTTTATAGACAGTTCAACATTGAGTTTAAAGGCAGTGTTATTGCATATTGGAAATATTTTACCATCTCTTCCTGTAGGGTATGCAGTTCACATGAAAGAATCATATGACAATATGAAGTACCTATTGACATGCATAAAATACGATGAGCACCAATGGCATATTTGTGGCGATTTGAAAGTTGTTGCACTTTTACTTGGGCTGCAGCTAGGCTACACAAAGTTTTGCTGTTTTTTGTGTGAATGGGTCAGTCGAGCAAAGGCACTTCATTACACCAGACAAAACTGGCATGTTCGTCAATTCCTAGAACCAGGTCAAAAAATGTACAGCATATGCCATTAGTAGATTCGAAAAAAATTTTATTACCACCACTGCATATCAAGTTGGGCCTAATGAAAAACTTTGTTAGGCATTAGATAGAGATGGGTCAGCTTCTCAATACCTGCGTCAGAAATTTCCAAGACTAAGTGAGGCAAAGGTTAAAGAAGGTATTTTTGTTGGGCCACAGATTCGAAATATTTTGAAAGATACACAGTTTGAAAACACTTTAACAGGTATTGAAAAAACTGCTTGGAATGATTTCCGTCTGGTGGTCACTAATTTCTTGGGAAATAGAAAAGCTGACAACTATAAAACCCTTGTCAAAAATATGCTGTCATCGTATCAAAAGATGGGCTGTAATATGTCTCTTAAGATACATTTCCTACACTCACACCTGGACTTTTTTCCTGACAATTGCGGAGCCGTAAGTGATGAGCACGGCGAACGTTTTCATCAGGATATTTCAACAATGGAAAAAAGGTACCAGGGAACGTGGAATCCTTCCATGCTTGCAGACTACTGTTGGACTCTTGGTAGAGATGCTCCAGAAACGATCCATAAAAGAACAGCAAAAAGACAGCGCATATAGTGATTCTTATAAGTATACGAATCTTGTTACTTTTTTAATCCTTAAAAATAAAAAGTTTCTTTTCTAAACCGCAACTATTTTTTTTATTTCATTGTCATTTTTGGATTCAGCGCCCCAAAATTAACAAAGAAGTGCACTTTTCCCACAAGATACAATTAAAAAACTAAAATTTGTTGTCCAGTGTTATCACTGCACAATAGCAGAAAAACTAAAAAATACTATACAAAATATTGATGACACATTAACAAATCTAAATTATACAGTACAATTGCGTCTTTAGGTAATTAACAAAATGCCGCTAGGAAGTTTCGAAATTCAAAGTACATACTTCCGAAGAAAGACAGAAAAAAACAATTTTTCCAAAATTGTTCTAATCTTTCCCTGAAATGATTTGTAGTGCTCAAATTAAGTTGCACATTAACATTATCACTTTCCCTCCTCTACAAAAAGGAATACTTAGAATTTCAATATCACGTTTCGTCTCTTGTCCTCCAGCATAAACTTTTCAATTTTTGGAGTTTTTCATTCTGATTCCAAAAATGTATAATATGTCACACATTGACATTACCAAATCTAAGTTATTTGAAAAACATAAAAATTTAATAGATATGCCTTGAAATTATCAGATAGTCATTTCATTTCGCATATACGTATAGTTCTTGGCAGTTCCGTCATCAACGCCAAAGATGATGTATTGAAGATTGCTAATTAGTTCCTGGACCTGCTAAACATGTTCGCAATAAAACCTTTTACTTTTTTTATTCTAATTTCTGTAGTATCTAAATCTAAATTTTATTTCTCATATTCTCACTGAATGAAACAACTTTCAGTGGCGTTTTTGAATGTAAGATCTCTTGTGCCTCATTTCTCAGATCTCAAAAATCTTATACAACAACATCAATTTGACATCGTTGGGATTTCGGAAACTTGGCTTCATTCAGGTATAGAAAACAATTTAGTATCCATAGAAAATTACTGTTTTATTCGTCAAGATAGAAATGGTAGAGCAGGACGGATGACAATTTGTGGCGGTGACTCCAATGTTAATGTTCTTGACTCTTCAACTCGGTATGTACTATGCTTTATGATTGTATTGAAGGTTTTGATCTGGTACAGGTAATCAAAGAACCTACTAGAGTTACAAAAAACAGCCTCACTTTGCTGGACGTAATTTGTATACCTGCTGATGAGACTTATTTTACTGTTGGTAGAAAAAAATACGTCACATATTTCCGAGCATTCGTTAAATTTTTGTGTACTGAATAAATCTGTTGCAAATTGTTCTGAAAAATGCCGCTTCAGAAACTTAGGAAATTTAGATAAAGACCTGCTCAATGAGTTTTTGGAAATTTCTCCTTTCGAACAATTGTTCTATTTACCAAAAGTTGAGGAAAAGGTCTTATTTTTCAATGAAGTACTGTTCAATATCTTCGTTGTACTAGCTCCTGTAAAGGAAATTCAATTAAAAGTTCGAAAACCCCATGTTAACGTTTTCTATTAAACGCATGATTAAACTAATAAACGAAAAATTCCGGGAATTTAAGAAAACCAAAATTGCTGCCAATTGGGAAAATTACAAACAAATGAAAAATCAAACGATTATTGCCATATATAATGAAAAGAAAATTTATTTGAAATACTGTATTGATAAAAATATGAATCAAACTAAAAAGCTTTGGAAAAAATTATTAAATTTGAATATTAGCAAAAAAAACAGGTTGTATTCCCGATCAGCCGAATAATCCGGACGACATAAATATCCATTTTCTTCAGATCTCTCGAGCAAGGTCATCAATAGACTATGACACTTTGGATTACTATTATAGCAATAGGCGTACTAACGTCAACACTCTTTTTTAACTTCACACAGTTTCTCAGGATGTCGTTAAAAATGCACTTCTCAGAATTAAATGGCTTGCCATAGGTGCTGATGGTCTAAATCTTGAAATGATCTTATTGTGTTCCCATAAAATCATCCCCTACATGACAAATATAATAAACTCCTGTATTTTAGATAGAGAATTTCCAGACTCATGGAAAATTGCCAAAATTATACCGATATCAAAGAAGTCTGAAATTAACGCCCCATAAGTATTTTACCAGTGCTATAAAAACGAATGGAGATTATTTTGGACCAACAAATAAGAGATTATTTAACTGAGAACAATTTGTTACCAGACCATCAATCGGGATGTAGGAAACGATTCAGCTGCGAAACTGCACTGTTAAATACTGACGACATCTTCAAAGCAACAGATTCCGGGAAAACCACCGCTCTTGTGCTCTTGGGCTACTCCAAGGCATTTGATAAACTAAATCACGAAATGCTCTTTGGTATTTTACACTATATATGGTTTTCCGAATCTGCTAGCACGCTTATGTGCCACTATTTAACTAACAGAACACAATATGTAGAATAATTTTTGTAACAGCGTTTATGGGTTTTGTTTAGACAAGATTGACATGGATAGAATTGAACGTGTACAGAAGTCCTGCCTACGATTTATTTATGGTATACGTAAGTTTGAAAGAGTTTTTCACATAAGTTGCTTGATGCAAACTGGTTGAATATGCGATGTCGATGTGAGTTGCATGATATAAATTAAGTTAAGACAAAATTGACAGTGATTTGCAATAAAAAAAATCCACCATAAATTTTTAGGATTGTTCATTGAACTTAAAATTTTTTACTAATCATGTAAGACCAATTTCTTACTCAACTAGCAAAGATTTCCTTCAGACAATAAAGCATATTTATCTATAGAAACATCAGACTCCCACGACCGATTGTTGACTCACTGAGTCGGACATTCTACAATGAGTCGAACGACTCGGGGGGTTCTACGTCTACTGTTAGTTTGTGGTTGATGGAGAAATCGCTAAGTTTAATCGGCCACATTGTTAAGTTGCGAGGTATAAAATCTATCGAAATAAGACTGCGCAAAGCGCCATCTATTACCGGAATCGACCACTGAGAGAGTATCTATCAGCTATCGATTGTAGCTGTGACGATCTCAGTTCGCGTTCGATAGCATAGTTACCACTGTGACCGCTAGAGGCTGACTTTTCTGGCGGTAAATTAGATGTGGTCTACTCGCCGTTGAGCAAACTAAACATGCTGCTTTGGTCCGTTCGACCACATACAGCCAATCTTGGATAGCTGTTTCCTGTTTTTTAGCAACTCATCAGCATGGTCTAGGCATGGTCTCCTACAAACAAAAGCATAGCAACTGTCCTCTATCGGAGGCATGAGATCTATCTAAATAAGACACGGTAGACCATATCTACTATAGTGCCAGAATCGTCAGCCTCTAGTAGCCTATCACACGCAAACTGAAATATTTACAGCTTCAAATGATAGCTGAGCTTTGCGCTGTCTTATTTTGATGTGGCTTCCGTGGCGGATTCGGCGGTGGTGGTGGTGGTGGTCTACCAGGAGGCGGTAGAGGTGGTCGTGGAGGACCAAGAGTCTGTTTACGTAGACGCAAGAATGCGCCCTGAATAACTTGTTGCTATCTGTAGAACGAGAGACTAACGTACATTTAAACAACAGTTTATATTTGAAGTACTCACCTGCACAATTTGTGGATATTCTGGTACTTTGCTGATTCAGCTGATGTATTGAAGATAGCCAAGAAAGGTTGATTACTTGCGTTGCCGATGTCCATAGTTGGTGCCGAGTTAATAACTCAATATAACCTACACAAACCAAAAGTTAAAATAGTAGAGATCAAGAGATGATAGAGGTTATCGAAATTGATCTTGGTAAAGTGCGACGGAAAAAAATTAGATGTTTTTGAAATGAACGTACCAAGCAACCAATGTTCTTGGAGGCTCTCATCAAGCAACTCGTTTGGCAAACACTTCCTACAGTCACCAAGTACTATAAGGATACATGTCGCTGTCTGAATGTCACCCAAAATAGCATGATGCTTCAATGCTTCTACTAATATCCTTCCTGGCTGCCATGGCTGTCTTTCCAGAGGTTTTACTATGGTCAATTTAGCTGAACCCTGCTCTTCCACCTAAAATAATCGACAAAAAACTTGTAAGGCAACAGGGTAATCAGGCGTCCTAGAATAGTCTTATTCGGATTCAACAGCAACTATCTCAGAACCATTGTGATTTCGCGTAATTTGTTTCCGTGATTTCAAACCACATTTTGATTGGCTACTGGTAGAATATAACGATACTGGGATAGGTTCCTGTGAAAAACACGTCTGAAGGCTCAACGGAATACCAAAGGGGATCGTGAAAGCGCTGGTTAAAGAATTATCCGAAATCGTGCATTTTGTGGCGAATGAATGCTTGAGAACGGGAGTGTTTCCGAAGAGGTAGAAGAAGGCTAGAGCTATACTGATAGAAGGTAGGCTAAGAAAATACGCACAAAATGGATTTAGAAAGGCAATGTCTACCATAGACGCACTTACTGCAGTGGTACAGCTATCAGAAGCTTTGAGTTATGGCTGCCTTTGACATTAGCCTTCAACACGGCATAATGGTGGAAAATCGTTGGATCTCCAGAGAAGATAGACTCTCCTAGATATCTGTTGAACATGATAAATGCCTATTTTGATGAAATGACTCTTATGGTAGGACAAACGAGGAAGAAGGTAACCATGGGAGTGTAGCAGGGCTCCGCCCTAGGACCGTTATTGCTTTGGAACGTGTTCTACGATGGGTTCCTTTCGTTGCAGATGCTTCCAGGTATTCGCCTCATGATAATTACCGTATGAATGGAAGAAAATGTCTTGAAATTAGCTCCTGAGAAGATTGGAAGTGGTTCTAATTCCATACAGAGAGAAGCTAACTTCACAAGCCATTAAGGTTGAGAACGCCTAAATTCGAAGTCAAAGTATGACAAAGTACCTGGGGATGTGGCTCGACAAAGATGTGAAAATGGCTGAACGCATACGGCATACCACTGATAAGGTAAACAAAGTCGTTGTATCCATGTCATGACTAATTTATATCTTATGGAGATCCCAGTAGTAGGGCGTAGGATTTTTACAGGAGCAGCTTACTTTACGAAGCGCCTATCTATAACAAGGCTTCCAGGAGAAATAAATATAGGCAGCTAGTGCTCAGCAGCCGGCAAAAAGCAGTGCTGCGTGTGGTCTACGCTTACAAAACGGTATCGGCGGCACTTGCTGATGGTGGCTGGTGACCCGCCAAATGATTTGCTGGCTGAGGAGAGATGCGTACTCTATAAAAAGGGCGCCGAAGCTAGACGCGACAAGACAGAGACGCTTCTTGTTGGATGGCAGCAGAGATGGGATGATATTGGCTATGGCACATGGACTGGGTCGCAGATATTAAAACTTGATTGATAAGGTAGCGGTGCGGATAGAATACTATACTGAGCAGTTCCTCACAGGACATGGTTGATGAAAAGGGTAGGAAGGAGACAGTACACGAAATGTGTATACTGCAACGAAAAAGAGGATACTCCCAATCATCTACTTTAATGTGGAAGACTGACTAGCAGAAACAGCTCAGCGAGAGGCTGACTGCTGACAATTTTGGCAGGCATATAAGCTAGGGCAAATGGTTTAACATTCGACAGTGAGGCGGGTGATGCTGAGCAAGGTATAGGATGACAAAAACAGACCAAGGAACCGACAGTACGTTCCTACTTGCTCGGTTGTACATGTACATGGGTGTGAACAGATGTATATGTAAGTCGTTTGGCATTAAAGCTTAGCGCAACGCTTCCCATCCACACTTCAGGCAGGAAATACCTGCAGGCAATATTGTCGAGCTTTTCTGCCTATGAGTCGCTATAGAAGCTTTCCCTGTCCAAAAAAAAAACGAGACGGGCAAATTATTAAATAGGTCAGGAAATCATGCACAGTATCAGGCACGTTGCCTTTGGTAAGATTTCCGTCACCTCCACCGACACACATTCAAACGATAATTTTTGAAAAGGTACTTAATGCAATAACAAATGCGTGTGGTGTATTTTGGGGCTGATTTTTGAAAAATCATCGAAGGTTACTTTAACCAGTATTAAATGTATCATATAATATGGGAAGGTAGATATCTTCGGGAGCACAACCATACATTTTAACGACTCCATTGTCTAGTCAAATCAAAGGACATATATGTTTTAATTTCTGTTTATTGTACGTTTCTGCCATCGTGGTGACCAGAGAATGGAGTCATATAAACATTCTATGGTTTTCAAACCACATGATAAATTCAAGGAGTTACATCATCCATTTTTTATTTTTGCCCTTTGGAAAAAAATTCCTGCTGACGCCCATGGTCATCGGTAGGATAGTTATTGGGTAGGTGGTGAGACCAAGATCAAAAGGATCGACAGCAGCTGTCGCATCTGTATGGAATCTGTGCTTTAAGCGAAACATTTTACGAATCAGCATCAAGTATAGTGGACAAAGATCTTTCTACACAGTCGGTAAATAAAAAGAGCAACAAATTTGTATAACCATTCATTAAACAAAAGCATTAATTAACTTATTCTATAGAAGACAGCCAACCTAATACTGCATTCGCGCGTCTAAAAAATTAGCCGAGATGAAATGAGATACCGTAGCGTCATCTATAAGAATTTGCCACAGCTTTGTGTGCCCTTCTCAGCAATAATTAGAAATCTACTTTGAAAAGGTTAGTGTCTCATAGAAGGTGCTACAGTCTAATTATATATGAGCATTTAGCTACAACGCCAGAATACGTTAACAAATGACAAACGCAACAACAATGCGAAAAAAATAGAATCTGTTAAGAATAAATAGCCTTACTTGGAAAGAGTGTGGTTCTTCACTAATATCCGGCGAGTGGTGATTGGTGAACTGCTCAGGCTGTGGTGAACGATCGGTGATGTCAGTACGAATGGGGAATGCCTCACTTGGCAATATCCAATCAGGACAATCGGTGGAATTGAAGCCACCACGATGGTATGATGAGGGATAGTCTGAAATGACACTTGTATTTAGCATTGGAGAAAAGTGATCAACCAAGACAGCACGGCGGCGTTACATTCCTTGACGTCTTCACCTCAAGCTTTACTCAGAGCTATTGAAGAATGCTCGTATTGATAACACAGACAAATAGTCGCAAAGCAAGTGTTTAAGGGTCACATTTATAAACGTTCCTTGCGGATTGATTGCCATTTGAGAAATGATCTATCCTTGGATTTTAGACAAACATTTCACAGTAGGATGTAAAAGTTGTCAACACAGGCTGTAACTGAAGTTAGACAGATTTTTCTTTGCTGGCTGTATCTAGTTAACATTTTGATGATAAATTGTCGAGTTTGTTTTTTTGTGCTAAATTTTAGTGAGTAACGTAAAATATAATGAAAATGTATATAGGTATGTATACTTTTTCGATTTTATGCCGAATAATAAACCCACATGGTGGAGCTGAATGAATATAGACAACCAAGATTCCAATTATAAAGTAAGTTTGACAGTTTGGGCGTATTTATACAGCTTCAAACAAAATTATTTTCTCTAAGAAAAGAAAACATCCTGTGAACCCAACTGTTTTATCTTGTTGTTCACATGTCCTACATTAGAATATCTAGTCTCATTTTTTAAATGTTTCCTCAGTCAACAGTATCCAGTCAAAATGCTCATAGCAAACCGAATCTATTGACTGGATATAGGTAACATTTCTTCTCTAATTCACTAGGATAGCCGAGGAATTCCCTAGCTAATAAATATCCAAACGAATTATTTCACATGTTTTTGAAGACTTTGTAGGTTTATTCCTTCAGCATAGTTGTCACGGCAGAATGCAGAAGGGCCCTGGGGAGAATTTTAATTTCTAATTTCAGCAAACCTTGCACGCTAGCGGATCAGTAGTGATATTTCCATCGGATTGTGAGTGATATATGATATCTGAAGGCATATTTCTAAAATATTGGGATGCCCCAATTCTGACCCACATAATTATCAAAGTTGATTTTTCTTAAACGGAATGCCCTAGTTTTTATTACACATCCAGGTAGGTTCTTTTAAAAGAACTTGATTGATATAAGATGCACGGGTTTTGGTTATTAGTTGTTGATTTAATGGGTATTTTAGTTATAAAAACATCAACAACTGACAGCCTGCACATCTGCTATATTAACAGGTGGAATCGTGAATTTTGTGACAGTTTTATTTTTCTCAATTTTAACCTAAAGACCGTCTGCTACGAGACGAAATTTTGTGCTAAATTCAGTATTTCGTACAAAACTAAGGATAGTGTCATTCAACATGTAGTGCATAATTTTGTATGAACAAATTGAGTTCCAAATTTTTTAGAACTTGTTCTAAATAATATCATGCTAAAAGTGAGCAGACGCCTACTGCGCATTTTGAGCAGTACAATGGCTGATAGAAGCGCTATGTGACAAGGAATTATGTACATGTTTTGTGTTAACTCCTCGATATTCTGTTGATGTTTTGTCATGATTAGATCAGATGATAATTGGATGATAAAAACCAGCCTAACTTCAAGCACTGTTACCAGTTGTAATCAGTTTATACTGTATGCTGTTCTACTTGTAGATTGAAAAACTTAAAAGACGTTATGGTCAAAAGTGCAGTATGACACAACGGTATGACATACTACTAAACGAGTAAGAGAAATATGATTGTTTATATGGTTTAAAAAGTAAAGAATATAAAAACAGAAACGCCAAATAAGCAGCGCTGGATAAAATCAGACTGCCTTTAGAACCAATTAGGCCTATCAGAGAGTGGATCCTCCACTAGAGGTCCTTTATTCAGCATCTGGAGCACGCCCATTCCCCGGTCCCTCTTCCTGATCCGCTTTCGACACCAAATTCTTTTACGGTTTCATTTATTTCGTTTTTTCATGAGGTGGGCAGCTACAACGCAGATTGCTGGTCCCGCAGTCGCATGTAATATATGCGAATTACGGGATCGCTCCATTTTCTACAATTTTCTATTCGTTTAAAGAAACAAAGTATACCCTATTTCACGAGTATCCATCACGCTTTAACGTCTACTGAGGTGAACAGCTGATCAGCAAGTGACAATTTTGTGTTAGTCTGCAACATTGGCAATAATGAATCGGGTATAAATCTAGTAAAACTTGCTTGTGGCGTTCTGTTTTTTGTATGCAAATTAACTTTTCTAAATAAAAGAGCTATTATCGAGTACAAAATGAATCTGTAGCGTACAAAAAAACAAAACAAAATACGGCTGTCTACGTGGCGTTGACGGACCCGTCAGAATTATGTGTCCTGTGCCGATATGGGGAAGTAATACTAGATATCCAGCTGTCATTTTACTGTAATGGATACTCGTGAAATAGGGTATACTTTGTTACTTTAAACGAAAACTGTGGTTAGTAGGACGTTGACGTGATAAATGGGAGTTCGAGGTTGACAGATATAGTTTTTTTTCTGCCGACTGTGCATGATTTCGGACGAAATTTATTACTCATCCATTTTTCGAATTGTCTGAATGATCAATACAGGGTAGTCAAAAACCCAAAAGGTACCTTTTTGCAAAAAAAAATAAATGGGACACCCTGTATATGTTTGCACTATCGGTTCTACATTATCAGCTTTTTAATATAAGATTATTACCAGTTAATTCAAACGGTTCCTGCGTTATCGCTATTAGTTTAAAAAAAATTGAGTTGTAATTAATTATTACAGGTTGATATAAAATTATTTATTTTAGATGTATGTAAAATGACGCCTTTAAGTAAACATAACTAAAATTTAAACTATTTGAATTACTATAGAAAAAGTAAAAAAATGCCCGTCTGATGGTGATCATAAAATCGAAGACTTCGGGTATGAAGTAGAAGAATACAAGAAGAGTATCTAAATATGAATGAACACACGCTAGAAAGCGTAAAGGGATGAAGGGGACATTTTTTAATACTTCTTCTTATTCATGGATGATGTGCCTTGTTTGAATAGAGAAATATCCATTTTTTTAAGCAAATAGCTATAATGCAGAAACCCTTTGAACAAACTGGTAATAACCCTATATTAAAAAAAAGCTTATGGAAATGAAGATTCGATAGTTTAAAAATATACAGGGTGTTCAATTTCGTTTATTTTTTGTGAAAAAGTACATTTTGGGTTTTTGTAATGACCATTTAAAAAATTCTAAATTAGGTTAGATAAAATTTTGTAAAACAGAAAAATCTTCACACAAAATTCACCAGTCCACTTATCAACATATCAGATATCTGGGCTGTCAAAAATTGTTGTTTTTCTATATAAAATAGCTATTAATTCAACAATATCCAAAACCCATATGTATGTTATATAATGCTTGTTCTCTTAAAAGAACATATGCGAACGTGTGAAAAAAATAGGGCATTTCATTCAAGAAATATCACCTTTAATACATATATGGGTCAAAATTGGGACAAACTTTCAAATTGTCAATACTTTAGAAATATGCCTCCAGATACCACATGTATATCAATCTAAAAATATTTTTCTTTGAATAGCTTTAGTTCAGGAGCAATACTCCCTCCTCGCATGGTTGAGACACTCACATGTACCAAAATACAATCTAGCACTCTGTCGCCCTAAGAGCAGAAGGGGTATCTGCACCCAGCATGAAATCGAGGTTTGAACCTCAGATTCTTTTGTAGATGTACATGAAACGTGTGTGTGCTTACTGTGCTACTGTTCACATTGTAAGCTTGCACAATTTTGTTATCCATACAGATCCTAAGATTTTTGCCTGTATCACTTCTGAGGGTCATTTCCTCTGCTGCTAAGTTTATGCCAGCTAATCAGCTTATTTGTATATAATTAGAATTAATTAGGGACTTCATTAGGTTTTTTTTTTTTTATATCGAAACAGCCGCGCAGGCAGAAGCCTAAATGCCGGAACACCGCGGCTGCTATGATGATCCCAAAGAAATTTTGTTAATACGATTTTTGAACTGCCTAAGGTTAGTAGAACTGGGAAAAGCTTCCTCCCGTAGTTTGTTCCACAATCTAGACACCCTCGGGACAAAGGAGCGGTCGTATCGGCCAGTTCTGGATGTACGAAGTTTGACACGGTTAGGATGGGACGCCGAAGTCAGGCGGGTCTGTCTGGCAGGCACATCGCGCGGCGGCATCATGGAAGAGAGCTCTGAGGAGCAAAGCCCGTTGGTGTAGCGATAGAAAAGAGCTAGATCGCCGACGGCCCGCCGGTGCGAAAGAGTCCCGAGACTGTCCGTTAGAAAGAGTCATCGATCAGTCGGACCGCCCTCCTCTGGACAGCATCGAGCATGGACAATGTAATCGGGGCGGCAGCACCCCAAATGTGTGAGCAATACTCGAGGCTAGGCCTTATCTGGGCCTTGTATAGAGTGAGAAGGTCATGCGGAGAAAAGTACGTCTTAGCCCTAAACAAATAGCCTAGCTTTTTCCCAGCAGCTGCAGCTATTGAAGAGATGTGTTCGTGCCAGATCAGGTCCTCGGTGATCTGGACTCCGACCAGCCGAAATGAATGGCTCTTTGGTAGGACTCGACCGTCCATCGAAACTGTATGAGCGCTAGGACGCTTTTTGTTCGTCAAAGTACAGTACTGTGTTTTGGAAGCATTGAACTGTACAAGATTGTTGCGTCCCCAAGCAGTGATAGCCTCCAGGTCTCTTGTCAGAGAAGAAGTCGTCGCTAGTCTTCTTTTTTCCAGCTCAGCGGCAGAGATCGGCTTGTCACTCTGAATTCCTGCATGTAGAGTGCTGTCATCAGCGAAGCTGTGGATTGGGTTGATCGTGCAGGAAAGGAGGTCGTTGATATGTAAGAGAAACAGTGTTGGAGCCAAGACCGATCCCTGGGGAACACCCGCGTTGACGTTGTGGGATGAAGAGGAGAATCCGTCAATTACGACGGATATCTTGCGGCCAGAGATAAAGTCAGCCACCCATCTGCAAAGCTTTTCTGGGAGGCCGTAGGATAAGAGTTTGCTCAAGAGGGCAGCGTGCCACAGCTGATCGAACGCCTTCGTGATGTCAAGAGCAACGACATGAGCCTCACCATGAGACTGGATGAGTTTACTCCACAGTTGCGTGACGTAAGCTAGGAGGTCCAATGTGGATCGTTGGTGCCGGAAACCGTACTGCCTGTCGCTAATCAAGCTGTGACGTTCGAGGTAGTCCAGAAGCTCGCGATTTATGCACCTCTCCATCACTTTACTTATAACAGAAAGCAGAGCTATAGGCCTGTAGTTGTAAGTGTCGGTTTTAGATCCTTTTTTTGGGATGGGCTGTACATGAGCAAATTTCCAGTTTTCTGGAAAGGTGCCGGATTCATAAGATATCTGGAAGAGACGCGAAAGAACTGGAGCAAGCTCAGCTGCACATCTCTTCAGTACAATGGCAGGAATCAAGTCCGGACCAGAAGCTTTGTTGATGTCGAGCGACAAGAGCACTCGTCTTACGGTCTTATGCCTGAATGTTACCTCCCGCATAGTGTGGGGAACCCTTTGAATTGACGGCACCTGGGCGTTGGTGGGGACGTCCATGGTGGAGTTGGCAGCAAAGATCTTGGCTAGCACTTCCGCCTTGGCCTTTGAGTCGAATACCATCCTGACACGTAAGTGGTGGAAGGCTACTGTGTGAGAAGTTCTTTTCAATCTGCTTGGCCAGCGTCCAGAAAGACCGACTGCCATTGCGCTGCGACATTACCCTGTGCCTAACTTTTATATCATGCTGGGTTTTGGCATTGCGAACCGCTTCGTTATATTTGTTTCTGGACTCGACGTCGGCTTGTTTGTTCTCTACAGTGGGGTTTTGTAAGTAGGTTCTGTGGGCCTTGATCTTCTGCTGGCGAGCAGTGTCACACGATTTGTTGAACCAGCCGTTGGACCCTGGTTTACTAACTTTCACTGTGTGAGGGATGTATTCCTCCATTCCGACGTGGATAATTTCGGTTATTGAAGAACAGACAGTCGACGCATCCGTGTCAGTGAAACAGACATCTCTCCAAGGAAAGCTAGAGAAGAAGTCTCTGAGCCCCTCCCAGTCGGCATGTCCGTAATGCCAAGTTTTGCGGCCTGTGCGAGTTTCTGCGGCCACAGCGACTTCTGACCGTAACCTAACCTCCACAACACCGTGATCTGAGTTACCCAGGGGGGACAGGACGGCAGTGCTGTAAGGGGCAGGATGCGTGGTCAGAAAGAGATCCAGCAGGCTACTGGCGTGTGACGAGACGCGGGGGAAAAAAGTAGGGCTCGTCACCAGCTGGGTCAGCCCTTGAGTAAGAGCGAACGCTTCGACTGCACGACCTGCTGCATCGGTCTTATTTGAGCCCAACCAAAGCTCATTATGGGCATTGAAATCACCGAGAAGAACTACCTCTGAAGCGGGGTGATTAATGTTCAGGAAGTCGATCTGGACGGCGAGGTATTCGAGTAGGTCATCCCAGTTATGGTTCGAGGGAGAGCGATAAAGGCAGCAAATAAATTTGGGTGATGTTTTGGAGTTGAGGCGAAGCCACAGAATGTCCTTCCGGTCTGATTCCAAAGAAAGATCCCTGGAGCAGGAAAGACTGCTGCGGACAAAAGCCACAACTCCCCCGTTCTTTCTCAGATTGGAGTGCACCTCGTAGTTTGGGAAGTTGAGATGGTTAATCGGTGCAGCCTCTCAGAGGTATAAACATTTTCTGGAATAAATATACAATATAAAGAACAAGCTGTAGGAAACTTACTAGAATTGATGGTTTCTAATTCCATATCCAATTCATTTTCTCCAAAGCTGAAATCTCCCTTAGGCAAATCATTCCTGAAATTTAAGTAGGTAGGAAAACCGTTCGTGTAAATGCTTGAATGGTCCACTTGGTCCTCATTCTCAGTCTCATCATCTCCACCACTATATTGAGCTGACTGATCACCTCCACCTGAACAAAAAATTGCGCTCAAACAGATTGACTCAGTTTATGGTAAAGGTATTATTTCAAATCCTAGTTGCAACTTGTGAACATCAATAGCATTTTATTTTTTCAACACCAAAACTCGGTACCAATTTCAGAGCAACTGAGCCTTCATAACAGCTGTAGCCTGACTGCTGGCTGAGTATTGAGATGCTACTATACCTCTGTGAGATCCCCAAAACATATACTTTTACTTTAAACTTTAAAGATGATTCGGGTACAAGGCATCAAAATCCAAATCAAAGAAAAACCTTTTTTAAAACTGTTCACCACTGGAACCGAGGTGCTCACCTTTAGACTTTTGGTCAGCCTCCATGTCTCTCACATTATTGAGATTACTTTCAATGCCAGCAGCAGTACTGTTTTTCTGACTTTGCAAGGATACTTCCTCTCTATTAGTAGAATTCACAGAACTGTTCTGCCTAAATTCTTCTCCATACATGGTTTTCACTATCTTCCATATCACAGATATATGAGGTTTACCGAATTCTCTGCAAATAACATTAGATAACATTTTTTATTGCTTGCTCCAATATACTTTACTTTTATTATTTCTGATAAGATCATATGAAAAAATTATGTATTTGTAGAGTAGTTTGTAGGACCTCTACTACTGCTTAAAGAACTGTGAGACAGTAGGTCGGTTATATTTGGTTGTCAAGACATAAAATAAGAAGAAGACAAAGTAAGAAGAAAGGCAGGGAGAACAAAGTTAGAAAGAAGAAAGAAAGGGAATAGAAAGGAAGGAGAAAGAAATGAAGAAAGAAAGGGCAGGGGCAGCAAAAGGGAGGAAATGCATCGGTAGAATGGATGACCTGACATTGTTAACTATGACTAGGGAATTGAGCCAGAAACGACGCGGCGATTCGATTTCATTCATAGTTGAATTGGAACTTGCGCGACTGTATAATCTGCTGACTCATGACGCAGATAGTGGTGCTGGGGTTTTGCCATAAATTAAAAGCATACTATCTTTCTGAACGAGTTTAATTCAATTATGTTACCTTGCTACCGCCGAATTTCTTTCACAAAGTTCTGAAACACTCCTACCATGGAGCATGTAGTTTTTGGCCAATGCTGCGAATTGTTGTTCAGTGTCATCAGTGACGTCACAAGATAAACGAAAGCTAGTTAGAGCGCTTGCGGCTAGATGAAACTGATCGATCGCTTGAGAAGTCGAGATTTTTCTAGAAAATAAACATTAGAATGTAGGCACATAATTTTATTTTATTAAATAGAATATCGAAATCGTAAAAAAAATATTCTCATTCAAATTCTGTCGCACTGTGTCAACATAGGTGTGATTGTACAGGGTATTACCTAATTGAATGGCAATATTTAAGGGGGCAATTTTTGGGTCCTTCAAGAAGAAATCTTCATATGAACATATGTCAAACGTCTTAACTTTTGAGTTGCAGGATGGTAAAGTTTTGAAAATACATACCTATATCAATTATTAATATTTCTGTAAATATCACTTTAGATATTTTAATGAAATTTGGCATCCATTATATACTAAATGACATAGAAAATGCAACACCGACTAGCCCAGGCGATCTGCATTTGGTTTTGTAAGGCCTCCAATGTTTGTAGAGGTGCGGTGAATTTTGCAGCCTTCTTTCCATCATGTCCCATACATGTTCGATGGAGGAAAGGTCTGGAGATCGAGGAGACCATTGAAGCAGATTTATTCCGGACGCTTCTGAAAAGACTTAATTAACACGTGCAACATTTGTTGGTTGTGCATTGTCCTGTTGAAAAGGTGGATCTTGTAATGTTGTAGTACAAGATTAGGACGGTATGAAACTGTCCTCATTGTTATTGCCCTTCTGACAGCATCAAACCAACTGCCCTTGTTGTGGAAAATTGATATCTAAGTGCTAGTCGCCTCAAATAACGATCCTGTCCTTGTCTGTAGTTTGTCTTTGACGTCCAGTACATTACAATAGCTTCGTTTCGATTCACCAGATTATCGATTTCTCTAAAAGGGAATCCAGCTTCACGTAACCAGATTACCCAACCCCTCCGAAACTCGGAGAGTTAAGTGAAATTATTACGTCTGCCAGCTTTAGGCACGATAATACAATGAAATAACAATGAAACAAACGGAACCAATAGACAAAAGTCACTGAATAAGTAAGCATGTAGGAATGTCTTCAACATTTTATCAGGGTATACTTCTATGTTAGCAAATATGTTTACAAGTTTTTATCAAAATTCAATAAATAATTCTGGATGTTGTATTTTATATGTCACTTAGTACATATCAAAAGGCATTTCTTAAAGTATTAATTTTTTTTAATTTCTAGCAGTGGTGTTCATACGGAATTTCACGTGCCTATTTTGGCAGAGATTGATGGTACGCTACTTATTTCTCTTAAAATAAAATTATCCCTGAAATCCCCACCATTTCTAAGCAAATTTGTTCTATTGATTTTTTAATCCGGTGCACGGTTTTCGATAAAAAAAACGTTTCTCTGCATAATATCATAATAATATACGAGTACTTAATACGAGTATAACAATATCACCATGCAGAAAAATAGCAAAACTCGAGAGATCAAATCTGCCCATAAATGAAAACGGATTTCAATTTTTCATAAGCTGAGACGTTTAGATTATACGTTTTATTACTAAAATGGACCTGAAAATCGTCCCCTTAAATATTGAGATTCAATTAGGAAACACGCTGTATACATACAGCAGTCACGGCACTTAGGTAAACCTGTTCTACCTTCGCGGCTAGTTTAGTATAAAAAATAACGATAAATCACCTCATAAAACCGACAGTAGCTTTCGCCAAGGAACTAGAGGTGTTGCTGTTATTGTTAGAACTGGAACTTGGTAGTACAGGAACTTTTCTGGCAAAGACTATTTCCCCTTTTTGGTTCATTGTAATCCCTTGAGGGTTGGCCTTACTTGCTGGTCTTGACGCATCATTAAAAGAATGCTGATACAAAGTACAATCCTGGAAAGGGAAAATTCCATAAAATGGAAAATTGCATGTTTTTCGTTTAGTATTGTCAAGGCATTAGAGCGCTACCTGTTGGTAATATAGCATTAAAGATAACGAAATAAGGAATTTCATTTTGACGGAATATAATTTAGTTTCCAAAATTATATTATGGGTATTTTCACATTTTTTCGACAAAGGTGATGTCGCGAAATTTTTGCTTTACAGATAAAACGTAAGTACTAAATTTCCCTGCTTTCGAGGTCTGTAAATTAACTGATAAGACTGGCAACGTAACATTCAATCTGGCAACACTGGAGGATCCAGACTTGGAGGGGAGACAGGGGCACATGGGATCCGCCTTCAGTACAAGTTTGAACCCGATCGAGTCATTTGGTTGTCGGTAGAGATTTTTTCTGTGAAACAGTTTTTTCTATTGTGTTCTGAAAATGGGTTACCTACATCAATTTCAAGCAAGGGTGTGGTATCAAGTTTTGCTTCAGACTCGGGCACAGTGCAATGGAAACTCTTGCTAAACTTCAGCAGGCCTACGGAGATAGTGTTTTGTTAAGAGCCCAGGTTTTTCGGTGGTTTAAGAGATTTTCAGAAGGGAGAGAATCGATTGAAGATGAACCACGAAGCGGAAGGCCTTTATCTTCAAGAGCCGATAAAAATATCGACAGAATCCGGGATCTTGTGCGTTTAGATCGTCGGTTGACAGTCAGAATGATCGAGGAAAAGTTAAATTTGACTCCACCGTTCATCAGGTCCAGAACAACTAGGTGTTGCATCACGATAATGCTCCTTGTCACACAGCAATGTCAATAAATATTTTTTTGGCCAGTAAAAACATTCCTGTGGCTCCTCAGACTATTTCAGTATCGGAGATGCAGCACTGCTATGAGGAGTAGAAGAACCGTCTCCAGCGCTGTGTGGCTTCAGGTGGAAGTCATTTTGAGGGTTAGAATGTAAAATTGTAATTATATTTAAATAAAAAAGAAATAAAAAAAATCAGTGCCTCACTTAATTTACAGATATAAATTTTCTCGCTCAATGATTACTTACTTCTCAACATAAGCATGAGATGTACTATCTACTTACCCTGCCACTGCTAAGGAAAACATGTGGATCCCCCTTAAATGCCAATCTACTAGCAATATCTTTATGTTCATTGAAGGACGCGAACGGTATATAAGGCCTTCGGATGTCCCAAATGTTGATGCTGCAGTCTATTACCAATGCACAGCTGGTTATGTGAAACTTTCTCTGTGGCCGCCATTTTACATGGCCAATGGATGCTATGGTGTGGATCGTGTAGTCTAATGTTGGGCGATTCGTCAAGTCCCATACCTGAATCAGACAATAATGTTGTTATTTAAGATCTATCAAAAATAAAAAATCATCAGGCACCGATGAAATTTCTTCAAATGCCATAGCGAATCCTCCGCTTGGTGCTCTTGATATGCTCACAAAACTTATAAATATATCTCTCAACACATCTGTTTATCAAGAATTTTTAAAAACATCAATAGTTATTTCCGTTTAAAAAGGAAGGTCCATGAGATTCACCGGAAAAATGTTAGACCCTCGAGTGTAATTACTGTTATAGCAAAAATAGTCCAAATTAGATTAAGAGACTTTCTAAAAAAATACCAAATTATAAGTGACAACCAATCTGGATTCCAAGAACAAAAAAATACCATGGATGCTATTAGCACATTACTAAAACAATCATATTCAAATTTAAACGATAAACAAATTTCAATAGCTGTTTTTTGCTACTTTTCCAAAGCTTCTGACTATGCAAATCATTATATACATACTATTAAAAAAACGAAACAAATATGGTTGTATCGATATAAAACATATTTAAATAATCGATCCCAAATTGTTAAATTATCAAGACATTTCAAATAAGCTAAATATAAACACAGGTGTACCTCCAGATCAGTATTAAGTCCGATCATTTTCTTAGTCTATATTCTATATCAACGATTTATTAAATTTAAGCATAAATGGTAAGTTCGTAGTTTTTGCTGACGATACCACAAGTATATAAATGAAATTAAGACAAAAATTGATAGTTATATACAGTCCATCAAAAAATGGTGTGATAACAATAATTACTTGACAATGTTAATAAGACAAAAATTATGACAATTAAATGCTCACCTGATATGAAACATTTAAATAATGAGTTGATGGACAAAACAGACACCATGCAGACAAATTACTTTCTCAACTAGGAAAAATTTCCTTCACTATAAGAATTAGTTACAAGCACAGCCTTAAGCAGTTACTTAGTTTTATTTGAAAGTAGATCGAGATATAGCATCCCTTTTGGTGTGTCTGTTCCAAAAATTGTTTAAAAAGGTGCTTATTCTACAAAAACGAACTATTAGATACATAACTAAAAGCAATCCTGGAGCTACATGCAAGCCTTTATTTGTAAGTCATAAAATTATGACTGTCGTATCAATGTTCATTTTAGAAACAGCAACTCTTATTTTAAAGCTAAATCTAAATTTGAAACATTAAATATATGTTACAATATTAGTCGAAAACAAGATCCCAAATTAGTAGCATCTAAAACAACACTTGTGAAAGACACAATAATTTATAATGGTCTGAAAATTTGCGTGTGCACCATGATGCTATCAAAAGAATTAACAATACAGGGTGTCCGCAAAGTTGGGGTTTTCCTTTTCAGAAACAACTACCCTTGAAATAACAAAGGTAATGTGTAGTGAAACGAGGGCGACCAAGTAAAAAAAAAATAAAGGAAAAAGTACTCACTCTCCAGTTGACGAGAAGGGCTAAGTACGTCTCTGTCCGAAATCATACCGCTCCAACAGAAAATGAAATCAGCTGAAGCGCTACCGAGCAGACGCAGAAACCACATTGATTGTCTTACACTTAATGGCACATCTTCTAACAAGGAAGGCAAAATGTTGCGTGAAAAGTCTAGGTATTGCATCCCGTCCAATCGATTTGGGAGAATAAATGGTCCAATGAGCATACCGTTCACTATGCCAGCCCAAACATTCACCGAAAATGTTTGTTGAAAATGACCAAACATGAGTGTTGCGAAAGTTATTCACCCCATTAAGCGTGAACGTAGATTCGTCTGTCACCAATATGCACTTCAAAAAGTCCGGATTATTGTCATGTTGATGCAACAACCACTCACAAAACCGCACTCTTGCTGGACAATCGTCAGGTTGAAGGGCTTGTACACGTTGGACGTGAAACGGATATAGCCCCTCTTCAAGCAGCGTTTTCCACACTTTAGTTTTTGATACTTGCACTTCTCTAGCCACGTCTCTAGTGCTTGTTGTTTTTTGAAACGCAATCGATTATACGAGTTCGTTTACCTCTACACGCATGACTGTAACCGTCGGTTGAAGGTTGCATACTAACCTGACACACTGACCCCGACCCAGTTCTGCCGTCGGGTTGAGACCTTGTATCAGTCGGGGATATCTCGGCGGGTCGCGGCTACAGGACGGTATTCAGATATTTTTGATGTTGCAGAGCCCTTTATCTCGGTTCCCTTAAGAGATTGGTGTATATGATACTAAGAAAAATTGCTTATGTTTTCAAGATCTACGTCGTGTAAAGGAAAACCCCAACTTTGCGGATATAAAGATATTCCGCCGTGAACTTAAAAACTTTTTAAAATGTAAACCATAGTATACCTTGTGTGAGTTCTACAATTCACCTAATTAAGATCCACTTTTATAATTATATTATAGTTTAGTTACAAGTTATCTTTGTCGTTAAGAATGATTGTATTCTTCAGATAATAAAGCATATTTATCTATTCCATCTATCTATCTATAAAATAAGTCAACTCAGTCATTTTAAAATTCAATTCGTGAAATTACAATCCAGTGTTGCGCGACATAGCAAAGAAAACATAAATATAAATTCATTTATTTACTTTGATAGTCTTGTCCCTGCTAGCTGTTGCAAGCCAAGCACACTCTGGATGCCAATCACAGGCAAACACAGGCCCACTATGTGCTGTATACTGCAACATGCACTTCTCACTCTTTCTGATGTCCCACAATTGAACGCTGCCATTGTCAGAAACTGCTGAGAATGTGTACGGATTATGAGGACTAAACTGGACGTCTCTCACACTCTCCGTGTTGCTAAAATTAAATGGTTTAATAGTAGAATGTTCATTCTCTTAGAAGAATAAAAGGTGACTGCTCAAACTCCGACGTAATTATTTCCCTCAGGGGGTAATGGTTGTGTTTGGAAAGTAGATATTTCTTTGATAGCGGGTCGCAGCCGTTAGTTGCATTATTTCTAATATTTTTAATTGTAAAGTAACGACAAAAAGTAGAAAGCAGTAAAACCAATTGACTTGAAAACTGCCAGAAAGGTGATGCTAAAGTAGTGACAAAGACGTGAAGAAAAAACCTAAGACATATTTGTGATTATATTGTACCTATGTGATCAATGATTTTTGTATTCAAAAATCGTTGTTTTATATAGTTGCAATAATGTACCATTGAAATTCACAAATATTCACTTGCCAGGGTGAAAGTTCCTAAACCAGGGTCCAACGGCTAGTTCAACAAATCGTGTGACACTGCTCGCCAGCAGAAGATCAAGGCCCACAGAACCTACTTACAAAACCCCACTGTAGAGAACAGACAAGCCGACGTCGAGTCCAGAAACAAATATAACGAAGTGGTTCGCAATGCCAAAAACCAGCATGATATAAAAGTTAGGCACAGGGTAATGTCGCAGCGCAATGGCAGTCGGTCTTTCTGGACGCTGGCCAAGCAGATTGAAAAGAACTTCACACACAGTAGCCTTCCACCACTTACGTGTCAGGATGGAACTATTGTATTCGACTCAAAGGCCAAGGCGGAAGTGCTAGCCAAGATCTTTGCTGCCAACTCCACCAACGCCCAAGTGCCGTCAATTCAAAGGGTTCCCCACACTATGCGGGAGGTAACATTCAGGCATAAGACCGTAAGACGAGTGCTCTTGTCGCTCGACATCAACAAAGCTTCTGGTCCGGACTTGATTCCTGCCATTGTACTGAAGAGATGTGCAGCGGAGCTTGCTCCAGTTCTTTCGCGTCTCTTCCAGATATCTTATGAATCCGGCACCTTCCCAGAAAACTGGAAATTTGCTCATGTACAGCCCATCCCAAAAAAAGGATCTAAAACCGACCCTTACAACTACAGGCCTATAGCTCTGCTTTCTGTTATAAGTAAAGTGATGGAGAGGTGCATAAATCGCGAGCTACTGGACTACCTCGAACGTCACAGCTTGATTAGCGACAGGCAGTACGGTTTCCGGCACCAACGATCCACAGGGGACCTCCTAGCTTACGTCACGCAACTGTGGAGTAAACTCATCCAGTTTCATGGTGAGGCTCATGTCGTTGCTCTTGACATCACGAAAGCGTTCGATCAGCTGTGGCACGCTGCCCTCCTAAGCAAACTTCCATCCTACGGCCTCCCAGAAAAGCTTTGCAGATGGGTGGCTGACTTTATCTCTGGCCGCTAGATATCCGTCGTAATTGACGGATTCTCCTCTTCATCCCACAACGTCAACGCGGGTGTTCCCCAGGGATCGGTCTTGGCTCCAACACTGTTTCTCTTACATATCAACGACCTCCTTTCCTGCACGATCAACCCAATCCACAGCTTCGCTGATGACAGCACTCTACATGCAGGAATTCAGAGTGACAAGCCGATCTCTGCCGCTGAGCTGGAAAAAAGAAGACTAGCGACGACTTCTTCTCTGACAAGAGACCTGGAGGCTATCACTGCTTGGGGACGCAACAATCTTGTACAGTTCAATGCTTCCAAAACACAGTACTGTACTTTGACGAACAAAAAGCGTCCTAGCGCTCATACAGTTTCGATGGACGGTCGAGTTCTACCAAAGAGCCATTCATTTCGGCTGGTCGGAGTCCAGATCACCGAGGACCTGATCTGGCACGAACACATCTCTTCAATAGCTGCAGCTGCTGGGAAAAAGCTAGGCTATTTGTTTAGGGCTAAGAAGTACTTTTCTCCGCATGACCTTCTCACTCTATACAAGGCCCAGATAGGGCCTAGCCTCGAGTATTGCTCACACATTTGGGGTGCTGCCGCCCCGACTACATTGTCAGTGCTCGATGCTGTCCAGAGGAGGGCGGTCCGACTGATCGATGACTCTTCTCTAACAGACAGTCTCGGGACTCTTTCGCACAGGCGGGCCGTCGGCGATCTAGCTCTTTTCTATCGCTACACCAACGGGCTTTGCTCCTCAGAGCTCTCTTCCATGATGCCGCCGCGCGATGTGCCTGCCAGACAGACCCGCCTGACTTCGGCGTCCCATCCTAACCGTGTCAAACTTCGTACATCCAGAACTGGCCGATACGACCGCTCCTTTGTCCCGAGGGTGTCTAGATTGTGGAACAATCTACGGGAGGAAGCTTTTCCCAGTTCTACTAACCTTAGGCAGTTCAAAAATCGTATTAACAAAATTTCTTTGGGATCATCATAGCAGCCGCTGTGTTCCGGCATTTAGGCTTCTGCCTGCGCGGCTGTTTCGATATAAAAAAAAATAAAAATACTAGAACCACTGGCAAAAGGGTACCAGCCAACACTATGTAAGCAGCTGACGCATTCCTAGTTTCAGTAGACCAAATTATGTCAGTTCCAAATTATCACTTCTTGATTTGCTACGCATTGATAAGACCAAATCGCGAAATTGTCATATTTACAAAAAAATAAGCAATTTGAATTCCGCCAGGTGAGAGGACTCAATTTTCAGGATCCACTAAAAACGTGTTTTTTGCGTTTGTACAAATTCTTTTAATGAAAATATGTTATAATGTTTTTATAACCACACAAAGACCATTTGTATATTGTTATGCCAGTTACATAATATACAGAGATTTGTTAATATTTGTTGTGAAAGTCGGGAATGGCGTACGTCAAAGTAGTATACATTTTGTTACAGGATCCTGTCCTACACCATCTTGTGCAGCATCAACTGGTTGTTTCACGATGTAACATGTAATATGTTAATAATTTTAACTTTCATTCCATTTATGTTTAATCTGTTGTGATGTCTTCCTGACATACAGCTGTGTGCGCTTTTAACCATTTTTAACGAATGTACCATGCATCCAGCTTTCACCACCAAGTTATTAAATGTGTCCCTCAACTTAAACCTTTAATAACATTTAGCAACAATCTCACATACTATTCTTCTGAAGATGATTGCATAGCCCGTCCAAAGCTAGTGACTAATAAAGTATAAAGAGTCCTCATCGCTTTAATCTTGTCCAAGTATATATACATATATATACTGTATATGTATATATATATATATACTATATATATATAGTAATGGACAAAAGTATATAGGCAAATATGAATATTTACCTAAATACCTTTAGAAAACGAATTCATACTTCATTGCTCCAAAAACAATGGAAGCCTCCAAGAGAAGTGGTCGGCCTAGAAAACTAAATGCTAGATCAGTTAGATTAATAAAAGTAATTTTGTCCAAAGATCCATTTAAATGAATTGTTTCCGGATGAAAAAATACCAGTTCTCGAATGGTCTTCTGAGTCTCCTGATATAAACCCCATTGAAAATCTATGGGAATACTTAGATAAGCAAATACGAGATAAAAATTATTCAAAAAAGGATGAACTTTTTGCCGCTTTAGAGCAAAAGTGGTGACAGATTGATGAATCTTATATCAAGAAACTTCTACAATCTATGCCGAGACGATGCCAGGCGGTGACTGATAATAATGCTACAAAATATTAACTCAAATATGGTTGGTTTTCTATAATTCAATGAATTTTGCTTCTTTTTTCTATAATTGTTTTGCTTTATCTACATATTTTTGTCCTTCATAGTTCCAGTTTTTTTCAATAAATTTTTTATTGAAGGGAGTCTAATGAATTTAGAACAAGTTAAAAAAGAAATACAGCACAATATTAATTTGTCTATACTTTTGTCCATTATGTATATATATATATGGAGCTCATTCTCAACAGACTGGTAAGATAGATATTCAATATTCCTTACCACAGATAGCAAAAATACCATCTAAACCCTGTAAATTAAAGGAATATACGCTTACTATTTCAAATACCGCGATATTTTCCATTTTCGTCACGTCATTACCATCTTTGGTGCTGTAATGTTCTTGACATATTAAGACTTTGCGGCCAGTGGTTGCCATTCATACTACCAAATGATGACCTGATATGTGATGCTATTTGAATAATATAGGAAATAAACAAGAAAAGAGATCAGTAGTGCTATTCAGAAAATGTTATACCTGTAGAAAACAGCAACTGCACTTTTGACCCTTATGTCAAAATACCTCATAGTGCCATCCTGTGAGCCTGATATGAGCCTATTAGGCTCAGCAGCATGAAAGTTGACTTTGTTAACTGTTCGTCCATGGTCTTGGTAATCTTGTTCTTGCATAGCTTTGCCCATTTTTGAGAGATTCCATACACAAACATGGCCATTAGTAGTGGCTGTTGCTAAATAATGATCTACAAGTATATAAATAATAAAAAGTGTATAAAAAAGCATCAAAAACATTAATAAACTCTTTTTTTTTGTTTCACTTATTGGCCAGATAGATACCAACAGGTTAAGCCTCTATATCTGAAGAAAGCATATTTTTAGGATCAGGTAAGTATATCTTACCATCAACTGGGTTCCAAGAAACATCATTGCAGGAGAAATTTGAATTCAGATGTTTTGAACCTCTTACATTGCAGACTTCCCTGAATCTGTCATCTTCAATAGCATATACCTTAAAAACTACAGAGGAGAATAAGATGTAATGAAATTAATGCTAAAACTAATTTTCTGGGAAAAACTCAGATCAGATAGCTATTTAAACTAAGGCATAATATAGTAACTTTTTGCATGTGGATTCTAAGAACCATGTTAAATTGATGCTGCATGTGGAGTTCCAAACGACCCATTTCATACTTAAAATTTGGACTCAACGCTACTTCAACGATTTGTTGATGGTCATATATAAGGAAGATAAAAATTGAAATTTTGCCTCTCCAAGTTCTATAATACTGTTAAGGTTTCTTTGGGGCTCTAGGAGATCTCAAAGGTAGTGTCAGTCTTGCCATATCGGGAGGATTCCCAAGCTCCCGGGACCTTGTTTTGCAAATGGTGATGCTATCCAAGAGATTAGCTCTTCTGACTACTCCATTAATCTCAATCGCAAGTTTTTAATAACTCTATAGATCCAATGTTTTGATTCTGGGTGTAAAAATCCCACGTCGTCTACAATCTAGATACAAAATCAACCCTTACCGTTTCTACCACCGATAGCAACTTGTGTATTGTCCCTATTCAACGCCAAAGCGTTTACGGGGCCCTCTTGCTGCACAAAAAATGTAGCCATCTTCTACACTAAAATTAATACATTTGCACAAAATTATTCCTAATTTTTCTCTTTCTTTTCACATCAAAAAATGTAAAAAAGTCCTTCTTTGCAAAGTAAAAACACGGTTTTTAGGTTATGTCATTTCTCATTTGTTTTGGAAATTTTGACAGCCGTATGTTTATGGCTGGCCTGTACACCTTATTTCACGAGTATCCGTCACGGTAGTATGACAGCTGGATTATCTAGTAATATCTCAAAATTCCCCACATCGGCACAGGACACATAATTCTGACAGAGCCGTCAACGCCAGGTAGATAGAGCCATATTTTGTTTTGGTTTTTTGTACGATACAGATTCATTTTGTACTTGCTAAAACCTCTTTCATTTAGAAAAGTTCGTTTGCATACAAAAAACAAAACGCTACAAACAATTTTTTGCTAGATTTAGTCCCGATTCATTATAGCCAACGTTGCAGACGAACACAAAAATGTCACTAGCTGATCAACTGTTCACGAGACGTCAAAGCGTGATGGATACTCTTAATAAAATGGAAGTCAGGGTTGTCAGATCTACAGAAATTTCGACAGATCTTAACATTTCCAGGGCTAACGATGATGGAAAAGAGGAAAAAAACACATTTAACTTTCACTATTTAATTATAAAAACACATTAAGTACAAAATAGAGAGTTTGTGCCCCAAACAATACAGAGTCTTTCATATAAAACAGATTATCATATCACCATTTCACTAATATCAGTAATCTCCTTTTCAACCTATGCATAATACAACCATTTCAGGATCAAACAATATATTTACGTTTTACAGTTTCTCAATCTGCTATTGTGAGGAAGATCTATATTTCCAAAAGCCATTTTTAATATTCTGGCATTATAGGCAAGATAACATTTGCAACTCTGGTGACCAAGGGATGGAACTTGTCTTCATTGAGATCTTTCCAAGCTATTTTCAATTGGTCTCTAATTACCGAAAAAACTGCTTCTTTAGAAGGAGGTTTGTTCATTTCCAATGTGAACAAGAACAAGGCTTTGCCTACCACAGGGTTGTACTCGTCACAGAGACTATGAAAAGCCTGGGCTGATTCACCTATAATAAAACAAAAGAGATTCTATTATATTTTTATTCCTAATTGAAACATCGAAAAAAATGGGCCATATACATGAAAAATGTACAAAGTATAAATCTGATATGACTTTATATTTTATGTTTCTCTGTATTTGGCTAAATTCTCTTTGTTTTCCATCTAAGTAACCATAACCAACCATATACAACGTTGTTTCTTGTTTTTTAGCAATTAGCAGTACGGTATAGGTCTAGTCATGACGAGGAGGAGGAAAGTTTTGGCAACTTGTTTTTAAGATTCAGCCTATATACCAGGATAAGCTACGGCAATGCTGTTTGTATTGTAAAAACGACCCTGAAACTTGACGCCTGGACTACCAGTGGTGCTTTGACAGGGTTGTCACGTTGGGCGATTCTCCCCCAAAATTGGGGGACTTGTGGAATTTTTTGGGAATATAATGTTCTGTTGCAAATCACACGTTTCGCGAATAGAAAGCATCTCCCACTCTTTGAACCATGGCTACCTCTTTTCATTAATTAACTGTGATTTGGGGGATTTTTTGGAAAAAGTAGCAGTTCTGAGAGATTTTTGTGCTTGTTTTGGGAAAATTGTGTTCGACTCATCTGGCAACGCCATATGAACACTTTACTAATAGTATAAGATCCGGCCGCTTGATTCTGCAAGTATCTGATTTTTTGATAAAACTTAATCTTTATAAATGATAAATAATAGCAGAAGAGATTACAGCTGGGATGCCTGGCAAAGGCTACTCTTATTAATTTGTCATTCATAAAAATTGAGTTTTGTTAAAAAGGCATATCTGCAGATCCAAGCGGCTGGATTTCAAACTATAACCTCAGATAGCCTGCGCTTCGATCACTGCGCGCTCAGTCAGGCCTCAAGTTTTGGGACATTTTTTCCATTTCCTCGGTTATCTTCAGTTCTGCTGGTATATAGGTACCATAAATCAGAGCAAAAAATGCTCTAGGATGGAGTCACACGCATTGAATTTCGGGCCAGAAAGACACTTTGTTCTGTATGCGTGTGAAGGTGGCTCCAAAAGCTTGCTCCACAATCGTACGCGCCGCTAGATTACAGCGGACCGAATAAATGTTGTCGGCCTGCGTGACGTGCATCTGCATACGAGGTAAGCCCGGTAATTATATGTATGCCTATGAGTCTTATGCTACTGCAGTATTGTATTAAATGATTCTGCAGAGTTCGTAGGTTCGTATCTAAAACTATTCGTACACCTCAACTCATAACAAACAAGCCTGTCGAGTACGGTGCGCGCTACTCTCTGAAATCTGTGAAACATTTTTTTTCGTGTAAAGTTGAAGAGGTGCGTTGATGTGCTTTTCAGTGATCAAAGTACACAACAAGAGCTAATATAATCAGGTACCAAAAAGTAGTTACAAACGGTATTACACCCTAGCTCCAAAGGAAGAAGTCTGGTACGCGCTACTCCCTGAAATCTGGGAAACATCTTTTTTCGTGAAAAGTTGAAGAAGTGCGTTGATGTGCTTTTAAGTACACAACAAGAGCTATTATAATCAGTTATCAAAAAGCAGTTACAAACGGTCTTACACCCCAGCTCCAAAGAAAGAAGCTTGTCGTGTACGGTAATCTAGCGGCGCGTACGATTGTGGAGCCATCTTGTTCTGTGTTCAAGCTTTCGAAAATGTTTATTTTCTTCTTTAAGACGTGCTACAAGAATATTGCATGATGCCTATACTCATTACAATATCAACAAAAAAGCTACTCACAATTTGAAGTCCTCTTTCAGGACGACCAATCTCAAAAAAAAACGGAGAAAGATCAATAATCGCATCAAAGCCAAATGTACAATTTACAATATAAAACACTGATCAATGTGAGACTACTTGAGTGAAAAATTTCACGTATCATGTTATTTCCATACTATCAGGTGGAACAATTATTAAAACCTAAGATGACGATTGTTAAAAACGGCAAGTCGGCATAGGAAAGGATTAATTGGAAAGAGGGGGCATGATATGCAAACATCTGATCAGCGATTGACGTGTTTGTCAGTTCATAACCTTAGATATGACGGATATGACACCCAGCCTAACCAGCGCCATATGCCTCTGGCTTTCCAGATTACCCCCCACTTCATATAGCACACCATTGCTGGTGGCTTTTAATACATCGTATTCCAGCTGATTGACGGGTCATCATTTTAGTCATGGTGGGCGACATCTATCAATTCATAAAACGGTAAGCCAGAGGCGTAGTAGAATTCTGCTTTTTCAGCATATCGGCTGAAGATGTATCAAGCTCTGGCAAACTATTTGTAGGTGGCAAGTGACAGTATTGCACAGTCCAGTATTTTTTGCCGTACCATCTTTTTATACATTTTTTGTCTGTTTCAGAATTAGAAACACCATATTTGATTTTGTATTGCTTTTGAAGATTGTATAATATTTCTAGAATCCACTACTTACCAGATATCCCTTCAATATTCTCCACAATCATTACCCCGGACTCTGCAAGAGGTGCTTTTGTTCTGGCTATGATCTTCCCATAATCATGCATAACCTCTCTGGTGCTGAAATCCTCAGGAACCAATTTTACCACACTTGAATTACAGTTGGAAAGAATACATATTGCAAGCCGTGATATGGATGATATTATTTCTTTCACAGTAGCGTAGTTACCTGGGGACAAAATTACATCAAAATGCGCATATAAATTATATCAAAATGTACAAAAAGTCTAATTCAAATCCATGATAGAGTTGATATAAACACAATCTAGTTCGCACTAATATGCATTAGTTTGTAGTTATACAAGAAAAATGAAGCTATGTATTATGTTAAACATGAAAAATTAATCTAAGGTTTGCAATTTGTATTACTTTACTGCTGCTGGCCGCAGAGAACCAAGCGATTGACACTGAAATCACCAATGAGCGCACCACCTGTTTTTTTACAACAAAGCAGCCGCATAGGCAGGAGCCTTAAATGCCAGGACCTGGCGGCTGCTATGAGGATCCCAAAGAAGTTTCATTAATCCGATTTTTGAACTGGGAAAAGCTTCCTCTTTTAGATTGTTCCACAATCTCGGCAGCCTCGGGACAAAGGTGCGGTCGGATTCGCCAGTTTTGGATGTACGAAGTTCGACACGGGTAGGCTGAACTCAGGCGGGTCTGTCTGGCAGGCACATCGCGCTGCGGCATCATGGAGGAGAGCTCTGAGGAGCAAAGCCCGTTGGTGTAGCGGTAGAAGAGAGCTAGATCGCGGACAACCCGCCGGTGCGAAAGGGTCCCGAGACTGTCTGTTAGACAAGAGTCAGCATCGAGCATAGATAATGTAGTCGGGGCGGCAGCAAACGTGTCAGCAATTCATGAGGCTATTTTTATCTGGACTTTATATAGAGTGAGGAGGTCATGCGGAGAAAAGTACTTCTTAGCCCTAAACAAATAGCCTAGCTTTTTTCCCGCAGCTGCCGCTATTGACGAGATGTATTTGTGCCAGATCAAGTCCTCGGTGATCTGGACTCCGACCAACCGAAATGAACGGCTCTTTGGCAGAACTCGACCATCCATCGAAACCGAATGAGTGCTAGCACGCTTTTTGTTCAATCTACAGTACTGTGTTTTGTAAGCATTAAACTGTACAAGATTGTTGCGTCCCCAATCAGTGATAACCTCCAAGTCTCTCGTCAGAGAGGAAGTCGCTGCTAGTCTTCTATTTTCCAGCTCAGTGGCAGAGATCTGTTGTCACTCTGAATTCCTGCATGCAGAGTGCTGTCATCAGCGAAACTGTGGTTTGGGTTGATCGTGCAGGAAAGGAGATCGTTGATATGCAAGAGGAACAGTCTCGGAGTCAAGACCGATTCCTGGGGATCACCCCCGTTGACGTTGTGGGATGAAGAGAATAACCCGTCAATTACGACGGATATCTTGCGGCCAGAGATAAAGTCAGCCACCCATCTGCAAAGCTTTTCTAGGAGGCCATAGGATTCAAGTTTACTTAAGAGGGCAGCGTACCACAGCTGATCGAATGCTTTCGGGATATCAAGAGCAACAACATGAGCCTCACCATAAGACTGGATGAGTTAACTCCACACACAAACCATGTTGCCGAATGAGTACCTGAACCTATCTGTTATGTTTAATTACCATCTATTAACGTGTTCTACCTGAAGATACCCTACCATATTCTGAAAGATCCTAACGCCATCTGCAGGGTGAGTTTTTAGTGTGGGCTTGGTCGATAACTCCATTATTAGGCATGGTTTCTTAAGAAGTTAATCATAAAAATTGTGGCCAACAGCATGCTCCTTATTTGCAGCATATTTTTATCTCCACAAGGTAATTTATAACTAATTCGTGACCCAAACATTCTTTTTTTACTGGAAAGCCCTACATTTTATTGCAGATTTGGTTAGGTCGTTTCAAACATAGTAATTGGATATATCATACTATAGGATTTTATTTTCAAATTGTTGAGATATTGGGCAATATATATAAACAACACTTAACTTTGCCAACTCGCATCTCGACAACTGTATTAGTCAGAGTTTTTTGTCAGAAAAATTGTATGATCCCATATTTTGTTCCTATCCAACTAGAGCTCTCTGTAACAACGATGCTTAGGCAACGCAACCAGAGTTACACAGCCGCCCATTGCGAATATTCGCCACCCATCGGGAAGTATCGACTGCCATCTACCAAGCTTGGATGAAGGCTATAGTTCGGCCTAGAAAATGCGCTAATCCTTCTGGACTCGATGATTCAAGATGAATACTAGTGATGTGTAGTTCGCGAACGAACTAGTTCAATCGAACGATTCTTATGATTGACTAAGTGAACTAGTTCATCATTTCTTGAAAAACTCCTTCACTACAAACGACTAGTATTACAGGATCCCGATTATCGACCTAGATGTGAGTAAACAAACGGGATAGAAGAAAGGAGACGGAACACAACCGCAAGCAGATGGTTGTATAACTAGTTGCCTGGAAGTTATGAAAAAAGATGATAAATGACGTTAGTTATAGAGGCTGAAAGAAATGAAAATTTAATTTAATTGCTGCTCATGAAGAAATTAAAACAATACTAAAATGAAACTGTAGATTCACTACAAACTTTTTGGAAAATAGAGAAAGCAGAACTTGACGCAAAAAAAAGGATCATTCTCCCGAAAGAAGATGTGGGAGATTGTTAGACGTGTAAATCTCATAGCTACTATGTAAGTGACAATTTACGTTGAGAATTCAAATTTGAAACGTCCATCTTAATACAAAAATGAAAAACCAAAAAATCAACAATACGAGGCGTTTCGGAGCAGTTAGCCATCGAAATACTAATCGCGCCTGACGCTGCTTAACTCCTGCGATAGGGTGAAAGAGAGAAAGGCGATGCTTCCACTGACATTATTCTTGTGTAAAATACTTCGTTCGCGAATTAGTTCCTAGAACTAGTTCGTTTTAGTCGGCGCGACGTATTGAACTAGTTCGGCGAAATGAACTAGAAAGCATATCACTAATGAATTCACGCACAGAAGACAGGGACAGACAGAGTTGATGATAAGTCGGCAGCGCGAAACGCAATAGTCCAGTCCACATAGCCATACATTTGTAATAAATTAATGCGAGAGTAGTAAGTTAAACTTTAAATAGTAAAAACGGTGTTACACTATCTTATTACTTTTTCAGTTTCTTGGACAGTTGATACGGGGTGGTCAAGATTGCAAGACAGGCGAATTCTCAAAATTTTCAGATGGAACAGCCAGTATATTTTCACATCTATCTCTTGATTCCCATTTCCAAGTTTTTTCAATACAAGGTTTATGGGGGGTTGTACGACTGGTTTTTGAGTTACAGCTAACCTTTTTGTAAATCTTGTATCTGGATCGACTGTAAGTCAAATTCAATCTTAGGCACGCCACGGGAACATCAAGCAAGCTTAAAATAACTAGGGAACAGTCTCGTGTCAAAAGTATGTTATATGTTATGTAGAAATAAAAATATTTTCCAAGTAAGGAGCATACTGTTGGCTACAATTTTTCTATTCAACTTTTTTATACATCATGTGTAGTAACAAAGTTATAGACCAAGCCTGTGCTAAGAACTTATCCTGTATCAGACAATGGTAGAACACAAAAATGAGTTTAGAAATTTAGTTTGAAAAGAGTTAGCGTGTTTGGTTCTGTTACTGTATCATAGATGGCGCTCTTTCAGATATCTTTTTGAACGCCGAAATTCATTATTTGGTTGGCAGGTAGAATATTTTAATCAGCAGTTGAATCATAATTTGGTTTCAGTCATATATACCCAATGGTAAAATTTGCAATACTAGACGCGATATATCGTTAGTCCAGGCAGAATGGCAAAACCTGAACTATGCATTCACTCTCATCTCCTATATTGTCATTTAGCCTCGATAGTGTTTAAGTAATAAAAATAATTTAAAAAAACTCAATACATTAATATAGAATTTTGGAACTTTCATCCTCAAACAGTTTTAGAATGAAAAATGAATAGAAAGATGTGGATAAACATCAAATCAAGCAATACCTTCATACCTTCAGAATATACAAAAACTAAGGATTTTGGCTGGTTCATATTCTGCACATCCTCAATCATGACTTTTACAGTGCTCCAAAACTCTTCAGATTGCCTTGAGTATTTTTTAGGTAGTTCATTGAAATTTTTCCAATAATCCTCGTTACTTCTGGTTGAAAAGCAATATGATATTGAAATCACCACTACTAAGACTACTAGTAGTACAGCTTTTATTACTGGTATATAAAATTGAACTTCATCACTGCTATGTACTATAGATTCTGGAATTTTGTTGGACCTTTTCTGCTTTTCTGACCTGGACCTATAATTATTATATAAGTAATAGTAGTATAAAATATATCAATATATTAATCAACATGACTGATGTATCCAGAAAAAAGATCTTGAAGGGTCTCAGATTTTACAGATTATACCTAATGGCAATCACAACAAAAAAAGCCTGTGTTGCAATATCACGTAGTAATCAACAACTCTACAAAATATGGCTTTCAGATGTTTATTTTAAATAATTCAATATGTGTAATCTGGAAAGCTGGAAGCAGATGGGGCTAGTTAGACTGAGGATTATATCTGTCATATCTAAGGATATGGACAAATGCTGATCACCTGTTTCTGTCAAATCTGACTTTTTCCCATCTAAATATGCTGACAGCTTGGACCCCCAACCACACAAAAACTGCCTAGCATGAGCAAAATCGGACATCCCTGCCATTCCATCAGTTCCAGTGTTACCACCAATTTTAATCCTATGCAAACTACCAATTTTATCGCGAAACCTACTGAAAAATTTCTCAAATTCTTAAATAATATATTTCTTCAATGAAACAAAGGATTAGAGACCTTGCTACCACTTTTTGATTTGGTGCAACTGTTCCACTCTAGTAGCTTCAAAACTGTATGGAGCTCAATTTTCAATCACCAGCAGCTTTTTTTGTTTAATGGAGGGGTAAGGGGGGTTGAACACTAAGTCCCCCACTAGGAATAATTACAAGGGAAGTTGAGGGTTAATCATTCCTTGAAAGGTTGATGTCATGTTTAAGAATAAGTATTTATCTTTAGAGGGAAAATGGGTTGTCTTTATTACTTTTAGGGAATGACTTCATTCCTACTTGGCAACATGGCTGTGATGATAAAAACTTTATATGAACCAAACATATAAGGTTGGGTCCCCTCTTAGGGAATATATGAAACAACACTTGGGACTGACACGAGTCATTCACATGTCAAAGTTGGCCATTTTTGAAAAAAGGCGTTTTTATTACCTCATCAAAGGTTGTCAGAACATGAAGCAAATAGTAAAATAACAAAGCCTGATAAAGATGCAAGTCAATATGGAGGCTCTGGATTGAATAACTTTATCTTCTGTGAAAACATATTTGACCTTTCCGTCACATCCATGTACCAAGACCATCAATGAAAATAAGTATTTGTTAGATTAAAGATGTTGAATCTGAAGCAATGATTATGCACTTGATACTTAATGATATTTTCACCTTTTCAAAAGTTGCTCTTGATATTCAGGGTCATTAGCAAGCTGTGACCTTCTGGGTGTAGATCTAAACTTTGATCCACATTTGAAGCAATAACTTCTGATATTTTTCTCCTCATCTGAGCTAGAACTTTCATATTCCTTTTCAGGTTGTACCAATCGTTCTTCTATATACTTTTCATTGCAATTGCTACATTCAGCAGTATAACTGAAAAAATGGTGTAACAGTTACCACAATAATACACTGAAGTATTCAGGTCTTTATTTACCTATGGAACTCCTCAGTGCTAGTTGACCTGCTAAGTTCCCTTTCTATGGGGCTCTGTATAGAGACACTGTCCTGATGGATTGGCTTGCGACGACTTACTGTACAAAGTTTTGGTGTGCTGGATGCTGTAGGTTTTGGTTTTCCACTCTATCAAACAAATAAATTATTTATTGTCAAATAAGCTCTATTTATAGTTACCATTACGAAACGTGGGGGGCAACTTGAAGCTTCAGTTAAATTGTCGAGTAGATTTGCATGCAAACCAAATATTCCTGTATTGTCCTGTTATCATATTAATGAAGGTTATTAATGCAAACTACTCAAAATAATGTACATTCAAAATCCCTTTAAGAGCGAGTCAACAAAAATAATTTTGACAGCTTTGCCCTTAGGTTAGGACACGTGACACATGTCAAAATACTAATAACCAATACCAAAATCAAATCCAAGCGGATAACCAATATTTCCGTATTATGTACCGCGGTTATAATATGGTTCAAGATGACACACGGGATGGTGACGTCAGTTACTCGAATCGCTTGAACGCGTTGGTTTTAACCGCGGTTTGTTGCAAGTTGTTTATTTTAGAAAAGCCCGTATATAATTTCTGATTATTTTTATTATCACTTAATGATCGATGCTTTTTCGTCTACAACGGGGTATGGAAAGTTGAAAAAAAGAAAACTTTCATAATATTAATGGGAGGAATGTTTTTTGTAGCTATGATAACTTTCAATTCTCTAAACTTTTCCGCATGTCAAACAAAATATTTATTGATTTAGCAGAAATGATGAAAAAGCGATGAAAAAAAGATATTAACAAAACCGTATACAGGTGGACATCATCCAGTGAGTTTATACGGCCATATTTTAATATTCTTGTGGTATATGGCTATACAGGATACTTTGTTAAGTGTAGGAACTAGATTTAAAGTGTCCCCAACAACAGTGATGATTATAAATAATAAGGTGCTCTCTTATGCTAAAACTGAAGTCAGCCTGTATCAAGTTTCCCAAAAATGAAGCTGAAGTACAATAAAAATATTCAATACCCGGCAAAATTCTAACTTGTCACATGTCAAATAATAACCAGAAATATAAAACTACTCCGGAGTTGGGTAAATACCACAATTTTGCGGTGATAACTATGACATATAACAGCTGATTCGTGACGTCACGGATCTTATAACCAAACTGATAACCACACTCGCTTGAACGGATCGGTAAATACCAATCCAAAATGGTAAATACCATTTCAGTTTGGTTATCCGCTTGAATTTGATTCAAATAAACATTTAATCAAATTCAAGCGGATAACCAAATGAAAATGGTATTTACCATTTTGGATTCTGATTTACCGATCCGTTCAAGCGAGTGTGGTTATCAGTTTGGTTATAAGATCCGTGATGTCATGAATCAGCTGTTATATGTCATAGTTATCAAAGCAAAATTGTGGTATTTACCCAACTCAGGAGTAGTTTTATATTTCTGGTTATTATTTGAAATGTAACAAGTTAGAATTTTACCGGGTATTGGATATTTTTATTGTACTTCAGCTTCATTTTTGGGAAACTGGATACAGGCTGACTTCAGTTTTAGCATAAAGTAGAGCACCTTATTAGTTATAATTATTTCTGTTGTTGGGGACACTTTAAATCTAGTTCATATGCAACAAAGTATCCTGTGTAGCCATATACCACAAGGATATTAAAATATGGCCATATAAACTCATTGGATGATGTCCACTTGTATACGGTTTTGCTAATATCTTTTTTCATCGCTTTTTCATCATTTCTGCTAAATCAATAAATATTTTCTTTGACATGCGGAAAACTTTAGAGAATTGAAAGTTATCATAGCTACAAAGCCATGGTTCCATCATTAATTTTTTTTCTGGAAATAACATTTCTCCCATTAATCAAGCACCGATTGTTAAATGATTATAAAAATAATCAGAAAATATATAGGTACGCGCTTTTCTAAAATAAACAACCTGCATGAAAACCGCGGTTAAAACCAACGCGTTCAAGCGATTCGAGTAACTGACGTCATCAACTCGTGTGTCATGTTGAACCATATTATAACCGCGATACATAACACAGAAATTTTGGTTATTCGCTTGGATTTGATTAATTGTCAATTTCTATTCAAAAAGCTACATCAACAATGCAAAGTACATGTAGTAAGGTGTACTAGAATAACTTAAATAAAACCGCTAAATTAATTTATTGTCTAATAGCTAGACTTTTATTATAAACTGAATCATATTTATGCCACGCCACCTTTTACTTTTAGACCATCTCTAATAAACTTGACAGTAGCACGACGCATGACTCATGACAGATACACAACAAAAGGGGAAGGGGCAGAAAATCTGTTTATATGTTTTGTGAGAAAAACATATCGCATACGGATACCGTCAAGCGAGTGTTGTTTGGGAAGCAATTTTAAACAAAATTTCTCTGATTTTGCACTAACTCGAACGTGTGGATATGGCTCAAAGGTTTCCGGGACCTGTCCCTAGTCCAGGGGGCCCGAGTGGCCCGCCTCCACAACGCTACCAGCAGGCTCAAAACCCTCAGATGCGGCAATATGGACAACAAAATTTTCCGGTTAATATATACTTCCGTAGTTTGTAGGGCATGAAAATATATCGGAATGGACAAAAATAATTTAGAGGATCACTAAGATAGAGAGTTGAACGGGTTATCTCAAACTAATGCTATCTACCTGTATACACACACAATGGACAAACTGTTTTATTGTCTGCACTTTACTGTGCTATAGCTTCCAGGCAAAAATGCATGGGTTGTATAAAAAGCTTTAAAAATACCTCTTGCCTTACTCATTTACTATGGATGCTATAGTCAGCATAAATTCATTGTCTAAGAATTCTGCCTGTACAGCACGTTTCAGTACTCAGTAGCTGTGTCAGTTTTAATATAGAATCAGTTTCTCTGAAACAGTATTTCATCATAGCTATGTTGTCTCCATACAGACGCTATTTACTGTGGAAAAAACGACATGCACAGCAGGTTTAGTAACCTTTCTAATTTTATCATTTGCCTAACAATAAGGATCACACTAACTTTAATTACATATAAATTATAAGGGATTTTAGTTTTGATTAATTGTCGGATGTAATAGCAACTTGAGTCAGGAATTGAAGCCTGACATTGGTTGTACTTATTCTTAGTAGACAGTATCATAAGTAATGCTATTTCTAGGCTAGTGGTGGTGACATATAGCTTCTATTCTATCTATTACGCATATATAAATATTTTTCCAACCCTGTAACTATAGTAGAAGTAGATAGGTCAAAATCTCTCAGGAACTGTATTTTATTCTGCATTTTTGTTACTCAGCTTGGAGAGTTTTCACCCACAGCTGTCTGTTTTAATGTGATAACACCAAATATATAACCTAAAGTTCCAAAGATCCCAGGACTTCTGATTCCTTTGATAACTATGTTTTGCTATTTAATTCAAATCTTCCTGAATTTTTAAATACCCATAAGTCTAGAAGCATTTTTGTATTATGGAATTCCTTTGTAAACTTTTCATTAATGTTTCTTCCACAGCAACAAAGACCAGGTACCTACACCACCCCACCTACTGGTGGCCCCACAAACATGCCTTCCAGTGGTGGCACAATGATTCAGCGGCCTCAAGGAGCCCCATATGGTTCACCAATGCGTGGAGGTCCTATGGGGCCTCAGCAGTCAGGGGCAGGCACTAAGAGACCTGCTGATCAGAGAGGAGGAGCAATGCAACAGAAAGCGTGAGGATCAACAATAGTTGCTATTTTTGAAAATAGTATAGCATTTTTTGCTGTACAAATTGTTTGAATTGCCTACCTGAACTTAGTCATGCAATTTATGAATGAATGATTTCTGCAAATGACATGTCTTAGCACACTATTTTCTGGATGCTTCAGGTTTACGACAAAATAATAATAATTCATCATTACCCATGTTTCCAGTTTCTTTCACTTGTAACTAATATTTAGTAATTTTGAATTGATCTAAAAATTAGGAATTCGTATGTGTGGAAAATTGAAATTTTGGTTGGGTCCAGATTTGCTCGATTTAATTTTGTTTACAATGCGAGCCGCGGTCTTGTGTGCTTGCGAACTTACTCGACTGTATAGTCTACTTACTCACGCAACATAGGGTTGTTGTGCGATTCCGCTTGAGACTATATGGTAACTGCTCCTGTTGCTTAATGTATCTGTGAAGAGTCTCGACGGAGACATACCATGGGGCATTAGGCACACTTCGCAAGGTTCTGTTCTGCAGAACATGTAGACTACGAATGTGCGTTTTGGCAAGGAAACACCATTCTGCACATGCATAAGTGATTGCTGGTCTAATAACCACCTTGTATAGCCGAACTTTGTTGATCAAACTTAATTTTGAGGTTCTACATAGAATTTGGTCTTTTAAAGCTTCAGTGTGCTTCTGCCAAGTCACACACTTGTGAAGAGTAACACCAAGATACTTGACAGAATTTTCCCATGGTAGCCTGCGTTTTTGAGTAATGAATTTTGATCAGCCCATTCCAATATCTCATCCACCGCACTTTGTAACCTGTTGTGAACGAGGTTCCAGGAAATCGACTGGATGATCAATGCAATGTCATTAGTATATAGATAGACTTCACAGTCGGTGGGGCAAGGGACATTATGAGTGAAAAGTGAATACAAGATTGGTCCAAGAACCGAGCCCTGTCGACAAAACATTATTAATTTCAGGCCGTTGTGCCTCACCTTATCAAATGCCTTCGAGACCGTAAGATGTCAGTACTTTCGTTTAGGATGAAAACCCTGGTTACTCGCTCTACAAGACTAAACCGCCTGTAACTTCGTACTATGCTCAGACCGAAAGCAAAATTGCACGTCAGTAATCACATCACCTTTTCAGCGAGCTTAGATGGAGCTGCCTCAGGCTAATGGGTCGATAATACTTGGGGAATATCGAACCCAGCTTCTTTATAACTTCCGCAGTCCGCAGTTTTCCACGCTGATGGGAAGTACTGGGTCCTTAGCATGGTATTGATAATTGCCACGAGATAAGTAATTGACCCTGAAGCTCTGCTGGTGTGCAGTGCGGGATGTCGGGAGAAGCCGCTGATGTGGATCGTATAACGTATGTCCCAAAAGTTTTGACAAAATATTTATCGGATTTTTTTTAATGAAGAACTTTATTTAAACACTAACTAGTTATCATAAATTATAACTCAATACTTAACTAAACTATACTACAGAATTATGTGGAGTGGCCCATTTTGCTCTACCATACGCAACTTTCTTCGAATGTTTCTCATGATGTCCTGGTCGGAATTCAGATCAATTTCTCTGTTTTTTTTGTAAATTCGCCGTCTTAATTGTTCTTCATCTTGGGATTCGCAGCCTTCATGATAAATCTTCCTAGACAGTAAAGCCCAAAAATCCTCTGTTGGGCGAGCCTGCCGCAAGTTTGGAAGATTATCGTTTTTGGGAACAAAAGGTATGTTGTGTTGTCGGAGTCAGTTTTGGGTATCTCTTGAGTAATGGGATGATGTTAGGTCTGGCCAAAACATGATATGGTCATTAGCATGATGTTCTTGGACAAACTTAAGCAATTTGGAAAGGCAGTTATCAATTTAGCCCTGACTATTCAAAGCTTCACCCCTTACTCTTCTCTCAAAAAGTTGGGATACACCCCTAAAGTCAGTAAACAAAATTTTGTTTCCAAAGGCAACTTGATATTATTTTGTGTTTGTTTAAATGCAAGCCAATATGCCATGTAACAAAAAATTTGCGATTGAAATAGAAATTTTCAAATTGAGAAACTTATTGAATCATATTTATGCTACTATGTTCTTTATTTTTTTTTTTAGTGATTACCCGCACGGAGGTGCTACAGGAGCCGGCAGTGGCTCAGGCACTGGCGGCAGCGGCTCTGGCACCACTAGCAAGAAGAAGAAGAAACTATCCGACAAGATCCTACCTCAGAAAGTGCGCGACTTGGTTCCCGAGAGCCAAGCGTACATGGACCTCCTTGCTTTTGAAAGAAAACTCGACTCGACCATTATGCGCAAGAGGTTGGATATTCAGGAGGCGCTGAAAAGACCTATGAAGCAGAAGAGGAAATTGAGAATTTTCATTTCTAACACGTTCTATCCGGCTAAGGAACCGCAACCAGATGGTCCTGACGGCCCATGTCAAGAAGGGTGAGGTCATTGGTATACAGTATGTCGATGGGTACATTCACAAAATGTCGTACCTGTCAAGAGGGATTTCTAGGCGATATAAAATCCGTCCTACTACGGCGAGTTATAACATATAACTATTTTTGTTGACAGTTCAGTGGCGTCCTGGGAACTCCGCGTGGAAGGCCGCCTATTAGATGATCAAAAAAACGATCCTAACAAAGTGAAACGCAAGTTTTCATCATTCTTCAAATCGCTGGTTATAGAACTAGACAAGGACCTCTATGGACCTGACAATCATCTGGTGGAATGGCATAGAACGTTGTCTACACAAGAAACTGATGGATTCCAGGTGAGAAGCGATGGAATAAAATGTTGAGAATCTTTTCCCAAACCTCATCCAAATCTAAGACAGCGGGGATGTACATACAGTTAAGTTTGAAGAATTGGATAGGGTCATCCAAATCCGCCTGGCCTTTTTAAATGATACCAGCATGACCTGTCGATTTCAGATAGTAGCTTATATAGAACTTGAGTTCAGAGGGGGCCCATAGATCTCAGGTGGTTTTAAAATGCAAAAAAGAACTCGAATACCTAAAAACCAAAATTTGAAATAGGATGAGGTAAGAATTGTGTGATGCTGTCCGTTATCGTGCGTCTTAAAATATATTCCAAAAAAAGTTTATTTACCCTTGAGCTTGAAGAGTGGTGTCAGTGTAATTGTCCGAAGAAAGTATATAAAATTTTATTTTTGCATCTTATACATCCGAAAAAATTCTTTCGTGATTTTTTCAATATATTTGATGCTGTGGAACTCAAAAAATGTCAGATCCATTACAAAATAAACATTTATGAATATCCCTTGATACGTTACTAAATGTCTATTAAAACTTTAAACGCAGATTTAAAAATGTTTGAAGCTAGCACCAACGAAGAAAATCATAAACATAAATTAACACACATGAATTTCCAGTTCATTTCGATATCTAATCCCAAAGGTAGAACAAAGGTAAAAACTACACGGTGCTTCTGGGCCCTTAGCTAGGAATAATTTCTTGGACCCAGCATTCCAGTCGCCTCTTATTTCTAGCGCTAGCAAATACTTCATCATTAAAATGTTAAAGCCTACGGCATGTACCCCGCAATTCTGGAACATCGTAAACTTGGAACACGTCAGTTAGCTACTGGCTGGTAAATCTTGGAATGAATAAATAACCTATATAACATACGTTTTCGCCATGTTTTGGACTGCCTCCTTATAAAAGCTATTGCTATGTCCGCTACGACAAAGTAATAGTTCACCTAAAAATTGGCGAATTTGCCCAACCTTTGATCAGCATCTTGTTCCGTTCGGTAACTCCCTCCCCCCCTCTTATACAGGCTGACCCAGAAGTCGACATCATGCCGGAAACGGGAGATAGGGCAAGTCATATTAGCTATCAGAAAAATATAAAATAAAATCTAAGTTGTGTACTTTTAAAATTATAGTCAGATAGTACCGCCACTTTTATTAATTCATGATTGTGTAGTGCCACCATGTCTGTGTACACCATACAGGAATACACCAACATGCACCTTATTTATGGAGAATAATATAGATGCAATGGTAGTGCTGTAGCTAGGCTTAATCGTGAGAGGTTCCCAAATGATGCTCGTCATCCCGATCACCGAGTTTTTGTGAATAAAGCACATGGTGAAGGAAGAATTTCCTTACCTTACGAGGACGTCATATGACAAGCAGTCGAAGATCCGAGTACTTCAGTACGTCAAATAGAAACAAGCGCGGGAGCGCCCAAAAGTACAGCCCGCAGAATCTTGCGAAAGAACGAGCTCCACCCGTACCACGTACAGCGAGTACAATCTCTACAACCCCGGGATTATCTTGCAAGAGTTGAGTTTTGTCAAACAATGTTACGTCTCTGTAACTGTAACGGGAAGATCCGCGATGTTTAGAGAAAATTTAATGGGCCGATAAGTCGACATTTACATGAATCTACACAACTTACACAAGTGGCATGTAGACAATCCACATTTGATGAGACAAGATGAATCACAGTATCGTTTTAAAGTAAACATGTGAATCGAGGTTCTAAATAGGAGAATCATTGTATCCTTTGAGCTGCCAGAGCTCTTGAATTTATTGGAAGACGTGCCACGAAGCATTTGCATATACAGGGTGTCCGCAAAGTTGGGGTTTTCCTTTTCAGAAACAACTACCCTTGAAATAACAAAGGTAATGTGTAGTGAAACGAGGGCGACCAAGTTAAAAAAAAATAAAGGAAAAAGTACTCACTCTCCAGTTAACGAGAAGCGCTAAGTACGTTTCTGCCTGAAATCGAAAGTTATTCACGCCATTACGCGTGAACGTAGATTCGTCTGTCACCAATATGCACTTCAAAAAGTCCGGATTATTGTCATGTTGATGCAACAACCACTCACAAAACCGCACTCTAGCTGGAAAATCGTCAGGTTGAAGGGCTTGTACACGTTGGACGTTTGCCACATTTTAGTTTTTGATACTTGCACTTCTCTAGCCACGTCTCTAGTGCTGGTTGAGGGATTCTCGTCTACGCGATTCAGTAGTTCTTCCTCAACTTGCACCATTCGTGGTTGTCTAGGCCTCCCACTGTGCCCACCTCGAAATTCCTCCAAATGGCCCGTATCCCTGGCTCTCTGGACCAGATACACAAATCTGCGGGGTCTTGGATGATGTCGTCTAGGGAAACGATCTGCATACACTCGCGACGATTCTGTATCATTTTGAAGACATTCGCCATAAATTAACAGCATATCAACGAGTTCATTATTGGTGTATGACTGTGCCATTTTTATTTTTTTTTTTGAAACGCAATCGATTATACGGGCTCGTTACCTCTATACGCGTGACCCTTTACCGTCAGTTGAAGGTTGCATACTGACCTGACACACTGACCCCGACCCCCGACCCAGTTCTGTCGTCGGGTTCAGCTAGTAGCCGGTACCAGTCTGAGATATCACGGGTCGCGGCTACAGGACGGTATTCAGATATTTTTGATGTTGCAGAGCCCTTTATCTCGGTTCCCTTAAGACATTGGTGTATATGGTACTAAGAAAAATTGCTTATGTTTTCAAGATCTACACGTCGTGTAAAGGAAAACCCCAACTTTGCGGACACCCTGTATAGTACATGTGTTACCAGCAAGTCGACTGCCCGCCGCACTGTGCCCGTTTAGTTAGAGAATGTCTTGATGAGGAAAACCCGAGCAGATGGATAGGGCGGTCTGGTACAATTTCGTAGCCAGTCCATTCACCTGGCCTAAATTCACCCATTTTTTTACTGGGGAGCGGTAAAAGAAAAACTACTCAAAGCCAATCGAAATTTTGGGAGATCATTTTTAACAACATATCAAGCTTGCATTACTGCTGAGGGAAGGCAGTTTGAATATTTATTGTGAATTTAGTAAAGGTGGCGTTACTATATGTCGTGCTGACACTACGTAGAATGACACTGTCCGTCACTCCTCTAAGAAAAAATTAGAATTTGTAGGAATTAGAACTAAAAGATCATCACAGGGTGTAGATTCTCCCGATTTTTTTAAAGCCTATAATTTGAAAAGTACACAATTTTTTATATTTTTCTGATAACTATTATGAATTGGTCTATCCCGCGTTTAAGGCTTGATGTTGAATTCTGGTACACCCTGTATACGCAGCTGATACCTCAGAACGTCAATGCTGCAGTGGAGGTGCCAGAAGACTACAGTTACCTGCTGCCGTACATAAGGGTCATTTAGAAATACTAGACCTATACCATACTGATGATTTCTCAATAGCATGAAACAACGTTGTATGCGGCTGGTTATGGTCGCAGAGAAGAAAAGCATTTCCATCATGAAACTAAGTGTTACCAATTTTCGTTTCTGTTAGGTGAAACGTCCCGGTGACAAAAACGTTCGCTGTACGATCCTGTTGTTGTTGGATTACCAGCCTTTGCAGTTCAAACTGGATCCCAGATTGGCCAGATTGTTAGGAGTCCATACTCAAACTAGACCAGTGATCATTTCTGCACTTTGGCAGTATATCAAGACACATAAGTAAGTATAACTCCATTCGATTAACACTATAAAAAATGCTCAATTGTTGTAGAGCCAAATTTGGGGAAAAAATGTGCCACCTGCGTCGGTTATATAGCACTAAATTCGCTTTGGATTTTGAGTCTAACCACCGGCCTTACATAGACTAAAAATCTTAGTGCAGTTAACTGATTTGCAGATTTTTGAAAATGTAAACATAGGAAGCGTCAAAATATTGTACGTAGAACTGTTCAAATGCCCAAGGTCTTTGAGCGGGGTTTTTGGCCTTGAAAATAACTTATAGTTGATCGTACCTATGAGATTTTTGCATTTAAATATTTTAGAACATGTGTATTTGTATTTTCAACATTGTTCCTTTTATTTTCACCCATTTTGGAATATTTCAGATATGGTTTTTTTATGAGTGCATTGTCGCAAATTCAAAATGTTAAGCCTCATGCCATACTGCTTAGAAGGCATTTGGATTGAAATGCCCAAAAGATGAAAAACGACTTTTTATGAAATTTTTAGACTGCAAGACGCCCACGAACGTGAATATATCGTCTGCGACAAATACCTGGAGCAGATCTTCGGTTGCGCCAGAATGAAGTTCGCAGAGATCCCGCAACGTTTGAACCCCTTGCTGCACGCCCCTGACCCTATTGTCATCAATCACGTGATTTCGGTGGAGGGGGGAGGTGCTGAAGCTAAGCAGACAGCTTGTTATGACATTGATGTTGAGGTAAGTGAAAAGTGATGCCAGATCTACCGTTTTACGGTAGATCTTCCGTTTTGCGCCGACTTTTCTGAAAAGTGCTTAATTTTTACAGCTTTTATCGCACTAATTTCGATCACATAAGCCTCCCTAAACGTGCAATCCTACCATTTTTTTTCAAGAAAAAGTATATTGCTGTATTCTGGTCAGTTCTTGAGGTATTGTTAGACCTGCACGTCAACGGGCTTGGCAACTCACCGGTAAACTTTCCACGGCCATATTTCAATCTGTAGTTTTTCAATCTAGCGCTGATTAACTTATTCTATCTGAAGATATCCAACCCAATACTATGTTGATAGAACTTCATTGTCTAGCCGAATCAAACCACATGTTTTAATTTCTGCTTATTGTACGACCTTTAGGCCACCGCGGTGGCCTTTTTGAAGTACATTGACAATTAATGACAATATTGTCCTATATCCCCTGAACATGCAAGCCATAGGATAAGTTTTAGGAATCACAATAATACTATATTCCCGCGTCCAAAAAGTCGGAGATAAAATGAAATACCAAAACGTCATCTGTGAAAATTTTTCACAGCCATGTTCTCTTCTTCAAATTAGTTAGAAATCTAATTTGGAAATAGATGGCGCCGTGGCCAAATATATACTATATGCTAATACGTTTGGCTACAGCGCCATCTACAAGACAATAACTTTTCAAAGTATATTTAAAGTATAATTAGTTCTGAGAGGAGGAACATCGTTGTGACAAATTCTCGTAGATGACGCTACGGGAGCTCATTCCATCTGAAATATTTTTTTAGTTATGGAAATATGGTATTAGGTTCGCTATATCCAGTAAAATACGTGAACCAATGGTGAATGTGACATTCCAGCTTGTTTGTATTGTATACAATACTTTACCACATTCTGAACTGTATTTAGGTGCTTCCTTGCGTTGTTTTTATACTGTTTGCAGTTACTCATCTGTAACATTTAATTCTTAGCTGGCATGAAATACAAAGGGTACTATAAAAGTTTTGCAATACAGCTTTATTTATTGACTTCGTTCAAAGTAATTCCCGCCAAATTCAATACACTTCTCTCTCATCCGCCAAAACCAGTTCTTAAACCAGCTTTGCCAAGTTTCACGCGGGAGTGCGGCACACTCGTTGACCCAAGGTCTCAGAAGGTCCTTATCGCTAGAAACCCGTTTTCCTTCTAGCTTCATTTTCACATGGGAAAACAGTGCAAAGTCTCGGGGAGCAAGACCTGGACTGTAAGAAAGGGTGCTCAATAAGTTTCAGTCCAGTAGTGGTTAAACACTCGGTGTAGGCTTTAGCGCGATCAGCTGGAACATTGACATGGTGGAGATATCAAATGTCCATTCTTGACTTTGGCCGCAGATTTTTCATAGGCTCTATGACTTTAGGCAGGCACTTTTCCGTGTACCACTGTGACTATCTTCTGTGTGTCCAGAATGACACGCTCCACAATCCCGCCTGATTTGAAAAATACAGCTATCATTTTTTTAACAGATCGGGATTTTCTGACAGCTACGGGTGTGACATCATCATCAAAGATCCAAACTTTATTTTGAGTCTTGGTCGGCACATCGTAATAATAGAGCCAAGTCTCGTCACCTGTCACGATGCTGTTCACATACCGAGATAGCTGCTATCAAACATTTTCAACATCTTTCGGCACTAAGTCCTACGACGAGTCTTCTGCTTTTTCGTCAGACTATGCGGTACCCAGAGAGAACAAAGTTTCCTTACGTGTAAATGGTCATGCAGAATTGAATGAATTGCTGGTGCATAGAGGTGTAAGATCTCCTCTATCTGTTGGTTTGTCATTCTCCGGCCTTCGTCAAGCATTTTCCTCACAGCAGTAATGTTTTCCTCTGTTACTGACGTTTGCGGCCTTCCTTCCGTCTCAGCGACCTCCAGAGTGAAATTGTGTCTTTGGAATTCTCTGTACAACCTGAATATAGTCGTACGGTGAGGACAATCATTCTTTAATGCAAGCGTCATTTCTTCTAAGCACTGGTCTATGCTTACGCGTAAAGTTATGCCGTAAAACTGCCCTTATCTCACTTCGTGACCACGATGCCATAGTCTGCACCTTACACTGTCAATACGAATGAACAACTAAATCAAAAGACGTGCTACTGGCGGCTACTATGCACTCATGGATATGTCTCAACATGCAGCCTCCTGCGTCCGTTTGTTAAGTCATATTGCAAAACTTTTATAGCCTTTGTATAGCTATATCGGTTGATTCATTCTGATTGTATAACAAAACTTTCCTAATCAATTTATGCAAAACAACCGACACAAAGGCATCTTCAACGCTCCGAAATATAAAGTAGTAGGATGCACGCTTCTGTCATTTGACTATATGGGGTTATTTTTAATGTCACTAAATCATCAACTGTAATTTGTTTTCACGTTTTGACGTGATGGACTAACGTTGAAAATAGTGTATCTTGTGTTTGTTACGAGAGGTAATATATGTGTATTGCAACGCCCTCTGTCACTCAGTATCATTTATTTTAGGTCGACGACACTTTGAAGACTCAAATGAACAACTTTTTGCTAAGCACAGCCAGTCAGCAAGAGATTCAAGGACTAGATTCGAAGATCCATGAAACTGTTGAAACTATCAACCAACTGAAAACCAATCGAGAATTTTTCCTGAGCTTCGCTAAGGATCCGCAACAGTTCATCCACAAGTGGATCGTATCACAAACTCGGGATCTCAAGGTGAGTCTTTTGTATACGTACAATGAAAATTTGAAAATCCCATCACGTTTTGCTGGAAGACATATGGTACGTATTCAATCATTCAAATGAGTATAGATTTCCATTATAAAAAAGTGGTTATCTCCATCTGACGTCAACAGGTATTTTTCTCATTATTATAAATGTCAAAATTTCGATCGACAGTCATAGTTAAATACAAGTTGGAAGTTACATTGATTGCTTAAGTCAGGCCTCTCCAACTCAGGTGATACCAGTGCAGCGCCGAGCACCGCTCGCAGCAAAGTGCTGCGGGGTGACTCCGTGAAGGTGGGGGAGGGATTAGGCAGCAGCATACGCATCGCGAGGAAGGTGTTGTGCTAACCGTAGCATCCTGCGAATATAAATGACCCGGGAGCTGGTGGCATTGAGTATACCTTCATCGCGGATTCGACTAAATTTAGTAATAATATGTGGTTTTTAAGTAAATGAACAAGAAGAGCTCAGAAGTACCTGCCATACCGACTTGATACAGCATGACAAGATAATTTCACCGTCATCACCGAATATAATGAAGCCTACAAGGTTTGATGGAAATTTTAGGCTCATTTGGAAAAACATGGTATGACAAACTGATTTCCGCCAGAAGTTTCTGCCGTACCGACTGAAAAATAATACATCCTGTTTGTATGCTTCGTGCTTGCATTTAAAAGCTCATTTGAGTCTGTCAGTTTGACACCAGGCTACTAGATGTTTGAAAGTAAATGTAAAATGAATATGAAACGACATGACCGTTGATATACGTATAGGTTATGGTAAAATCCTACCGTCACGTTGTATCTTCAAGTCGATATGACAGGTACTTTCATCGGCATACCAAGCCCTTTTTGTTCATTTACTTAAAAACTACAAATTATTACTAAGTTTAGTCGAATCCGCGATAAGGTTTAATTTCGCCGGCTCCCAGCCCTAACGGAAAATGAGTGGAGTGACATTCGTATTGACATTTGAATTGGTCTGATCGAGTCAACGCGCGGGTGATAAAATAATGTTCATAATTTCGACGTAAACACATTTATTCTTAAGATGATCTTTGACAGCGTTTCGATTCAACAAGTTTTCTAATATTCGGTATAGTGGCTTGAGCAGTGGAAATTCTGAGTATCTCCTGTAAGGACACATCAGACAAAGACCTGTTTTTAGTTTTGTTCAAATTCATTAAAGAAAAAATCTGCTCGCAGAAGTACGTTCTACCGAACATGGAGCAAGTTTCCAAGGCCAGTGCAAGAATTTTGGGAAAATCTTGCTGCTTAACACCTTGATAAAACGAAATTAAATTACTATTGTAGTATTTACAAAAAATAGGCTTCCATGCAGGATTGAATGACATCGTTTAAAAAAAGATGCACGTTAAGACGCTAAAAAACCTGTCCACTTTGTCTTGTCCTAATAAGAAATGGCTCGCGCCCGAGAGACTGTCGGCTAATATGTTTCTCTCTGTCGCTACGGCTGTGCGGTCGAGGTGGAGGGAGAACGACACCGGTGCCGCTGGGTTCAGCACCGGAGCGCACCAGCACCAAGTGCTCGAGTTGGAGAGGCCTGGCTTAAGCACGAAAGCATAGCAGAAATTTCCTTAGAACTTTATTTACCCTTCAAAGAAAGTTGTATCGTTGTACATCTTACTTGACAACTAACAGTTGTGTGTATACCCCGACCAAAAATACACTCGGTTGTGTAAGAAAAGAAACAAACGCCGATATATCGGATCGGCCGATTATCGATATCGACAAAAATCATGCGTATGTCGATCTCTAAACAACTCCCTTTCGTGACCGAGGTTAAAAGTGAGGAAAGCATAAGCTGGTCAAGAATAGTCGGTAATCACCAACTAAACATACATCGGTAATAAAAAAGTGTAACATACTTTTGAGACGACCCTTGCAACTGAGTGAACTCATCCATATGGTGAGGCTCATATCGCTTCTCTTGGAAAGAAAACTTTTCATCCGCTGTGGCATGCTCCTTCTTATGCAAACTTCCATCATATGGCTTCCCACAGAAGCAGATGGGTGATTTCTTCTCTGTCCGCAAGATATCCGTAGTAATTGACGGTTTCTCCTCTTCATCCCAGAATATTAATGCGGGATTGGTCTTGGCTCTGATATTGTTTCTATTACATATCAACACCTCCTTTCCTGTAAGATCAATTCGATCCTTGACTAAGAAGAAGCGCCCCAGCTCTCATTCGGTTCCGATGGGTGGCCGACTTCTACCAAAGAGCCGTTCATTTCGATTGGTCAGAGTCCAGATCACCCATTACTTGATCTGGTACGAGAACTTCTTGCCAATCGCGGCGACTGCTGGGAAAGGAGAAAAGCTAGGCCATTTGTTTAGGGCTAAAAAGTGCTTTTCGCGGTGCTCCGGTTATTTAGGCTTCTGCCTACGGGGCTGCTTCGTAAAAAGAAAAAATCCTTGCGAATTATTTGTCAGAATTCTTACAGGCATTGTCGTTTTTTTTCAGACGATGACAGATGTTGTTGGAAACCCAGAAGAAGAAAGAAGATCAGACTTTTTCTACCAACCGTGGGCTCAAGAAGCAGTCTGTAGGTACTTCTACACGAAAGTGCAACAGAAAAGGGCTGAACTGGAACAAGCACTTGGCATCAGGAACAGCTAAATAATATAAAGCACAAGAACAAGATGATTTTTTCGTGTATTTCTTATTTGTAGTATGAATCACTCAATATTCATGTTATTACATGTTATACAAGTATATTGTTTTAGAATTCCCATCCAAATAAAAAAAAAACTATAGCTGTTTTGCGAATAACATAAATTACTGCAAATATTGACAAATAAAATACGGCAATGGAAACTTTTAAAGTTGCATGATAACTCAGAAATTAATATCAAAATTTAATGCGTAATGTCATGTTAGTGCAATCGTACATAAGAATGGCTTTTGCATTTAATAGTGCGCACGGGCACGGGACAGGGGTTGTAATGCGCATCGTAATTTTTTGAAGTAAATTAAACTTGATTCACCAGCAAACTTCTTGTGCATAATAGAGTTTAAAAGTTATCACGGATGCTACCGATAAGTAAAGGGCGTCGAGTCAAATTTGGAGTGCATTTGTAGAATTTGCATAAAATTATAAGTAAGAAAAAAAACAAATATGATCGATAGTTGTTGTCATGTTTGCCGTGATTAATGTTTCATTGAATATACACTTGGAGAACAACACTAAAATACGTTAAATATCGTGCATTACTACAGGATATATAATGGGCACTATTTGCGAAAGTGATATCCTCCACATTTATCGCCATTTGCAAATTAATGACGGCAACTAAGAATAAAAAAAATAGAAAGACCTGCACAAGTAACTGAAACAAGCTCATGGATAGTGCAAAAGGTTTTTTAATAGTAATTTGATGCAAAAAGTTAACATCTAATTCAGTATTCACGCGGATCTAAAATTTTTCGATAACGTAAAATCTATCTTGTTCAGATTTTGCTGGCAATAAGGATATCGCATAATATTAACAGGGGCTTACAATTATATGGACAATAGTAGCTGTTGCGCACTGTTACCTCTGTTTTTTTCAAGTAGAGACTTTGAGATCAAACATATTTTATTCAATACAAAATAACAGAATTATTCTAATTTGAATCAGCGTCTTGCTTTTCGTTCAGCAAAAACTTCCATCGCAGAATCCAAATTGACTGTATTAGCTACTGATCTTTCGATATAGAGGATAGAGAAGTTTTTAACTGTGTCTTTAGCCAAAGAAGCTCGACGGTCTTTAATAATTTTCAAAGAGCTCATGACACCTTCAACACTAGCTGAACCGATAGGCAAAGTTAAAAACAATCTGAATAAACTGCAGCTCTCTGGAAAACTGTCTACAAAATTGTTTGCAATCATCAACTTCAAATAATCCAGCGGGCTGTCATTAGTAAAATTACGATTTTCCGAAAAATACATGCTCGTAAAACTGGCTCACATTTTAGATCTGTAGTGAAAAATTCCGAATATTTTTCCATCAAATTAGTGACGCTGGTTTCTAATTCGTTTTAGATTGACTAATTTCTTTGGCCTCAAAGAACCAAACACATCAGTCACTTCACGAAATCCTTCAGTACGTTTTTGCATTTTGTTACTCATTGAATCCAAAACTTCGTAGTAATTTATTCGACGTTTTTCGTGTGTTTCCAGTCAGCAGCTTTTTCGTGGAACATTTTTTTTGATTTTTCTCTTTCTGACAATGGGAAAACCAGGATTTTCCCATTCTTAGCCTTCAAAACAAAATTGTCGTATGTGCTTTCGCTCCTCAAATCTTTTAATTTTTTTAATGCTGCTGAAATGCACCTTTGAGCCATCATCAAGTCTATTTCTTTCTTTTGCATTTGAACCTGCATAGTATTTATTCATTACGCTCAATACTGAATGCCACCAGAACAAATTGAGGAAAAAGGTCCAGTTCATGGAGGAAAGGAGAGATCTTGCATTCATTATATCTTTGCCAGAAGCTCATACTTTTGAAATTTCATCTTCTATGCAAATGATAATACATTCAAAACATTTCTTCCACGATACTATCACGAAGAAAATATATATGTCATCAAATAAAAAAATGCACAGTATTCTGAAAGTTTATGGTTATAAGCATTGAAAACGTGAAAAGACTCTAAGAGACGCATTAGAGTCTTTATTAGACTGAATGAGGCTGATTCATACCACGAAGATATTTATTTACTGAACATTATATGCCAGGTAATAATCACTGTGAGCACAAAATAAAAAAAATAACCCCTCCACTCCTTGAGAAATAAAAGGGTAATTCGGTCATTTTTTTAGAAATGAAATAGTCATTTTTCAAAAACTATCTTAAGAAATGAAAGGGAAATTTTTTTATTGAAACTGAATGCTAACGCGCTGTTTCATAAACATTACGCAAATGGTCATTAAGAGAATATAACAACACTCTGATTTCTTATCAATTTTACATTCAGACGCGCTGAACAATATAGACACTAGAGCTGATTTTTTGCTGGGGGGCCCTATGACCAGCATTCCTTGGTGGAGGGGGGGGGGGTATCTTTCAAGTAAGCATCCTGCTGGCTACATTTTTTGTGTAACTAAAAACTCGCCCTCTATATATATATATATATATATAGATAGCACAAGTCTAAACCCGCGACTCTCTCGCGTGGAAGTAGTATAAAGTATACATGCAACAATAAATTAATTTCAATATTTCGCTTTTTATATCCTTTACAAAAAGTAGGGAATTTACATGTTCGTTGGCAAGAATATACTGGAACTAAAAATTGCCCTCAATATGTATCTCAAGAATTAAAAATAGAATATTGTTTCTGTTGAAAATTCATTTGATCTTCAAATGACTTTGATGGTCATAGGACACATGAATGTAAGGTTTTTCTCTTTTTATTTTTTATGTCAAAAATAGAGGTTTTCATTATTAAGTAATTTGGTAGTTCACATAAAAAGAGGTAAGTAGTGATTCGCTTTGGACCTCGAAATGTTATAGGTAACACTAAGCTTTGAATTTTATAAATAACTTTTCGTCTCACAGCATTTAGCAAAAAATGTAGCAATACTTGCAATAAACAGAGGTCTGATATTTCTCTTCGGCCCTCGGAATGTTTTTGATTTGTAGTCTAATCATATTAGCAAATTTCCCTGAAATGATTGTGAAGTCGGGTTTTTATTGATGCAAGTTGTTCAAAGGGGTATTTAAAGCATGGATGCATAAAATGGGTACACCATTTTTTGTGGAAAAACTATTCCACAACAAAGAATGGGGAAACGTGTTTTTTTGGGTTCAATTTAAAGTGTTGGCAGGAACAAAAAAACTCTCCAAATAAGATTTTTAGGTATTTATGAGACCTACAAAATGAGTCCACACGTAAAAAGATCCGACTAATAGTAAGAGAGTTATGGCCGAAAACCGATGCAAAATGCAGGTTTTGGCACTTGTAGGTAATGCGACAATAATTTCACGCAGCTTGTTGAAATTCTTCAAATCCGTAGGCTTCTTACTTCTAAATAACCACAACAAAATTGTAATCGATTGGTCAAGTAGTTTTTGAGAATTTCTAATTGTTTATCTCAAAACACCCGTCTTCCGGCCATAACTACCAGTTTACTGAGCAATATTCGAAGGGCATTTTATATCATAATGCACATGAATCACAAACCATTCCGAAACATGAATGTTATTTTTATGTCAAAAACAAAGGGATATGTTTTTGAGAGGGTATGAAGAAGTCTTGAAGAAAAATTGTTTTCTTCGTAACAAAAGGTGATAGACACATCCGCCATTTTTTTTAAAATATGTATATTTGAATTTGTTTAGAAGAAAAAAACGTAACCCTTCGTTTTTCGCACAAAAATAACTATTTTTCGGAATGGTTTGTGATTCACGTCGGAAAGGTAAATTCGTGTATATTGCTCAGTAAACTAGTGGTGATGGCCGGAAGACAGGTGTTTTGGGATAAGCAACCAGAAATTCTCAAAAAGTACTTGACCAATCGACTTCAGTTTTGTTGTCGTTAATTAGAAGTATGAAGCCTACGGATTTCAAGAATTTCAAGTAGCTGCGTGAAATTATTGTCGCATTACCAAGTGCCAAAACCTGCATTTTGCCTCGGTTTTCGGCCGTAACCTTTTTATTATTAGTCGGATCTTTTTACGTATAGTCTCATTTTGTAGCTCTTATCAATATCTAAAAATACCTGGCAACACTTTCAATTGAATCCCAAAAAAACGTTCTCTCATTATTTGTTGTCGAATAGAAAGTTTTCCCACAAAAATTGGTATACCCATTTTATGCGTGTTTTAAATACCGCCTTGAGCAAATTGCATCAGTAAAACCGTACTTTACAATTATTTCGTAAACCAGGGGTATTTTCGTCTAATATGATTAGATTATTTGCACTATATTTCAACAATGAGTAAAAGAATACAACGAAACAGTTATTAATTACATTTTATTTGATCCTAAATATAAATTATATACAACAGAAAATGACATTCCTAATACTCATATAGTAAAAGACATCCATGCAACAACAAATTTTTCTAAAAGACATTATTTTCTCTCAGAAATTGTGCATGAGGTATGGCGATCAAGGTTGGAAAAATCATTTGCTCTATTATAAATATATTGCTAGTCTCACAATTAAAATAGTTTCATAATGCTTATCTCAGTTCTAGACAGACAAAAATTTTCTATCTTGGTTGCTTTGACATTTAGCATTTAGCATATAGACATTTCCGAGGTTATGTGGCAATGCATGGCATGTCCCAATTTTCACAGTATTCCAGAGTAAACTCTCATCTGTCAATCTACATTCCCTTACAGTGTATATTAAAAAACCAAGTGATTTACAAATGCACCCCAATTTTTGGTTACTAGTGAATACATGTTTCTCTCTGCTTCGCCTATTTTTGATCACAAGACTTGTTGATGCTTGCTACAGATTCTTTCTTATCATCTCTGGTCTCTATAATACGACTGTTAGCATTGAAGATATTTCCGAATTTAAATATTTTTACAATGGGTGAATTAGGTTGCTACCCCACAGCCACCAGTAAGACTTGAAATATGCGTTCTTGTGGTGGTCAACAGATTTTTTATTCGAAACTAAACCTAACAAAAAACTGGTCATCAGGTTTCGACATAACAAGTATTTCGCCTTTTTTCTTGATGTCTGCTATGCAAAGAGCAAGCTTTTTCATGAAATACTTATTTTTAAAAACCTGTCTACCAGAGTTTAAAGTTGTCTTCATGATAGAAAACTGGTGACATCCTCAGATCCCCCAGCTATATAACTGTCAGATGAAAAGTGGTACTCTTTTGACTATCAAAGGTTTTAACAGAGGAGGCAATCGAACAGCTGAATGGTATCAGGCGATGTTGCAACACTGGAAAATTTGGAAATGAGGATAAACCACGTATTGCCACATAACTTTAGAAAAATATCATATCATCTCTCTTTAAATTTCAGTAAAGCCGGTGCTACCATTACCGAGATTACAGGCGGCAATAAAGACAACAACATCGACGGCAAAATTATAGAATAAAAAAATGTCACTTATAAAACTCATCTTGTCGTTGCGTCTCTGATCCATCCTTAGCCTTGTCAACAAATGAAACCTCAGATGAATAAACTGTACTGATGTTTCAGCTTCCACAGAAACATTTTTCAAAGTATAAAATAAAAAAGAAATAATCATCTGTGGTTTTGTCTATTGACCAGGTTTAAATGAGAAGCAAAAGTCTCTCATGTTCATCTAGCAGGCCGAAAGCACTGAAACTAGCAAATTAGTAATACAAATTCACCTATGTATCTGTGGCTTGTCTGGATTATAAAGAGTGTCACGGAATTAAGACAAGATTTTCTTTAGATTATAACTTTTTTATTGAATAAAGTACATAAGATGGGGTTAGTCCATTGCAAGGAATATAACATCAGACAAAAGGTCCTCCCTCAGCTTTACCGACATATATTCACTATTTTATCAGAATTTCTTATGACAGCTGCATAAATATGGCTGAATTTCGTTGATGAAACACTAGATTTCTAGCTTTAATGCAGAAGTGCATATTATGGTTTTCTTTCTGCCTAAATTGGTGACAAGATGGCACCAGATCTATACAGCGTATGAAGTAATTCAATTGCTTCACAAGATATTTCCTGATTGTGTACTCTCTCATTTCAGTGATCAGATCATTTGTTTGAACATCATTGGATTTGTTTTACTGAGGTTACTTGAAGTCAAATGTCTATGCCTACAAAATTATGCAGTGAAGAAGCCACATTTAAGGAGAATGGTCATTTTTGACATAAGAGTGTATATATACCAGCATACCTCAGAAGGTAATTTGGCTCATTTATGCTATTCCACACATAACCCTATAATGTGCACTTTTGATTAAAAAAAATAATCAAAAATAAATATCAATCTTATGAGGAAAAACTGGTTTGTATTTACTCAGATTCTGTATAAATTTTGTGACTCCCTTTAGCTCAGAAGGTTGTCCAGACCAATAGACAAACCCCAAATATTTGCAAATGCCATAAGAGATAATCATATTAGGTTATGAGTTTTAGCAAACTTCAAAGCCAGACCTGAGAATCAAAGGTAAAAAATCATCCTTGGGAATTTAAAACTGCAAATACTCATTCAGTTTTAAGCCGTTTAACTGATGGCGCCATTTCGCTACCCTGTGAATTGGAGTCTTCAGAGAATGTCATGTGGGTCGAGGAGAAGTCTGTAGGACCTTGGGAGTCACTCACAGTTGAAAAACCTGTAACAAAATAGTACATTAAATACATTGGTGGAGAAGTATGCCATTATTGGCATTCTCCCCCTTATTGAGCTACAGGGTGTTGAAGTTATGATTTTAAAACTGAAAAAAAATGGAGTAGAACACGTATTGAAATATTGTGCACATGGTATTAAATAGCATTGTCAATCCAAACAAAAAAGTATATTGTACAAACCATATCAGCAGTCAAGACATTTTTATCCCCACATAAGGAAAACATTTTTATCCCCACATAAGGAAAAATAAACATATTTTCTAGCCATCTGAATCTTTAAAACATGTACTGCATTTTAGAATAAAATCTTTGGTTTTACATGAATTATCTATTATGAGAAATGCAGTTTGTGAGCTGTGGTTCAATGTCATATTTTCTAAATACCTATGAGTAAACTTACATGTATTAGAGTCTTCAGCTATGCTAAAGTTAGAGTTTGAATTAGAAGTGTCCATTTGAATCTTCCGAGCCACATTTTCTTTATTCTCCCTATGTTTCAAGCCCTTTTTGGGTTCTGTTACAGGAACCCACTTGTAGATCTTCATTGTAGTGTCTCCTATTGTAACCCATTTCTTCTCCCTTTACAAAAATAAATACGAAAGTAAGAAACATACTGTACAGGGAAGTTGTTCACAACATGGTTGACTGGGTAGCACTGATTCTGATTGTAAGCTTCAACTGAGTGATCTGTATACAGATTGTTTCAGATAAACATGGCAACATTCCTAGGGTCGAAAGAACATCCAAAAATAACAATAAATATTGTATAAACGTAGGTCGTAAATGTCCCATTACCAAGAGACAGGGAGTTGTAAATTTCTACACAACTGATGAGACTAAAGAGGACAAAACATGAAAATAGTGACGCGAATAAAAGTGAAACTAGCTGGTATCTTGCGGATGTATAAATTAGGGAGAAAATCGACAGGATAGTGGATCTAAAAGAGGGTTTTTAGGGTCTCAAAGGGTACTTACCAATGCCGAACTTTATCAATAACATTCATAACCTTCTTGATATCATCTTTGGCCCTACTTCGAGTCTCCGCTCTTATAGAACGGGACATTTTGGGAGTTACAGAAGCAATTTTGGCGAATTTTTAAAACGTTTCACAGTATACGTTATTTACTAGTCGGAAAATCAATAATTTTTTAACATGAATCTGTAAACATGGGAGAGAAGTAGAGAAGAGGGGGACAAAAAGATGGTGGTGTAGTCCAGTCCATGTAGATATGTTTGGTAATAGTAATGAGCTCATAGATTTTTGTAGTCTAGTCTGAATAATCACTTTTGAAGAATATTCTAGTTAGACAGTTGGACAGTTAACACGTTATAAAAAGTGCTCTGGTATTCCTCAAATTTCATGGGTCTAACACCAGCGATTAATTTATTTCTTTTCTTACAAGTCTCCCTTGGTGGTGCGAGGAGTGAAGTTTTTGTGTTATGTGCATTTATTTGCGAGAAATTGCAGCAATTTGAATATAATATACGCCACCTCGTTTATAAAAAGTATGCCAGGCTACAAATAGTGCTGTGAATGAAAAAGAGTTGTTTCTGGTATTTTATTTAAACGCCTGTGTTATAGTCCGGTCGATTTGGATCAATATGACAAAAGGCAAGTTCAAGACCTGTGAATGTGGTAAATGTAGAAATAATATAACTAAGACACAATATAGTTTGAAATGTGCTGGGACGTGCGGTTGATGGTACGATAGGACATGTACTGGGCTATCGGATAAGCAATTGTTTGCTTATGAAAAGCGTAAGACTGCTCAGAAGTGGTTGTATGGCAGATGTGGTATAAACAGGCATTCTTCATCATCAAATCAGTCAGACGCATCTGATCCCGTACCAATGGATAATCCCAGTAACAAATACATAATCAAAACTATACAACAGAAGTTTTCAGAAATAGAAAAGGCCCTTAATTTTAATGGCGAAGTGATGGAGGAGTTACAAAGAACAATAAAAGCTATATCGGGTGAGAATCGTGGGTTGCGAAAAACACAAGAGCATCTTAAGAATCGTGTTGCTGAACTGGAGAAGGAGGTAGGAGGAAGATGAAGCTGGCAAAAAAAGGGTGATTATTACAGGAATTGAAGGAAATCAGAATATTAATGAAAACGTCAAAAAAGTCTTTTAGAAATTGGATATGGGGGAACCCAGCTATAAGGTGTTTGTTCTTTCTAAGGCTGAGGTGGATCCTACTGTGGTGGCTGTGCAATTTGATTCAGTGGAACAACGTAATACTGTTATAGTAAAGAGAATAAAGGCTATCACTGAGCAATCAAAACTGCAGCATCTGTGATTCACAATCTAGAATATTTATTAATGAAGATCTTCCAAAGGAAACTAGAGAAATTCATAAAGAGGCAAGAAAATTGAAGATTTCTGGGTTTAAATACGTTTGGTGCAGAAATGGTCAGATCTATGCCAGGAAGGCTGATGGGGAAGTTGCATTGAGGATCAAATCATTATAGCAGACATAGAAAATTAAAAAAAAATAGTGTTCAATTCTATTTGTTAGTGTTTTTTTATTGAATCCATTACCTTTTTATGAAAGATATATAATTTGCTTGCAGTTTATGTTAGAAAAGAAATTTGATATAGTTGGTGTTTGTGAGACGTGGTTGCATAATGGGATTCCCAATTCTAGTATTCACATTAATGGTTATAGATTTTTCAGGTTAGGAATTTACATAGCAGAATATATAAAATGCAAAACAATAAACATTCTCCATAGCGAAGTAGTAGACCAAATTTGGTTAGAATTTTGTATAAATAGAGTATTTCAAGTTTGGCACACTTTATAGGACACCAAGTAAAAATGCATGTGACTTCCTACTTAAGCTCGAAGCAAATCTCACTGAGCTTTATTTGAATTCTGGTACTATCATTTTTGGTGGAGACATCAATATTGATTGTTTGAACTTTCAGAACAATCAAGCTGAGGCCTTTTATAACTGTATTGAACTTTTTAATTTATCTCAATTAGTTAATTCGCCCACTCGTATCACTAATACTTCTGTTTCTCTCATTGATGTCATTCTGGTGCCTAATCATTTAAATGTATCTGACAAAGGAACAATAGATATATTGTTGATGTGTCTGATCATGTGTTGGTGTATTGTTTTTTTTATACTCCAACTACTACGAAGGCCTAAGCACCCATTGGGTACCGTGGGGCTATAGGGGGATACATGGGAAAGGGGGAACGCCACACGGACTCGAACCCGCACAGCGCGCGGCGACTGATCGGGAGACCGAAGAGTCTACTACTGCGGCCACCGCTGCTCCCTTGTACTTTGAATTTGAAATGTGTTGCAACGGAGAGTAGTAAATATGTTAGACACCTTAAAAATATAGATAAGGGCATTCTAGAAGAATTTTTGCAAATTTCTCCTTTTCTTGACTTATTTTTCATAAATAATATAAATGAAAAGGTACTATATTTCAATAGTGTTATTCTTAATATTTTTAACACTTTAGCTCCACTAAGTGAGATCAAATTTAAACATTTTAAGCCGCCATGGTTAACTGCCATTGTTAAATTAATGATGTCTCTTCGTGACAAGGCGTTTCGAAAATTTAAAAGGACCAGTTTGCCGGAACATTATTATAAACAAATGAGGAATCTCACCACCAATGCTGTTAGGGCAGAACAAAAATCATATTTTAACAGCTGCCGAGGGAATTCAAAGGCTATAAAACGCTAAATATACCTGCAGAGTTTGATGATCCGATTGAGTTAAATAAGTATTTTCTGATTCCGTCATCAAACAATGTTGATCCTGACCCTGAAAAATTTCACTTTTACAATAGTAATTTCCGTAAGGATTTTGATCGGTTATTTTCATTTGAATCTATTTCTGAAGCCATTGTTTAAAAATATCTCTATGAAATAAAAACTCGTGCAACTGGGGCGGATGGTATTAATATAGAAATACTACTTTTATGCTGTCCGCACATTCTAAAAGCCATAACGCATATTATTAATTGTTGCCTAATAGAAAATACTTTTCCAGACTGTAGGAAAGTTGCAAAAGTTCATTCTCTACCAAAGAAATGCACTATACCTAGCTTGTCGGATCTTTGTCCAATTTCTATATTACCGGTGCTCTGGAAAAATTATAAAATTTCAGTTAATGCTTCATATAGATAATTATGATTTGCTGCCTTCATTTCGGTCAGGGTTTCGAAAGGGTTTTAGTTGCACGACTGCGCTTCTAGATGTTACGAACGAAATTATCAGGGATAACGGCAATACAGCCGCTCTTGTATTGCTTGATTACACAAAGGCATTTGTTACAATTAATCACCAGTTAATGTTTTCTATTTCAAAATACATGGGATCATCCGTTAAGGCTGTTAAACTATTCAAAAGTTATTTCTCGAAGAGGGCGCAGTTTGTCATAACCTCTTCTCCGGGGTGTCTGTTTCCAAGCCTGTTCTGTGTGTGGTACTTCAAGGCTCCATTACTTTTTTCAGTATACTCTGCAAATATTACTAGTAGTTTGATATATTCAAAGCCTTATTTATATGCTAATGATATCCAGATAAAATTTTCGTTCTCTCATACAGATACAACTGCGGTTACATTATTAAATGAAGATCTTAATAATTTGACAAATGAAAGAATAGCACATCAGTTATCTGTAAATCCAACCAAGTCAAATGTGTTATTGTTCGGTAAACACAAAAAGAGCGTGGCAGATTCATTCCATATTTCAATTAATAATAATGTTATTCCTCATACATCCGTTACTAAGAATTTAGGCTTGATTATGGATAGTAACCTGAGGTTTTCAAAGCATGTTGATAAGTGCATCGGCCGTGCTTATGGTCGGCTTAAAATGTTATTTCCATATCGTCATATCTTTTCTACCGAACTTAAGGCTTTGCTTTGTGACAAGCAGTTTATGGGCCTTGTATAACAAGGTATGATGTTGATCGTATGCAGCGTGTCCAAAACTCTTGTCTTAGGCTTATTTTTGAAGTGAAAACATTTGAACATATTTCTTATAAGTTACTTGTAATAGGCTGGCTAAATATGGAAGCTAGGAGAAATCTGCACCCTGCAGTTTTTGTTTCATAAAATTATTCTCTATAAAACTCCGCCTTATTTATATAATAAGATTGCATTTCGAAGTGATGTTCACAATATCAATGTTCGGTATTGGAAGCTGATTTCCCAACCACGTCATCGTACATTTATGTTTGACAGATGTTTTTCTCATTTTATCTACCACTTGTAGAATCACATCCCCACAAACCTTAAGTCTATGTCTGTCTCAGCTTTCAAAAGAAGTTACAGAAAACTATTAGATGAATTGTAGTGTTTATTTTAAAGGTTTTTTTGTTAAATCTGCCTAAAATTATTTGACCTTTTTCGTTAAATTATATTTTTTATATACTTTCTTTATATACATATATTTTTTCGACGTTTGTAATTATTATTTATTGATTATTAATATTAACTTATATAATTTGGTTAAGAACTCCTCTGTTGTAATTGTGTTTGCTGGGCTAGTACTTTGATCAGCTCGTCTTTTTACTAGTCCCTTTTGCAGGGAATTCATGTTGTTTCTTCATTTTTATTTTTTTCACTTTGTATTTTTTTGCTCTACAAATAAACGCTATTATTATTATTATTAACGCTATTATTATTATATAGTTCCGAAACTTATCCTGTGGTTGCCTACCTTATGCTGGTCAACAAGTAAAACACGAAACTAGAAATAGTTATTTGTACACCAAGGTCTTTTTCCGTGATTGAAATTTAGTTCATTTCATGGGATGTTCCAGAATTTACGCAGGATATGCAAAATACAGAATTTCTTCGCTCATTATTCGCACCCTTAAGTTGAAATAAACATTTTGCATAAATATAGTAAAATTACATGGAATGCATGACTCTGTCTCTGGGCTTGTTTGACTTCAAATATCGCCATAAAGAGAAATTCACTGGTTGTTGTGGAGCAAGTTTATTCTATATTCTATTTAATTGAGCAAAAAAAAAGGTATGTTGTTTCCAAGCAATGGATGGGAGGTAGGAGACGGGCCGTCAGATGTCGAACGAGTCAAGGAGCCAAGCAAAGTCGAAAGTAATTAGATCTGTCTGGTTGTCATATATTCACAATATTAATAATTTCTGGGTAATTGTTTTTCGTCGGCTATAACACAAGCGCAAGTTGCCATATTGCTAATCTTTTTCCCCCTCTGCCTCCGAATACCCTTTCGTGCACAGTACCTTAACTGGACTATAACAAACGGTGGTTACGTATCCAGGCTTGGAAAACCAAACAAAATAACCGAATCAAATTTAGTTCACACTATCATATCTCACCCATCTCTACTTATTCCAAAGCTGTCAAATAATAGTTAACATTTTGATCACATATTTGGTAGTAGCGCTGCTTAAAATAAACAATAAATGTTGAGGTTATCTTTGCCATCAATTTTAAATATGAATTTTCAACAAATTAGGTGTTTAAATTCGATGTCAGCAGCTATAACAAGACCACATAGAAATACATATCTTCGAATGTATCCTACGCTGCTTGTAAATCCTGATGGGTCGACTATTACAATCAGATACCCGGAGCCTAGACAGATTATCAAGGTATTTTCATTTGACTTTTAACTGCTCCTACCCTTGCTTAGTATTGTCAATTCAGTGTTGTCTTTTTATTATCACATTTATCTGCCTGTTATATTCGTTTGTTGGGTCAATTGCCCTCAGATCCACGAGTAATGAAAAATCCAGTGGCGTACCCTGTGGGTGTACAGGACATAGTCGGAGTGATGCTGGATTCAGGCCAGCCTTAATTTAATACTAATGCAGTCTTACCATGCGAACTCAATGCTGTTTATAGTGGAAAATTGTATAACTGGAGAATGGTTGGTTCATCATCTCTGACATAAATGCGAGATTTCAGAGGCAGTTATTTAAATGAATTTTATAGCACTCATGTTTCATGCAGCAATTCGTATAACATAAGTTATTTTCACCTAATTCCTAGGGATGCTAATACAATAAAACTAAAGGATAGATTTACATACAGTGCTTTTCAAAGCATCTGCCTACCAATTCAGGTTTATAAAACTTATACACAAACACTATTGTAACATCATGTGTAGTGTGCAAGATCACAGACAGCTAGTGTCAGTTTTAGTATTTTTGTGTTCTATGTATACTACGTGAAGCTTTTAAAGTATTTTTTTTCTAGAGAGTTGATCATCACATGTTATGAAGGTATTCTAAATAGTTTCAGATGAGATTTATTTATAAGAAAACAAAAGAATCATCATATAGGAGACTGACACAATCTTAGCATGCTGACACAATACTGTTTATTGCAAAGAATTTAATTTAAGAATGGTTGGTTCATCCTACTGATCCAAATGTCAAATCTCAGAGTTAGTAATTAACCCTACAGCGGTATCTGCGGATCACTCTGACCCGCACATATTTTGTACGCCCTGCCTCTCCCGTATTAGTTAAGATACATCGCTCGCCTCTTAGGTACCTTTCTATGAACTACTTATCTACAAAACTCAGTACATGTTGCTTTGTTTACATTGAGCTGTCTACTTGAACGGAGCTCTTGCGGGTCACCGTGACACGCAGCGACTGTTTTCGGTGTCATATTATTTTGCGACTATTTTTGGTTCTATTGTTTATTACCGGCATTTTGGTGTCTAAGTAAGTAGGAACCATCAGAAAAACCAAACCTCAGCTTCCTACTTGCTTTATAAAAAGCAAAGACGTGAGGTAAGCTCGTTTGTTTTTGGTTTTGGAAAAAATAGTACAACCCTGGTATCATATGTACCAAAAAAGGGCAAGTTTGTTGTTCCGTTATCGACTATGCACCATGGTAAAACAATTGATCTTGATAGTGGTGCCGCCCGAAAACCAGAGATTATCACATTTTACAATTGCACAAAGGGTGGGGTTGATGTAGTAGATGAGATGTGTGGCACATACTCAACAGCCAGGAAAACCAACAGATGGCCCCTTTCAGCCTTTTTTCATCTTCTGGATGTGGTTGGAGTCAATATTTTGGCATATCATCGTACAATGAAAAAGGGGATCAGCGCTTGATGAGAAGAACTTGGCTCAAAGAGTTAGCCAAAGAACTTGTTTCTCCATACATGCGATCTCGACTGCAAATTGCAAATCTTCCCAAGTTTATCAGGACCAACATTATAGAAATTCTCCAGGAAGGTGAACCTGCTATTGCCGAAGAGTAGCAAGCAGAACAAGATTCAAGAAAAAGGAAGATATGTAAATTATGTGCGAGAACTGGTAACAAATCTTATCACACTTGTGCGATTTGCAAAATATATATCTGTGGAAATCATGGCAAACTTACATGCCTGAATTGTCTGAAAAATACTCCTTAGAAATGGGCACGCAATAAATACAGTTTATAAATGGTTTCAGAGATTTTTTTTTGTTATAAATTTTAATTTAGTATTAGCAGAAAAAATAGATTTATTTTTTCATTATTTAAAGTAGTTTTTTTTAGAAATAAAAATTAATCGACCAATGCAAAAAAAACTTTTTTTAGCTATTTTTTTGAAAGATACCTAACTTTTAGATTTTAAGGTTCTTCTATATCAATGTTAGGTTATATGCTTTAGCTACCTTCGCAAATAAAATCTTAAAAAAAATAATCAAGCAATTTTATTGTTTATACTAAATTTATAGGGCCTAACATTAGCGTGTCACTACGACCCGCAGCGACCTGATTAATATACTTTGGGGGTGCGACCGCTGTCGGGTTAAGTGAAGTTTGTAGCACTCTTGTTTAATGCAGCAATTTGTGTAACATACTAACTAATTTTTATTGAATCCTAGGTATACTGATGAAACAAAAGTAAAGAATAGATTTACATGCGGGGTTTTGAAAAACGTCTGGCCTTCCAATTTCTTAGACAGGTCAGTTTAGCAATCCCAAATTTGGGGTGATGAAACTTATATATGAATACTATTCTAACACCCTCTATAGATGGTAGGTCATAGACAGCTATTTTTGTGTTGTTAGGTATTGTCATATAAAAGATCATTCGTTAATATATGGGATGGCGATAACAGTGCGATAATTTAATGTAACTCATAACTCAATGCCTAACCAATAACATACTACCTACATGCACCCTATAGGTTCTGTTTTAGGCCGCAACAGGTAATGCAATTGTCTGCCAGACTGTCTTCATACCCTTGAGAACATAGCATAAGGTTTACGTGAATCTAACATAAATGGGCGCAACATTTGATATCAGCGTCCCAAAAAGTATACTATAAGCATGGCTGAAGTGGCATTCTGGACTGACCTATTTTGAATCCCTTTTTGTTCCAAATTAAAATGCTTTAAATGCAGTTCATATAATCAGTTCCATACATATTTTGGGTTGCTGAAATCGAATTCGAAGTCAATCTCAATATATCTGCTCCCATCTACTATTGGGTGAAAAATCGATTTTCGCTATCGGTTGTTATTGCATGATAATAAATCTTGGCACATTCTGACAATTTTGGATGCTCAATTCGAATATTATCGCGGAAAAAGCGTCGTATGACAGAACTTGAAGTAAAAAATTAGACGTGTTGTGCCGCCTGACAATCTAAGCACCACATTGATATTGGATTTGGAAGTTATGCAGTTGATTTACTGAAGAAACGATTTTTCATTCAGATCACAGATATATATTGGTTTCTGAAATTTTTCTAATATGAAACCTCAAAATATATGTATTACTTTGTAGAACAAAATTTTAGTCTTTGATTTTCATTGTTACAAGCAAATTAGTGGTTCCTGCAAGTCTAGCTTGAACAAATGGCATCAAATAGATTGACTCTATACTTCCCATGCCTTTGAAGCAACTCTAGTAAAATTTTCCGTGAACTGCAGTGGAATCAATAATACATAGCTTCAGAACCATTAGTGCACTCTTTGAGCTTTTCATATCATAAAAATTCTTCAGATTGCAGCAATCAGCCTGAGCGTACTTGGTAGCCTCATTTCTGTGGAACTCTGGTGTAAAACTGTTTGTCATCAATGTTTAATAACTTTTGATACGTACTTATATACTAGATATATTATTTTATACTATACGTAGTCATGCCATAAGTTCTGTCCCTCGTTTTCAAACAAGTGTAGACCTGTTAATACTTGTCCGATTGTTTACATTGTGGTGTCAGTTGATTAAGCGCTTTTCGGGTAATTACATATACCTCAGTTTGTATTGATCTCTCGAAGCATAACGATGGAGTGGGGCAAGGCAGAGAACCGTATTGCAGTGATAGCTTTACATAAGTGTAATCACAGTGCTAGTCAGATTTTTGAACTCTTACGCGGCCTTCAAATATCGCGTAAATTTGTGTCTAGGACCATTCAGCGGTACAATGAGACGTCCTCTGTTGATGACAGGCCAAGAAGCGGAAGACCTCGTCAAGTAAGGACTCCAGCAGCCATCAAAGCCGTAAAAGCCAGGATTCAAAGGAATCCACTCCGGAAGCAGAAGATCCTATCCAGGGAAATGAAGATTCCTGTCCGGACGATGTCGCGCATCATTAAACAAGACCTAGGGCTAGGGGCTTACCGGAGACGTACGGGCCAGCGACTTACGGCCACCTTGCGACACATCAGGGCGACAAGATCCAAGAAGCTCTTGGAGAGGTACGCAGCTGGGGGATTCCGAAAGATTTTGTTCACGGATGAGAAAATCTTCACCATAGAAGAAAAATTCAACCGACAAAATGACAAAGTGTATGCAAGGAGTTCACAGGAAGCTTCGGAGATCATTCCGAGAGTTGAGAGAGGCCACCACCCTGCGTCAGTCATGGTTTGGTGGGGGGTGTCCTACGAAGGGGTCACTCAGCTCCATTTCTGTAAACAGGGCGTGAAAACAAAAGCGGCAAACTATCAGAGCGACATACTGGATCCTATCGTCAAGCCTTTAAGTGGTACATTGTTTGCCAACCAACACTGGGTCTACCAGCAGGATTCCGCCCCCGCTCACAAGGCTAAGAGTACGCAGCGCTGGCTGGAAAGCAATGTGCCAGAGTTCATTGCTGCGGAAGATTGGCCCTCAGGGAGTCCGGACCTCAATCCTTTAGACTACAAGTTGTGGGACCTGCTAGAGCAGTTGGCCTGCTCCAAAGCCCACCGTAATATCGAGTCTCTGAAAGCGGATTTGATCCGATCAGCGGCAGCTATTCCTTTGGAAGCTGTGCGTGCAGTGATAGATGAGTGGCCCGCGAGATTGAAGCAGTGTGTGAAGGCCAAGGGGGGACATTTTGAATAAAACTGTTTGATTATGAATTCTAAAAATGTTGTCGAATAAATAATATCTTTCATATAAATATATCTTATCTTGTTTCATTTTTATCATGAGATTATCATGGGACAGAACTTATGGCACGACTATGTATAATATTATCTCACGAAATCAAGTATCCTTATTAACTTACACTCCAACCATAATGCTCGTATGCATAGATAATATCGCCCCCACTTCGTATATTTTTTTGCTAGTATCTTTTTGGCAACACTGTTTTTGACAGATGACGCGTGAATCGTGTCTTGTGTCATTGTCAAACTTGTTCTGTTTGGT